TTATATATAAATATATATACTATATATAAGTAATATAACAATAAAAATATGGAAAACATAGTTAAAAAAGTTTTCAGTTACAGTCAGACCCCCATATAGTCACCTAATTGGTTCCTATAAAATCAGTGATTGTATAAGGGGTGCTTATATACAGGTACTATATCTTAATTTTGGCCGAAATTAGTAAATTATAATTTATAAAATTATGTGGTCACTATGGATATTTCCTTTTTTGGTGATAGCCATTCCACAAAAATTTTTGCCAATTTTGTGTTGGAATGTTATGTAACATTAATTCCTAAAAAGGAAAGAAAAAATTATATGTTTCGTAATTCTGGGCGAAATTGCTTTTTGGCTGAACTGCCGAAATTATGATGTGATTAATAGAGGTCTAATCACTAATAGAAATGATATATCCGTTTAGGATTATGCGGTGATAGTGATTATAGTTAAATTGTGATTATAGAAGGGTAATTTGATAGTATTTAAAACCGTTTCTCAAAATCGAGTTCTTATAAAGAGATGTGACTGTATAGGGTGTGACTGTATGGAGGTCTGACTGTATATTGTTTAGTTATTAAAGAAAATATAAAAGCTGAATTTAATTCTTGATATAAAAAAATAAAAAAAATAAAAAGAGTAAAATTAACAGATAATCTTGCAGTAAAATTGAATTAGAATTTAAAATATAATATTTTAATAAATATTATTTTTTCATGTTTGGTAAATTATTCTTTTTAGCTAAACTATTATTCTTATTATATAATTCTATACAGTCAACTCTGGATATAACGAACCCTCCGTTCCAGGAGGTTTAGTTCAGTATATAGTGAATTCGTTATATAATATACCGAACTAGTTTTCTTTATAGGCAATTTAGGCCAAATTTGTAATGCTGGCCAAAATTATAATTTCTTTTAACATAAATTTTCGAAAAAATTACTAGTAATTCTGGCCAGCACTATAAAATTGGCCTGGACTACTATATAGTCACATGACCGTTCGTTATAGAAAGCATAAAGTTATTATATAGCTGATATATAGGGGCTGGTTAAGTTTGGTTTGGATGCGTTATATGGTGTTTTATTATAAAAGTTCGTTATATCCAGTGAAATTATTTATAAAAAATCGGTTCTGGAAATTATGATTCGGTATAACGAGGTTTCGGTACAAATAGGTTCGTTATAACCAGAGTCGACTGTAATTATTTCTTTATATAATTAGATGGTTTAGTTATCTTTATTTTTAATAGTTTCTTTATTTTACAAATCATTTTATTAAATCTCATATTATAATGTTTTATCTTTAAATATTTTTTAATTAGAATTTTTTATAAGAAAATTTCTAAGTTTACATGGGATATTTGTACACAGGTCATATAAATATAATTTTTAATAGACTAATTTTTTGTTTTTTAATTTGAAATTGAATGCTACCAACATTATACTCTTTTACTTTTTATTCTTATTATATTATAGATAAATATATGTATTTTCACCTGCTCTGCAAGTTTACTTAAAGCATTAAAGGAGGTTTTGAATGCCGTTTTTAATCTACTAATATGACCCGTGTTTAAACACCCCATGTACAAATAGAAATTGCCTTTTTATAAATATATTAGGATAAATTCAGATGAATTTTAAATTAAAGATAAATTTATTAAAGTAAATAATCTGTTAAATTTTCAGATATAGATTATCATCTAAATTTAATTAAAGCAATTTAAATTAAATTTAGATAGTTTTTAAATATAAAATTGGATTATTAAATAGAAATAATTAATTTAAATATAATATAAATATTAAATTTTAATTTTAATTTTTTTTAATATAAAATAGATTAGAATTTTATTTTTTTTCTTTTTTTCTTTATATTTTTATTTAATTTGTATAATAAAAAAGGAGTTTTTTAAAATGGAAAATTACTAATCAATGATAGATTTAATTAAAAAGTAATAAAATTGTCTAAAAGTCTTTATAAATTAGTTATATGATAGTTGATAAATAAAGTAATGTATAATAATAGACTAATAAATTACAAGTAACTTTATTTTTTACTATATATTTATTAATAAGATTATTTAATTTTAAAAATTATTTATTATAATTAAATATTGATCCCTATGAAGGTAAATAAAAAAAAAAAAAAAAATTTAGAATTAGATTTTAATTTGTTAAAATTTTCAATTTTTAATATTTATATTTATTATTATCGCCGTTTTCAATTTGGTTGAAACTGCGGCTTGTCGATCAATTATAATAAAAAGACCGAAAACTCATAATTTTGTGAAACTGTACTAATAAAGCATCACGTTTTACATATGAACATATAAAATATTTTGATTGACGCATCATGCTAAGCCACTCCTGTATTATTTTTATTATTTTTTTATTTTCGTAATGTTTTAATGGGAGATTACTAGCGATTCAACTCCAACTGAATATATTAAATGGGAGTATAATAGCAGTCCCTCACTGAAAACTGTAACTTCACACTAAATATTATTGTTTTTTTTTATTTAACTGGAGTATTTAACTGAAAATACTTATTAAATAATAATAAAGTACTTGCCAGTATTTTAGATTGTAAAGTTTAACATTATTTTAAAGGTAAACTAAGTTTATTATTATTATATTGGTAATATTAACTGATTTTTATTTTTATTCATTTTATTATAGACCTTGTTGGATAAACAAGATATTTTTATATACAGCTAGAGATAAATATTTATATCTATAGATAAATGCGGTGGGTACTTGAGTTAGGGCAATTTTTGGATTATGATTAGAAAAAGATTTGTTTCTTTCAAAAATTAAAAAATCATTTAAATTACAAATTAACAGAACACTAAGATTTTGATTTTTTTTTTTAAAAAAAAATCATTATAATTATATAAACTTTAAATCTTTAAATAAAAAATTATTCAAATCAAATTACAGATAATCGAAATATTATAAAGTAGTAATTATTGTTTTTAAATGGTTGGTGAAATTTTCTAATTATTGTAAGGTTGTAAAAGGCATAATGTTAAAATTTTTTCTTTTGAACGTTTGAACACGAAAAATAATTTTTTTATTCAGTAAATTATTATGTGTTTAAATTTCATTGGCTGATCATTGTTGATCAACATGTGATGTAAGTGTTTTCGGTATTTTATTATTTTTATTTATAATTTAATCAGTTTCAACTAAATCGAAAATAGCGATAAATAATAATATTATTATTTTAATATAATTAAAATTTTATTTAAATATATATAAAAATATAAAAAAATATTATACTATTAAGATAAAAATAAAATTAATTAATATTTAATTTGTTTAATAAAAATAATTAAATAACTAAAAATATACTTATATAGTAATATAAATAAATATTTATAAAAAAAAAATATTATAAAAAATTTTAGAATATAATTATTCCATTTAAACGATTAAATATAACCAGTTTATTTATAAATTTAGTAGCTTATAAAATACTACTAATCTATTAGTAATTTAGTATATACATATAATTCAAATTTAAAATTATTACAGTAGTTTCAAATTTCAAATTTCAAAATATTACTATTAGTAATAATTATTATAATATTATTTTATTAAAATTGAAGTAGAATTTTAGATAAAATCAAAATATCATAAAATAAATTCTACTTATTAATATTTACTAATACTAGTATAGTAAGAATTACTTGTATATTAAAATATAGCAATATCTAATCCAAAATCCTAAATTTTAATTATAGTTCAAATTTTCAACCTTTTAATAATAATCTCAATTTTAAATTTTAAATTATATTGAATTTTAGCAACATATATATACTAATGGCTAAGATCAAAGTATTTAAAAAAGTTAAATAAAATAGAAAAATAGTTGCATATTTTAAAATCTGGAAATACTTCATATAGTATTAAATATTAATTTCAATTAGAATAAAGAATCTGCAAATGATATTAGCATAATCTTTTAACTATGAATAGAAGAAAATTTTTTCACGAAACCTTTTACTTAAAACCAAACTTTAAAATTAAAGTCTTAATAATATTTATTATTAATTTAATATTTATAAAATTATAGTTTAAATTAAACAAATTATATTTAAAATAATAAAAATAATAACAATTTGAAAAATTTATAAAAATATATAATATTAAATACTATAAGGTGAAATATAATTATCATATTAATAAAATTAGATTAATCATACTATTATTAATAATATAGAAATATTTATATATATATTTTTGCAATACGTAAGTTTATTTAAATAAAATTTTAAACATTAGTCATTTATGTTCCCATCCAAAGAGAGTGGCTATTCTTCGCATTTCTAATGGTTTATTTATATTATAAATGTTCTGTGATTTCTATTACTCTATTCTGTTCTAGCATTCTTCTATTTGCAATCACGTGACTATATAATGTTCGAACGTGTATTTTTGTGTCTGAATACTTTTCAAAAAAATAAAAAAAAGTAAGTACTAATGATAAAGTATTCTCAATTTATACGTTTTGTTTGTTCATCATTTTTTTTATTACAAAGTCAACAATGTGAATTAAGTTCTCGAATTTATTTATTTATTTATCTGGTTTTTCCGTCCAAACAAATTCCTTATTTCATTCACATAAAAGATTCTTAAATCATTTATTTATATTATGATATAAATATTCTGACCGAGTTTTTTAGTCATTGCACAAATATTGAGCTAATTAATCATTTATTAACCATTCTTAGAAATTTATTTTAATTCAAATATATCAAATATAGCCGCATCAAAATCCATCGTACAAAGTTATTTGTCATTTGGATCTAATGATATAAAGAGTGTTAGGCCATGCGCATAGTCTTACGTCTCACGATTCAAAGAAGTATTATTATTAAATCAAAGTTTATTAACGTGACTTCATTCTTGAAAAGGAAATCAGAAAGTAATTCCGTGCATTTTTATTGTTAAAAAAGAAAATTATCAAGTGAATTATATAATCAGATCAAATCAATATAAAAAAAATATATATATTTTCCTCCTCGCAAAGTTACTTTAACTTCTTTTATAAACCCCTTATAACTCAGTGACGCGCCACATTATTTTGAAATAAGAAAGTCCCAGACTATTCTTGACGACTTTTCAGGTTCATAATGTTGAGTGTCAAAGAGGAAATAAATACCGGAGGCAACGATAACATTGTTGAAGCTTCAACTCCACCGCTTGACAAAGTAAGAAAACGCGTTCTTTGTAATGTCAGTTTTGTCGCGTCTGTGTACATTCCCTTTTTTACATTTTAAAGGAAAAAATATTATTTTCACGTAGTATACTTATACATAAAGTTTGTCACGTTTTTTGCACTTGTTTTTGTTATAGGACTCTCCGTCCTTCATGAGTAATGACTCTTCTGTGCACACACCTAATGATGAACCAGCCATCACTGAGTCCATGAGAGAGGAAGAAGAAAAGCTTCAGACCGAAACTGAAAAAGAAAACCTTAAAGTGCTTAAAGAAAAGGTATGCTAAGCAATTTACTTTTGTAGCCACGTGTTTATTATTTAATACCAAATATAGTTTTACTTTAAAAATCGAGCTAAAAAAAGACGCGTTCGGTCTTGCAAAGACACTTATTAATTAAATTTCCTTCGTATGATTATACAGTTTAAATAAACCGTTTTACTATTATTGGTATTCCTTGATAGTCTATCTAATCAAAATTTACTTTTTTATAGGCTGTTGCTGATTATGATGCACTTGTAGATAAACAACGCGTACAGCGTCTTAAGTTCCTCTTGGAAAAATCATCGCTTTATGCACAATTTCTTGCCAATAAAATGGAACGACAACAACAGGAACAACGTGAACGTGCTCAAGTTGAAGAATCAAAACGCGCTAACGCCAAAGAAAAAGCGAAGGTAAAACAGGAAAAAATTGCTGCTGGCCCGACGCGAAAGTCCACTAGGGTTAATACAAAGATCACCGCAGTTGCATCATCTTCATCGACTACAAAGCAACCTGCGAAGAAGAAAGATGGTAATAATAAAAAAAGAAAAGCAAATGATGCCGATTATAACATTGCGGATTATGTAGAAACAAACGTAAGTTTGTAATTTGATTAATTTGATTAAAAGGTTTATCTATACGCAAAATATTAATTAAGATAATAATTTTTATTTAACACTACTTCAAATTCCTTAGGAACTTTCTAAACGTCGCAAGAATTCAGAGTCAAAATCAACTCTTGTAAAGGATATTAAGAAAGAACAATTTGTTGAGGAAGAAGCTGCCTTATCCAATGCAATTAAACAAGATGATGATATAAAGAAGCTCATACCTGCCCGTCAACCAAGTTTAGTGACGGGCGGCATTCTTCGTGATTACCAACTAACTGGTGTTGAATGGTTGGTTAGTTTGTATGATAATGGATTGAACGGTATTTTAGCTGATGAAATGGGTTTAGGAAAGGTTAGTAATTTTTTATAAATAAAAAGAATGTGTTAAATTTATTTAATTCATATTTAAACATTATTTTAAAATCTTAATAGACTTTACAAACAATTGCTTTCTTTGCGTATCTATGGGAACGTCAAATTTATGGTCCGTTTCTAATTGTTGCACCACTTTCGACATTAGCAAATTGGGTCAGCGAATTTCACAGGTGCCTTTAATTTTGTAGATATTATTTTCTCACTATCTACTGCATATTTTGTTATTATATAATCTTAATTTATGATTCATAAATAGATTCACTCCTACAATTCCTGTTGTATTATATCATGGAACTCCCGAACAACGGTCACACATTAGAACTAGAAGACTTAAAAAGTTGGACCACACATTCCCTGTTATAGTTACAAGTTATGAAATTGTGATGAATGATCGAAAATACCTTCAGGTAATTACTGTTTCTATACTTGATTACATTTGTTAAATTATAACAATAATTAAAATACGGTCGCGAATATAGAAATTTGCATGGAAATATATTGTAGTAGACGAAGGCCATCGTATTAAAAATCTTAACTGCAAATTGATTCGGGAATTGAAGAGTTATCAGTCTGCAAATCGTTTGCTTTTAACTGGAACACCATTACAAGTATGTAAATATGTGTTTTTGTCGGTGATTTTTAGTATTAACCAATATTTTAGAATAATTTGGCAGAGTTGTGGAGTCTTTTAAACTTTCTCTTGCCTGATATTTTTGATGATCTTGATAGTTTTCAGGATTGGTAATTATAATTTTGATTTTAATATATACTCTGTCAAAAAATTATAATTAAGTAATTTATATAATGATATCAGGTTTGATTTCTCTATGCTTCATGAACAAGGCGGAGAATCACGCATCCTTGCCAATGAGCAGTCAGATGAAGTTATCACAAACTTGCATAAAATTTTAAAGCCATTTTTGTTGCGTCGTATAAAGAGTGATGGTAGGCATTAATTAATTTGTAATTAAAAAAAACTTTTTAATAATACAACAAATACGCTTATTATATAGTGGAAAATTCTCTTCCTAAGAAGAAAGAATATCTTTTGTATGCTCCTTTAACAAGACAACAAAAGGAATGCTATGATGCTATAGTGGCTCGAAACATTCGTCCATTCTTGTTAGCTAAGAAGATAGGAGAAGTTGAAAGTGAAATGGGAAATATGGATAATTATGATGGCAAGTTAATTATTTTTCGCATTTGATCCAATCCCATTTTCATAATTATAAGTTTTTTTTAGATAGTGAATCAACAGTTCTCTCATCTGAGGAAGAGGAATCAAATTCTGATTCGATTCAAGATCGTAAAAAAAACCTTCGCAAGGGAACGCGTAAATTTTATGAAGAACTCTCAGATGAGGAATTTTTTGAGTCTCTAGAAAAAGAGGAACCAGCACTTATAATTGATGAAGCAGAAGCAGCGAAAAAGGCTGCTAATGCTGCAAAGGAATTTAAGACTATGAAAGTTGGTAAGTGTACTTAAATTTTGCGTTATTAGACCATATATATATGGAGAATAAATATATTTATAAATGATTTATAAAATATTTTATTTTTAGTTAAAACCATTAATGGAATGAAACTACAAAATGTTGTTATGCAGTTACGTAAAATTTGCAATCACCCATATCTTTTTGACTGGCCTATTGATCCAGAAGTACCAGATCAACATTTAATTTCTGAAGAATTGATAGCCAGCGCTGGAAAAATGATGCTTTTGGAAAAGTTGCTTCAAGCGTTATTTGAACGCGATCATAAAGTATTAATATTTTCTCAATTTACAACAATGCTTGATATCATCGAAGAGTGGGCGACTACTTTCAAAGGATGGAATATTTGTAGAATTGATGGCTGTGTAAGCCAAGACAATAGACGCCAGCAGGTACAGTGTATATATATTGCTAGCTTTCAAAGATGTAATGCTTTAGTGCGTTGAAATTTTTTATTGTAAATCATCTCTTATCTTTAGATTCAAGATTTTAATACAAATCCAGAAATTAAATTATTCATTTTGTCAACACGAGCTGGTGGATTGGGTATTAACTTGACTGCAGCGGATACAGTTATTATATACGATAGTGATTGGGTAAATATATTAAACACTTTATATCAACGTAAATCATTTAAGATATATTTATTTGATATTTTTTTTACAGAATCCTCAAATGGATTTACAAGCTCAAGATCGTGTTCATCGTATCGGTCAAACAAAACCAGTTATAATTTATCGACTTGTTACAGCAAATACAGTTGAAAATAATATTATAGAAAGAGCTACCGCAAAGAGGAAATTAGAGAAACTTGTTATCCATAAAGGAAAATTCAAGCTCCCCACTTCAAGAGAGGTTGTGGTTGCTAGTTTAACGGAATTAGCAGAAATTCTTGCAACAGAAGATAATGAAAAAGTGCAATTAGCTGAGCATGGTGATGAAATAATTCCGGAAGCAGATTTAATTCGACTTATGGATCGTAGTGAAGAAGCATTTGCAAAGGTTGGAACATCTGAAGTTGAAGAAGAAAGAGGAGAAATCTATAAGGTTATTTCAGAAGTAAGAGATGAAAATAATGATGCGTTGGCAAAAATGAGTAAGAAGGATGGGGAAATTAAATAAAATTTGAGAATTGATAAACTCGTAGGTTTTTATTTTAATGGACAGATACAATAATTTTAATAGTAATAAAATGTAATTAATCTCTTCGCTAATAAACAAAAATAATATTACAAATGTTGAGAAAACTGTAAAGCAAAATCTCATCTATTGAACTAAAATTCCATTTCACCCAACTTGTTTCTCTTTAATCTATGTCCTTTGTAAATGCATTGATTTAGATGAGTGTTAAGCCAAACCAAAGTATCTTTACAAAGGAACAAATGACGATTATTTGAGCCGATTATCAATAAATTTGCACTTATAATTGATAGGAATTGATTAGCCAATCAAAATACAGAATTAAATATATTTAAATGTTTGAAATTTTTAATCCGTGCCTTTCTCCACTTAATAAATTAAAATGTCTGTTGTACAGAGTGAACATAGCAAGAAAATATTTCGTAATAATTTGCAAGGTTTGGATGCGGTAAGCTTTTAAATTAAATAATTTTTTTTGTTAATTTATAATAATAACGCGTATTTTCTTAATTAGTATGCTCGACATAAAAAGTTTATGAAGGATTATGTAAATTTCTATGGGCGTGAAAGAGGAGTTGGCCAAACATCCACAAGTATAGAAACAAAGACCGAATTCGATATTCTGAAAGAAAATCATAAGTAAATTTTATATAAATTTTACAATTTTTTTTATTGTAAGTTATTAAAATACAATAAATATAATTAAAAGATTTCTTCGAACAGAAGATGAAGAAGAAGAAGAATTAAGTTGGGAGCAACGTGTTGCAAAAAAATATTATGATAAATTATTTAAAGAATATTGTATCGCCGAATTGAAATATTATAAGGAAGGAAGGGTAAAATAAATATATATACCTTTTAGCAAATTAATTTTTTTTTTGTTTTTTCTTATTAAGATAAAAAAATTAATTTGTAGATTGCTTTAAGATGGAGGATTGAAAAAGAAGTTATATCGGGCAAAGGCCAATTCGTGTGTGCATCAACAAGATGTTCAAGTACAAATGAATTAAAATCTTGGGAGGTTAATTTTGCTTATATGGAAGACGGTGAAAAGAAAAATGCGTTAGTTAAAATTAGACTATGTCCAAAATGTTCTGATAAATTAAATTATAATAAACAACATCAAGAAATTAAAACAGAGAAAGAAACTTATAGAGATGAAGATGAAGATAAGCATAAAAAAAGAAAAGGAAAATCTTTTGAAGAAAGTAATAGTAAAAAGAAAAAACGTGAGAGTAGTCCAGAACGAAATATAAAGAAACGAAATGATATTAGAAGCCAGAAGTCAGGTAAAAACTTTATATTACACGTATATTTAATTCAATAAATAAATTTAATGTTCTTTTAAAATCTCAAGATTCAACTGATTCAATTGGAACAAGAAGTCCTACGCCAATTAGAGACGATCAAAGAGCGATAGAGGATTTTGATGAATTTTTTACTGGTTTATTTGTTTAGAAAGTCATGACAGTTAATTTTACTAAAATAACTTTTAAGGAAAAAATGAAAATAAATTATGTATATATAAAATGAATGAACTTTATCGTAATAATGTATATATTTTATCGGCATATCACAATTCATTTTTTTTTTTAAAAAAAAAATTAAGGCTACTAACTTCATCAATCTTTTGTTGATGAGTATCTTCAAGGTAATATTTAAATTAACTAATTCGGTCACTTTATTACCTGATATAATTCTAAAATTTTCTTAGATTCGGTTTTCTTTATCATTTTTCTCATCATCTTTATTTTCCTTATTAATATCATCATTATATTCTATGAAAATTCTTTTATTATATTCTAAATTACGACAATAAATTAAAATTAATTTAATACATGTTAAATTTAATATTATATAAGGATAGAACAATTACCTGGTATGGAAACAACTAAATACTTCGTGACCCATATTCCTTTATTATTCTGAATTAATAACATTAATACCACAAATTAATAAACATACTAAATAAATTTATTCAAATTTAAACATACTTTGGTCATATCAAGTAAAGCTGTACCACGTATTAAAGAACCTTCAAGATAAATACGCATTAATTTATGTTGTGTTCCATCAGTATTTATTACTTCTTGAAATCTAGAGAAAAAAAGAATTAAGAATTTTTTTATAAAAAAACAGTCAATTAAATAAATATTACCGAACTAAACGATGCCGTCTTCTTCCACTTGAACTCGAACCTCCATGACCTTTTATTGGTGTTCCTAGAATTTTTTGACACTATAATTCGATAGGATAGGGTTAATCATCTTGTAGCTAATTTTGCTGATGACTGACTTTGATTTTACCTCAGGGTTTGATCTAATTTTCTCTAAAGCTTCATTGAATACTTTGGTTGAACCTGATGGACTAAACAACTCCTTTAAAACAAAATATATGATCACACCTTTATATTAAAGAATTTCGTGTTAATCACAAGTATTTCTCATTAATCAAGAAAAGTAAATAATTGAACGTTTGATACCGAAAACGCCAATTCCTAGCACAATTATACTGATATTTGCTGAGACTTTTGCTGCTCCAACAACTTAATTTGTTTAGAGAGATCATAAGTTAATTAATCCCAAGAGGTAACGATATTAGTAAAAAAAAAAAAATGCCCGACATGTAGGTACCCTTCTGTCCTATAGTCAATGAGCTCCTTTCTTCAGTCTTTCCTCTTCCAACTATACTTTTACGCGAACGCTCACTTGTATTATATTGTCTTCTAAATAATATTTTGTGGGCATTATTATTTGATAAACGTGTTATAGATCTTGTATTAGCCTTTATAAAATGATGAGTTGTTATTAGAACGGGTTTATTTTGAAATGAAGGTAAACAACGAATTCCAAAAGTTCGCATCGAATGTGTAAATTGAACGCGTAAAATATTAAAATTCATCATTTACTCTACCGAAGGAATTTTTAGATTATCAATTTTCATTATAACGCATGATTTTAGTCAATCGGATTTACAGGTTCACAAACCTTTTTTCTTAGAACAAATTTTTTTTTTTTGTGAATATGACAGAGCAAACTTTTAAGGCTTTTGAAAGTTATGATTTTGAAAATGATATTAATTTTCAGGTATAGCTAATCATAACATTTATTTTTCCTTAATTTTTAATAATCAATTATTTTACTTAAATTACAGTAATTTCAGTCAGGTTTACCTTCAATCCTTAATTCACACAAAGATAAGCCAAAAGAAAAATTGAATGCTCTCATAGAAAAAGCTAAATACTTTTATTATTCCAAGTAAGACATTTAATATTGAAGTTTGTATAATGAAATCGTTAAGCTAAGTTGAATCCGGAATGTTCATTTAGAATTATTCAAGGATTTGATTACGATGATTATCTGGCATGGAAAACGAACACAAAAAAATCAGTTTCCTCAAATATTGAAGACAATACTGTGTCAACATCCCGAGAAACATCAGTAAGGGATGTTAACAATAATCCTCAAACTGAACAAGCTGCGGGTAAAATTTTTAAAGTGCTAGTTAAATAAATAGCTAAGTTTTAATTTTATTGCGTTACATTGTGTTTTTTATTAATAGATAACCCACAATATCCACGAACATTCCATCAACTGGTTGAAATGATATCTAAAGAGCAACCTATACCAGGTTTTCTTCATTTTCAACTATATCAAAATTGAAATTTTTTTGTGATATATAATATTTATCAATATTTCTAAATTACAAAATTACAAATATAGGAATTAAACAAATTCCCAACGAGTTAAATAAGGGAACTCCATCGAATTCCACCATTAAACCACGTCCAAAGCCGTGGGAGAAAAAGAATATGAATAATGAATTTATATAGTCCACTTTATTTATTAATTTTATCACGATCGTGTGTATATTATCTGATACTATATAACTTACAAATCATTCTATAATACTACAGTTTAATTTTACAAATCCTTTGCTAATCGTTCTTGATCCACTAAATACATCTCATAGACGCTTATCTTTGATTCTACTAATATCCATCTTATCATTTCCAAGTCAAACCCTTCTAAACCATTTTCTGCAATAATATTTTCTTTTGTCCTATTTTCTTTTAGATTATCCAATAATGACATTGTTTCTTCGACATTGACACCTCCCTTCTCCAAATAACTTGATAAGTCTTCAATTTCTTGTTTCTCGCGAGCAAAACGCGAATTTATATAACTTATTGAAGTTGCCCACGATGTTTTTAACATTAGTCTATATGCATGATTAATACAAATCAAAGCAAGTTGCATTGTAAGTGTATTGTGAGAAATTTCTTGAATTGTTTTCATGATATTTGCTGTGTCGAGTTGTGCAGAATGACAATAGCAGTAAAGAAATGTATGACCCATTTCCTTCCATATCTTATAATCATTATTTCTGACTTGTAAATATTTTATGTACCAGTAAATTGAATCTATAAAAAATAAAATTAGAATCAATTCTTTATAAATTTCTTATAAGTAAATTAACATTCTAACCTGCATAATGACCCCCTTTTGCATAAACAATCCCTCTCAATTGCATATGTCCTGGTTCATTTGAAATCTATAATACATATATGTCATTATAAAGTAAAAAAATATCTCTTTTATTTTTTAAAAAAAAGACGAAGTACTTGCCAATTTGTTTACACAATTAACGGCCAATTTGACGTCACCTAATTGTAAAGCACTTCTTGAAGCAATTTCCAACATTTCACGAGTATTATTTAATTTATTAGGATTATGAAGCTCAAATTCCTTTTCATTAGAATGGCCATTATACTTTTCAATAAATTCGATAAATTCGAGTGACAAACGCAAAGATTCTTCAAATTTTCGATGAAAATAAAGATGCTCAATTGATTGTTTTAGTTGGGAGGGTCCTTCTTTTGAGCGAAGTAGTGTTGGGACTGGTATAAATGTATGAAACCACTATACAACAATAAAGCTTTAGTCATAAAAAAGTCTAAAGTGTTTAATAAATTAATCATAACTTATGTACCCCATCATAATCATGTTTAGGTATATACTCGAAATTATTTTGTGATGTTTCATTAATAATCTTTTTCCTTTTCTTCTTATCTTGGTCTTCAAAATTAAAGTCGAAATTAAAAAAATCAAGAAACAGTTCATCGTTTACAGGATCGGATTGGATTTCGTGATTTGAATCAACCATTTTATAAAGAAACAACCTATTTTAAATAATTGGCCAATCGGAATTTTTATATTACTGATCGTTGATCAGAATAAAAAAACCTGAATTATTAATTTAATGTAATGTAATCATATCGGCTGATTTGAAATAAAATTATAGGAGGCTTTTCTGATCAGCCGATATGTATTAAAATATTTAATTTAAAATATTAACTTTTTAATCGGATATTCCTAAGGTCCAAATTTTCAGCAGAAAAAAAAAATGATAAGGCTAACTAAAAGAAAACAACCTTTGATCCGATAATTGATGAATTAGGAAATCAGGAGATTTACATAAAAATGATAAAATGGGGGGTTTTCATGAGTTGAAGCTGATCAAAGATGGACAATTTTTTTGTTTCGCCTGCTTTATCTGCTACACTTGAAACCACTTACGATACAAATGTTCCTAAAAGAACACAGACGCCTGTTCTTGAATCTTATCCAAACACTTTAGCACAATCTACCGCATTACACGGTTCTGATTCTAATTTATCTCTTCGTAATGTTACCGGTCCTTTTCCCTCTTCGGAACCTCCGTCACCTATCACACAACACCCAAATGTTGCAGATTATTATACCGCGCGCGATCCTTTAGATTTAGCTCCTAGGCGAAAATCTGAGGAGGAAATTAGACAAAACTCCAAGAAAGTTAGAAGTTTCTACAGAGATCAAAATAAAACTATTGATACTTATTTAACACCAATAGATAGGGGATCAACTTCCGAAGACACTTCGCGTAACTTGTTAAGAGTAAATTAATAATTTTTTTATATTTATCTATAATCATTTTATAATTTATGTTAACTTTCTTTTTGTTCCTTACATCTAAAAAAGCTTAAAATTGCTGTCAATGGATCAATGGCAGTTAATATAGTTTTATTTGGGCTACAATTATATGCTGCTATTTCCTCAGGTTCTCTCTCATTATTTGCAACTATGTCCGATTCTTTTATGGATTTACTGTCAAATAGTATTTTGTTATTTGCTGGTAGAGCAGCTAAGTTTAAAAATATATTACAATATCCAACGGTATGTGAATTTAAGTAATTTTGATATTTATTTTCAAGCAAGTATAATTCATTTTTTATTCTTTAGGGGAAATCACGAATGGAAACCGCTGGAATAATTGTGTTCTCCTCGCTCATGTCTACTGTTTCTATTGAATTAATAGTAAGTAATTAGATATTTTAAATGTTTACGTATTTTAGTTAATGGTACATAGTTTGTCTACAACAGGTTGAAGCTATTAGAACACTCATTGGAGGGGAACATTCGTTAGATATTAATCTGTTAGCTATTATTTGTGTTGGTAGTGCGTTAGGTATATATTAAATAATTATATTTCAATTCTAGTGTTCGTATTTGATTTTAACATTCATTTGGTAATTATGCAGGTGCAAAATTTATACTTTTCCTCTATTGTTTTTCTCAACGTAAATTTCCCAGTGCTCGAATTCTAGCCATGGACCATCGAAATGATTTATTTGTCAATTCAATTGGTTTAGCTATGTCACTATTATCTAGACATATAAAATGGTGGATGGATCCTGTTGGTGCCATTGTTGTGGCATTGTTAATCCTTAGGAGTTGGACGAGCACCGCTTATGGCAATTATCATTTTATTAAATTTCAGTTGGTTTATTAAAATATCACTTGATAGTTTATATATATATATATATATATTGCTTATTAGAACAAATTCAGTTAATCGTTGGTAAAAGTGCAGATTCTGGATTTTTAAACCGTGTAACTTATATTGGTAAGAAACTTGAACTTTTTCGTAACGAATTCAATCGTTCTAACACCAGTATGATTTTTTTAATTCCAACTATAGCATTGACACATCATCCGAAGGTTCTTCAAGTTGATACTTGTAAAGCTTATCATGCTGGTAATAATCTTTTCGTGGAAGTTGATATTGTTATGGATCGTGAAACCCCGCTTTGGGAGAGTCATGATATTGGTGAAAGTCTCCAAATAAAATTAGAGAAACTAGTAAATGTTGAAAGAGCATTCGTACATGTAGATTATGAGACAAGTCATAAGCCAGAACATCATAAAGAAGAATAAATCAATGCAAGAGTATTATTTTATGTAATATTAGTTCTACAGTTATTAATTTGTAAAATTATTTTTCATACATTGTCTGCGATTAAATTACTTTTAAATACAAAGTTTTTGCTTGTATCTTAATATCTATCTAATGAATCATAAATCACGAATTGTTTGCGGTTTCCCCTTGAAATTAAATCCAACATGAATAAACAGAGTTAGTCATATCGTGTCCCATACAGGTTCAAGTCCCAAAGTCAGGCCAAAACCTGGCCCTCCGTTAACAATTTGAGTAAGATGTTCCTCGCCCCGTGCTTGCCGAGGACTTATTATCGACGAAAGATACGGATTTACCCAACGCCCGAAGAAAGAGAAAAGCTAAGAAAGTGGATGGGTGGACGTATAATAGAATACGCGTTCCTAAAGAGTATCATCACCTCAGAGAGATCAATAACACGGTTAACATAACTATGAATCACCTAGGACATTTTTACTTGTGTGTTTCCGTTCTTTTGGACATTATCGGTAACCAAGATGATGTTCGTGGAAAAGTAATCTCGCTAGATCCAGGTGTTATGACAGGTTACGATCCCGATGGTCAATTAATTAAGTGGGGTAACGGTGATATTGACAAAGTATTCAAATTGTCCAAGAAGATGAATGCCATCACCAGACTGGCCCGATGGTTATGTCAGGATTACGAGATCATTTTGCTACCTAAATTCGAAACATCACATATGGTACTCAAGAATAAAAGAAAGATCCAATCGAGGACAGCCCGCGCAATGCTAACCTGGTCGCATTTCAGATTTCGAATGTTTCTTTGCACGATCGTTTCAAAATGGATGTGAAACCCTTGCGTTTCCAGTTGAGACCTGACCCGATGTCCTTGATGAGTTCGTGGTCTGGACATTTCTGTCTGATTGCCTGTCGAGATCCTCTTTCTGCTTCTCTGAACTGACCCTTGCGTAACAGATCTTTTTCTTTTCATTTATCCTTTCTTGATTTCCAAATATCTTCTCCACATCCGCTACAGATTACAATCTGTTACCACACCACCTGGTGTTCTGACGCTCGATATCTTTCCTTGGTTGTTCCACCTTCTCAATGTTTCAGATATCTCGTATGTTTTTCGGATTTCTTGTGCTCCTCTACTTTGTCGTTGACATTAACATGCGAAAACGGGACTTATTTATACTTGTCAAAGAATATTAAATCATCGTAATGATAATGATTCAATATTATTTGATAATCAGATACTTAAAAATAACAATCAGTAAAATAAATAGCAAACATAGTAATTGTACAAACCGTGTACCCGTGTACCGTAACATATCACATGATTGCTTACGTCATATTACCAGATAGAGATTTCCAAGACGGAAATTTAGTTCGTTACTTTGAATTAAAAAAAGGAACAATAATGCCACTTTACGAAGAACCAGCAGCTACAACGCAATATACACAATACGCTACGGATCCAGCTCTTGGTAGGTTTTTCCAACTATGGTGAAAGTAGTTACGGGAACAAATCAGGACACATTAAGTTTAGAGGAGGAAGATACTTTATACATTATCTTTATGACGTTTTGAATTGAAACCCCTGGGTAAAGCAATATAATGTGATGAATGCAATAATAAGGACTAATACGATTTGACGTTTTGATCTATTATTTAGCTCAAACAAATGGTGTAGAAGAAGATACAACTAATACTGAACCAACTTCACAAAAATCAGATTTGGAACGCTATTGGGAAATCGTTAAGGCTAACCCAGATGTAATTAATTCATTGCATTGAAAGATTATATTTTGATTGATTTGTTAATTTTTTAAAAATTTTTACGTTTTAGGATTTTGCATCATGGGAATATTTGATTAGAGTTGCCGAGAGTGCAGAAGGTGGTCTAACACCAAAATCACCACCAGAGAATATTACTAATATGCGTGAAGTATTTGATCAATTTTTGGCCAAATTTCCTTTATGTTTTGGCTATTGGAAGAAATATGCAGATTTTGAACTTACTATCCAAGGTCCAACTGAAGCCGAAAAGGTGAATTTGAAGTCATTTCTCAAACCTATGTATACTTGATTTAGTAGATAATTTACAATAAAAAATTTAAATAGATTTATGAACGTGGTGTCGTTGCTATAGCAAATTCAGTTGACCTTTGGACGCAGTATTGTGGTTTTAAAATTGAACATTATTCTGATGATTTAGAAGCCATAAGAGGGTAGGTTCATGCTTTATTCTGATAATTCAATAGTTTTGTTATTTTGTACTGCCGTTTTGCATTCTTTATTGGTTTGTTATATATTACTTTATGTTTCAAAAAGTATGGCAGAGATATCTCACTTTAATCCAGTCAGGATAACAGTAAAGACGAAGTGAATTTATTATTTGACATTACTTTTGTTGTTTGTATTTTATGATATTTTGTTATCAGCAATTTTTATTTGGTTGAATAACAGCATTAAGATGAATGAGGAATCGTAAAGGTGTTAGAAATTTGCCAGATGATGACTCAAAGACATCCGACGAAGAATTTATACCCATTATAATCATAATATTACAGGATCTGGTCTAATTGTAATCTAAGTTTTAGCTTTGAGTTTTAGTCACTTTATTTTTGATAAATACATGTTTTCCTTTATTATGAGTTATTATAAGGTATCAACAACTAAATACATAATTTATATTCATTTATTTAATAGTTTATTTGAACGTGGTGCTGCTAATGTAGGATTGGATTTCCTTTCCCATTTATTTTGGGATAAATATGTTGAATTTGAGAAATCTGTTCAGGATTACGTTCGTGTTATGAAAGTACTGGATAGGATCATTCGTATTCCTATTCATCAGTACGCTAGGTTTTTTGAAGAGTAAGTGAATTTTTTTTTTATTAATTTATTATGTATGTTCTTCATCATTTCTACAAAATGGTATTTTTCTTCAAAAAGTTTCAATAACTTGCTCAGTACACGGCCAATTGCTGAATTATTAACCTCTGAACAATATAAAAAATATGAGGAGGAGGTAAAAGCAACACCACCTACTCCAACTGAAGGAACGGAAGGTGAACAACCACTTCCTCCTACAGAAAAGGTCGGCATATAACTTAATATTAAATTTTTAGAGAATTTAGCAATTTTTAATAATATCTAGAGTGTTTTTACATTCATTTAGACAGAGGAACAAATCCAGAACGAGATTCGAACACGCGTATATAATCTCTACGTGGATAGTTATACTAAAACACATAATGAAGTTAATAAGCGTTGGGTGTTTGAGCAAGAGGTATACTTGTTTTTAATAAATCTTCTCGTCATATAGAATATACAAATTATTTTGCAAGGATGATTGTGTAACATTTTTTTTTTTTAATAATAAATTTTCATTAGATTAAAAGACCGTACTTTCATGTTAAGGAAATGGACATTCCTCAGCTAACCAATTGGAGAAGGTATCTTGACTTTGAAGAAAGTGAGGGCGATGATACAAGAATTCAAGTGTTATATGAACGATGTTTAGTTGCTTGCGTAAGTTTATATTATTATCTAAAGTATTTACTATTCTGAATGTTTAATCACGCCGTTCTCATTCTTAGGCTTTATATGAAGAATTTTGGCAAAGATATGCACATTGGATGATTTCCAAAAATAGGTGCGATGATGCGCGAAATATATATATTCGGGCTATTTCCGTCTTTATACCAATCAGGTAGTTTTTATTTATTTATTTATTTATTAATAATGTTTATGATAATGTAATTATTTATCGACGCTTTTATTATATTTTCAAGCCGCCCAAGTATTCGATTGTCATTTTCTTGTCTTGAAGAACAACAGGGCAATATTGAGGAAGCTAGAGACATATATAAAAATATAATGGAATCATGTGCGGATTTAATAAAATTTTGTCTTTATTTATTTAATGCCTTTACATTATTTTTAACAGACTTTCGAATTTGATTTATTAGCTCTTGGCCACGTAGAAACGATAATGAAGTATACACATTTTGAGCGTCGTCGAAATCCTGATGATTTATCCAAAGCCTTAAATATTCTAACATCAGCTCTTGAGAGCGACACATTGGATGAGAAATCAAAATCTTATATCATAGTACAATATTCAAAGATGATATGGCATGTAAGTTAATTTATTCATGTTGTATAGTATCTTTGTGTAAATAAATAAATCATTTTTTTTCCCTTCGTTTAAAGCACAAAGGTTCAGTAGAAGATGCACGTCAAATCTTCCAGCAAAATGCGACGAAATGTTTGGATAGCAAATATTTTTGGTGGAATTGGTTCAAGTTTGAGCTATCTCAAAATGGTATGTAGTTGTAATATTATAAAAAGTATTTTAATAGGCGAATATTTGATCGTTGATATTTATTATTCTAGATTCTGAGGTCGAAACATACGTTAAAAACGTGGTTGAAATGATTCGCAATGTCACTACTTTGTCAGCCGAAACAATACGAGACATTCAAAATAGTTACCTAGAGTTTCTTATGGAGCGTGGATCTACAATTTCTTTATATAACAAGATTGATGCAGAGACACATGGTCCTATTGCTATTCGGGCTGTAGCTGACTCAAAAAAACGTAGTGTGGAAGAAGATGATGATAAACCTTCTAAGCAGTTACGTATTGATGGAGAGGTTGATCCTACGGCGGTTGAATCTGGCGCAGTATCACCAGTAGTTTCCCCGGCTGCTTCGTATGCTCAACCGCCCTATTACCCGCAAGGTCCATGGAGCACACAAGGATATACGAGTTACCCAGCTGTAAGCGCTGCTTCTGCTGCTAACGCTCAGCAGGTAGATTATTGGTTTTTTAACTTTTAATCATTTATTAATAACGGTAATTAATATACTATAAATTAATTTAGACAAGTTATCAATATCCGTATCAATATTCCCAATCGACCGCTGGTGCTGCCACTGCCACTTCCGCTACTCCAACTCAAGTTCCATCGGGCACATGGGATTATAATCAACCAAGCGCAACAGGATATTAATTCCGAAAAGAGACAACCTTTCCCGTTTTATGTTGCTTGTTTTGTGTTTTTTTCATTTATTTCTATGCTGATAAAATAACAAAAATTTCGAGACGTTTAATCTAGGGAAATTGGTGCCATCATTATGTACTACTGGTGGGACGAAAAGTTATCTTTTGTGTTATTTTAATTTTTTTGCTCGTTTTGTGTAATTTTCCGTCACGATTTGGTATGCTTCGTTATTATTGGACTTTTTTCACGATGGTGCATTTAGCAGCACAACAGCAGACATTTGGTAATCGTAGGATTAGCTTTCAACCAAGGCTAGTCAATATCGGATGACAATGAATGGAACTAAGTTTATGAATGTTGTTTCGAATGGTATTCTTTCTTGTTCCATTTTTGTTGATCTGACAGGGGTATAGTATGTTCAAATTTCTGTTAATATCTGAAAATTTTTTTTTTTTTTTTTGCTGCTTTTATTAGTACTTCATTTATTTGTTGCCTTGAATTCTCCCTCCTCTTACAAATAACATTTCTGTTCGGTTTTTTTTTGCTTTTTTTTATGTAACTTTACAAATACCCGTTATCGTGAATGTTGTGACTAATTTAAACGACTATAATTAAAAACGAATCAGAAAATCCATTAATTTACTGAAACTTTTTTAGCATACTTATTTTCTATCTGTAATCTTTTTTAATTTGTAATTATAAAATAACATGCTCCTTAGTGAACACATTCATTATTATATAATAAAATTTATGAAATCATTAAGCAACTTTGTCATGTGACTATTCACCTTGGACAAGTTTTTTGATTAAAAAGTGACGTAATTTAATCTTAGACATACTGACATACTTTCCCGAACTAAGAAAGTATATTATATCATTATTATTAGTGTCGAAAAAATTTTAAGAATTCATGTCTTATATCATTATTATTAGTGTCGAGAAAATTTTAAGAATTCATGTCATAATGATACAATTTTTACGAATATTGCAATTTGAATGCCGAAATTATTTAAAAAACGAAAGCTGAAAGTAACTTTTATCACAAAAATTCTCAAAAATGTGTTCGCAACAAGAGACACCTAAAAATATTAATGAAGCTACAAGTATCCCGAAACAGGGAACCCAGACTCAACCTGGAGTCACGCATGAAATGAAACCTTTTCCTGTGGTTCATCACTTACCACAGGGGGAGGATGATCATCTGGAAGAATATCAACCTGCTAATAAATTGAAAAACAAGATTGCATTGATTACTGGAGGAGACAGTGGTATCGGACGTTCGGTTGCTTGTTTGTTCGCTTTGGAAGGAGCTTCCGGAATTGCGATTACTTACCTTCCTCGTGAAGAAAAGGATGCGCATGAAACAAAAGAAAGAATCGAAAAACAATCGAAAACCGAAATTTTGTTAATAAATAAGGATGTTGGATACGAAGAAAACGCAATTGATATCATCAACCAAGTTGTTAAGAAGTGGGGAAGAATTGATATTCTGGTGAACAACGCTTCTGAACAGGTATATCTGATTAAAATTTTAATATTATGGTGCCAACTTTTATTTATAATAATGTTTTTCATAATATAGCATTTGACAAGTCGTATTGAGGATTTATCTTCTGAACAATTGGAACGAACTTTTAGAACAAACATTTTTGGCATGATTTATCTTGCGAAACACGCAGTTCCACATATGAAAAAAGGTAGTACAATTATCAATACGACTTCTGTCACCGCGTACAAAGGATATGCAACTTTGCTTGATTATTCCTCAACCAAAGTAAGATATTACTGGTTTATTTTTTTAAAATTGTGATGTCATTTCTCAAAATATCTTTGGTAAATAGGGAGCGATTGTCTCCTTCACCAGATCTCTTTCTCAGCATTTGACCGAACGCGGAATTAGAGTCAATGCCGTAGCACCCGGGCCAATTTGGACTCCGCTTATTGTTGCATCTTTTCCAACTGAGGCAATGGAAAAATTTGGAAAAGAAACTCCCTTGGGAAGACCTGGACAGCCATCTGAAGGTAAATTTTATAAATTTTTGGGGTAATATTATTTATTATAAAGTAACATAAATAATATATATGTACACATGTAGTTGCGACAAGTTATGTTTTCCTTGCTAGTAGTGATTCAAGCTATATCACCGGACAAGTTCTCCATCCAAATGGAGGAACAATTGTCAACTCTTAACTTTGATATAATCGTTTCACAAAGTATTGTGTAGTACGAAATATAATAATAAATAAAAATGGTTTTTTTTGACTCCGACAAATGAAAATTTTTTTTAAGACTTTGAATTCATCTTTAAACATATCTCGCATTGTTACAAAAAAAAATTATTTTCGCGTATATTCGTATATTCCCAACGTTCCAAAAAAGTGTTTATTGATTAAAACAATAAAAAACTGATTTAAATTAAGTTAATGTAAATATTTTGTTATATAAAGAATTTTAATCTTCAGCGAACCATACGATATTTGATAATGAATAACTGATATATATATTTGTATCTCCATGTGATGGCAATGTATTTGCAAATTTATTGCTTCCATTAATTTTTTACATGGTTTCGTTATATATAAAATAAGTCGATCTGTATAATGTAATAATTGGATCCACACGAATTATACCTAATCTTGTTGGCCTAAATCAATACATCAAAGCTTCAATTTTCAGATTTAAGGCAGTACACATTATTTTAGTAAATTAATATTTTCTGTGTATATTTCTCTCCAATTAAAATTGTAGTTAATCTGTTGCTTTAAAAAATTAATACTGTTTGATCGAAAATTTCATGCAAACGAATAACAAACTTACATTGATACAAAAAAAAATTCATGTTTATAAACAATTAATAAGTATATTATAATAATACAAAACAAAAAGAAAAAATTTTCTTTGCAGGGAAGAACGCTATGTATACTACATGCACAAAAAAAAACCGGTTTTTTTTGCTTAAAATGATATATATATGAAAGTAATATGTATAAGTAATATATATGTAATATATATTATTATTATTATTTTCATTTGGAAAAAAGAAAAAAAAAAATATTATAAATCTACTTTGCCAGAAATGAAATGAAATGAAATGAAATAAATAAATAAAAAAACCAATCTTTTATGTGTTAAATTTATACTACCCATAATACTTATTAAAAAAATACATAAAACTCAAATGTGCTGCATACGATTTATTTTGATTCATTATTTCCCAATTTCATCTTTCGAACTAAATTTACCATTTACAGCGTTTTCAATGGAAGATCGTTGAGTAGTACGTGTTTCTTCCTTTTCTTGTTGAACAAATACACTAAAATCATCTTGTATTAGTTCCTGTTCATATACCACACTTTTCCTTTGCGAGTTTAATTCGTCCATATCATCAGTTAAAACAAATTGAAGTGAACTTATGGAATTTCGTTTTGGGTTCAATTCATTATTTATGAATAAGTTATCGTGTTGTTCTACAGTGAAATCTTTTTTTGTTGTTATATTATCATTTGATGCACTTTCTTGTCGACGAACAACTTTTCCTGGTTGTAACGGTTTGTCCAATGTTGACTTATATTCAATGTAATTATCTATTCTGTCAATTAAATGTTCATTAACTGTATTAAACATATTAATCTGTTGTGGTAATGTTTCAAAGTCTGAATCAAAATCTATAAGATTCACCGAATATCTAGATTTATCTAGGAATCTTTCATTTAGTTTTATTGCTGGCATAGGAACAACAGTATTCGTATCATTCAAGTTTCGCAGTGTTTCATTAACTTGTTCTGTTTGATCTTTACTTTTCACAAATTCTGCATTTTCCAGTACTTCGGCAACATCCTGTTCATTTTTCAGAGATCCTATTATAGATGTATTTTCCGATATTTCAGTAACATTTTGTTCGTTTTTCACAGGTTCTACTGTAGATGTATTCTCTGATACTTCAATAACATTCTCTTCATTTTTTACAGACTCAACTATAGATGCATTTTCCGAAATTTCAGTAACGTTCTGTTCTTCGTTTTTCATAGGTTCAACTGTAGGTGCATTCTCTGATACTACAATAACATTCTCTTCATTTTTTACAGACTCCACTATAGATGCATTTTCCGAAATTTCAGTAACGTTCTGTTCTTCGTCTGATACTACAACAACATTCTCTTCATTTTTTACAGATTCCACTATAAATGCATTTTCCGAAATTTTGGTAACGTTCTGTTCTTCGTTTTTCACAGGTTCTACTGTAGGTGTATTCTCTGATACTACAATAACATTCTCTTCATTAATTATAGATTCCATTATTGATGCATTTTCCGATATTTCGGTAACGTTTTGTTCTTCGTTATTCACAGGTTCTACTGTAGGTGTATTCTCTGATACTACAATAACATTCTCTTCATTTTTTATAGATTCCACTATAGATGCATTTTCCGAAATTTCGGTAACGTTCTGTTCTTCGTTTTTCACAGGTTCTACTGTAGATGTATTCTCTGATACTACAATAACATTCTCTTCATTTTTTACAGATTCCACTATAGATGTATTTTCCGAAATTTCGGTAACGTTCTGTTCGTTTTTCACAGGTTCTACTGTAGATGTATTCTCTGATACTACAATAACATTCTCTTCATTTTTTACGGATTCCACATTTTCCGATATTTCGGTAACGTTCTGTTTTTCATTTTTCACAGGTACTATAGATGCATTCTCAGATACTACGGTAACATGTTCTTCGTTTTTCGAAGATTCTACTATATTTGCATTTTCTGATACTTCAGTAATATTCAATTCTTCAGTTTTCACGGATTCCATTATAGATGCATTTTCTGATACTTCACTAACATTCGTTAAAACAGATTCACAATTATTTTCTTCGAAAATGTTATCTGAATACTTGTGTATTTTATTTTCTGATTCTTGTAATGATAGTTCTAATTCACCTTCCGGATCCTCTGTTACATCTGTTAATGTTGAATCTCTGTTACCAATATCTTCGATATCAATATATTTGTGTTGTTCTAAAACTATTGAATGTTTAGATAATGATAATGATGATTCTAGAGAATCTTGTAAATTTTTTTGTAAATTTTCACTTCCTTCTTTAATATCTCTATCTGATCCCTCCCATGAAAGTCTTTCAAATTCGTTAGCTAAATTATTTAAATCATCATAATTAGGTTCATGTATTGGTTCATTTTCTGAAACGATTATATCTGAAGAAGCTTCAAATGAAGCATCATCATCCGTTACTATAGTGTTTTCTTGAGTTTGGCGATCTTCATTCTCTCCATCAGGTTCACTAGTTTCAATATCTGGATCTAAAAGATCATCGTGATATTCAATCTCAGAGGCGTCTTCATTCTCTTCTTCAATATTAAAGAACCAATGATATTGAAGAATTAAACTCTTGATGATACTACTATGATGACCTATATTACTCATGGATTTTACAAAATCTCTTGATTTAAGTAAATTGGGTCCAAACACAATAGCCAAGTTTCTAGCGTACATATGATTGGTTTCTTCATAATCTGTAACTCTATATTATTAAAATATATATATATATATAAATAAATATATATATATATTCATCAACAAGCATTTAAACGAAAAATAGATATATGCGTGTGACTTTACCTTTCTAGATGTTCGATTAATCTTTTTAATAATTCAAAATTTGGTTTTGGGAGTCTATACAAAAGGTCTTTAATAGCATAGAGCTTATCATCTTGATCTTGAAGATCTTAAAAAAATAAATAAATAATAAATAAATAAATATATATATAATAAAAAGCGTAATTAATAATTTAAATCATTTGCGAAATTATTATTTTTTTTTTTTTATACCATTTGCTTCAATGAATTCATCATATAGTTCAAATGTCATTAAAGGTTCTGGAAGATCACGGAAGAAACGCTTTAGAGCACCTGCTACAATATTAATATCTCTGTATTCCTCACTACTCAAATCGACAGCATCAGCGTCTAATTATAAAATATAAAATAGAATATATTATATAAATATATACACATATACATTTAAATAATAAATATATATATATACACATACTTTTATTAAAAGCTGTTATGAGTCTATTAACAGCTTTATCGGCCCCGGGAACACGATAAATACCAACTTCTCTAAGACCTAAAATTAAATCTATTCCTTCAGTACAAAAAGGGGGAAGAAAAAAACCTGATATCGTATATTTTTATATGTTAGCTTGCCTCTATTTTCAATCTCAATTATGCATTTTTCAACAAAAACTGGAATCTTTCCATCAGGCATCAATGTACTTAAGTCTTTACCGTATACTACACAAAACATAATTTAATAAATCAGGAATTAGGAATTGACAGTTTAAATATAAATTAGGAGCGAAAAAAAAAAAGATAAAATTCCGATTTGCGATTTCATTGTATGACGTCACGTGAGGGAAAGAAACTCACGGGATCGATCATTTTTCATAATGCGTGGACAATTATTATAAACTTACCAGAATTTCGTATTTTAGGTTCATCAGGAACTTCCTCTTCTTTAGGTAAGATGTTAAATTCTTTATCCAATATAGTACTACGTTTCTGTGCCCCTTCTTTGGCTGCTTCGTTAATAACTCGTATCCAGTCGTTCATATTATCATTATCAAGAGCTTGAAACATATATCGACCTCCTTCTTCGGTCACAATTCGAAAAACAAAATCGAGTGATAAACCAAAATCTGATGCCTCACACGTGACGGAATTAATTAAATTAATAACTAGTGCTGGTTTGGAAGATGTGTAATGAGATTGTCCAGATGAATACTTAATATTCGTAAAGTTTCCAGAATTGTGTGATTGCCAAGGACCCCCAAAAATAGACAAAGGTCTTGCTACTTGTTTGATAAAACTTTCGACCCTAGATTTATTACGCGGTCTCTGATGTTTCTTATGCATCTCTTTAGTTAAACGATCTCTTTCTTTCTGATCGCGTTTTACCTTTTCTTGTTGCTCAGCGACAAGTTTATTAAAAGGTTTTTGATATTTAAATTTTGACTGTGCACTCGCGATACGAATTGCGCTATTTTCCTTAATAGCAATATCTTTAATATAACGTAGGTCTGATTTGGAATTACTATCATGTGAACTTGCATTCATTAAATGTTGAACATCAACAGGAGGGTTCATTCCTTGAGAAAGTTCCGTTAATTCATGTTGCAATCGAACAAATATTTGTGTAAGATTATATACGTAACGACGTTTATCGTAATTAATTAATTTTTCTGATTCAAAAGACATATCAGGAACATTACAACATATTTCCAACATTCTTTCAAATAACCATCCAACACATGGTACTAAAGCGAAATTAGGGTGTAAATCTTCGATAGGTTTAGATAATTCATTATGAAGTAAACTATCAAGGGAATCCAAACCACTACTTCGACTTTGTGCTACATCATTCCAAGCTCTTGTGAAATATCTACTTTCTGGACTAATTAAACCACTAACAATTGAACTCTCAATAAAAGATGGTACTCCTCTTTTAGATTCAGAATCTTTAGGGGATTCATCTTTTGGATAAATATCTAATTTAGCCATTCTCCTTCTACTTAACAATATCATATCAACCAATTTATTTATTCGATTCACTCGTTTATCACATTCAATAGATGGTGATGTAATTTCTTGAATTATCCAGTTACGTATAATGTTATGCATGCGACACAAGGCTTTGATTGATCGAGGGAGTGAACAGAGAACATTTTCTTTAGAATTGCTAATTCGTTCCGTACGTTGTAAAGTTATAAATATGTCAGTAATAAAAATTTCATCATCTGAATTTGAAGAATGTTTTTTCGGATACCATCCAAGGATATCGGAAGACTGAGTTTCAAGAATCTCATAAGCCAAAATCCAATCTTGTGGTGTCACCGCCTCAAACAATTTAAGAACCATTAAATCAATATTATCCAAAAGGTCACAAGCTTCATTATTATCTATTGAATGAATAGCTATATTATCATTATCTATGATTTGTTTATTATCATTGTCTGATGATGATAATTGATATGAATCATTTAAAACTTTATCAACAAGACTAGCCATCTTTTCATTTTGAAAATCGTGAGCTGGTTTAAGACTCTTTTCTGAAGCTGAATGTTTTAAAGAATTTAAAGAATCTTTAACTTCTTTAACCAATATTATTAGAGATTCTTCCTTAACAATTTTAGACCAACTTTCCACTTCAATTTTGGCTTCCTCAACAAAATGCATTAATCGATTTTTTAAAGTCAAATCATCCAAGAAATCATAAAAGAATTGTGAAATCCAATAATGAAATACTTTTAAAACCTTTTTTTGAATTGTACCAATCGCATAATTTGTATCACAATCTTTTTGAGATTCAACATCTTTCTTTGCACTAATGAAACGTTTTCGTAAAATATCAAGAAGTAAAATGGGACTACAAAAACTACGGTATGTACTAAAAAAAGTTGCTAAATATTCTTCAGAATTAATTCCGAGTTGTCCCTGTTTTCCAACAGTTAAAGGTGGTTCACCGTTGTCATCAACAACACTTGTGCTATAAGAAGCGACACCATTAACTAAAACATCAACTAAACGTTCCAAAGTTCCAGCTTTAACAACAACCATTAAAGCATCATGATGATCAATATTATAAATACTCGTACGTGGTGAATTTTGTTGTTGTGTAAGAGCAACAAGACCATGAATCGAATTACGTTTGGAACTTGTTCCAGAAGAATTTTCAACAAGACTTGCAGGACGAGATCCAGTAGCATCTCTAACAGATTTGAAGACTAATTCACCATCTTTTACAAACATTAACATTTCACCAACACCAGCGATATCTTTCATACATTTTAATAAAAAGGCATAACCTCCACGATTTTGAACAAGCCCACCTAACCAATTTCTTGTAACAAGATCCAACCCAGTATTCCATGTAGTAGATGTCAAAGGACCTATTTTAGCTGGTGGAAAAGATAAAGTTCTCTTTCTAACACCACGTTGTACTGAAAGGTGACTTGGAGAATTAGGTTTATTCTTAGAACTTGAAGCTGGAAGTGATTCTAAATTAAGAGGTGTAGGTGTGGGACGTCCAGAAGATGATATTGTAGGATTATTATCCCCAATATTTAATGAAGAATTAGATGCCCTCTTACCTAAAGCTCCACTTGCACTTAAGAAAGCATTTTTTTCAAATAAACGATTTGTTGGTATAACTTCTGTAAATACTAAAGGGACATATGCAGAATAAGGTTTTCGTTGAAGAGCATGATGTTCCAAATATTGACCATGAAGACGTGGTTCACAAATTAAAGAAGATTCAAATAATTGCCAAGTATCAAGAGCTGATGAAGCGGGAACAGAATTAAATTGATGGAAAAATTTTTGTAAAGGAGAAGAAGGTGAAAAAGGGCAAATATCTTCACAGAGTTCATTAAAATTTATAAGTTGTTGACATTGATCAAGAGATTCAATAAGAGTATCATACATCTTCCAATATTTTTCAAAATTTACAACACCTCCTGAAATACTATTATTCCTTGAACCGGGACGTTTATCATTAACAGAACGATCAATTACAGATGGAATATTTGAATTTAATCGTTCCATAGTAAGAGTGATGAAACCAAAATATGGAATAGGTTTTGTCATGTTCTTTTCTTTTTTATCTTGTACAACAAGAAGTAAAGATTTAACATTTTCAATATCAATTTCACCATCAATACCTCCACATGTAATTAAAAGTGGTACCCAATCATTAATAACAACATCGATCCAATGTTTATTAACTCGTCTCCATGCATCCTTTAAACGTACTATGGCAGGTGAACAAATAGCTAAAGCAACTGCTAACCATCCAGTCATATCACCTAATGATTTACATGCTATACCAGTCTCTATCCAATGAATTAATAATAAAGGTCGACGACTAGTATAAGCTGATTGTTGAGTTAAAGTTAATATATGATGATATATTAATCTTGTTATAAAATGAGGTGATGCAGGAGTAGCATTTAATGGACATGTAATTGATTCTGAACGATTTTTTGATGGTATAAAACTTTTTAAATTTTGTCCCAAGTTCATCTTTTTAAATTCCAAAAAATGATATATATAAAGTTGTTGAGCCAATTCTTTTGGTATCATCTTTAAGAATAAAGCAGGAGTTAAACCTGTAACAAGTAAATTAGAAAGATCTAAAGAAAGTGGAGCTGGAGGACCTTTAAGAGATTTTAATTGATCTTCCATATTATCATCTTTAATAAAATTTTTTTGAACATTTTCACGAGTTTCCTGTATCAAACTTTTTAATTCTTCAACTTCAATGATATCTTCTTTAATCAAAACTTCTTCCAAAATTTCCATCATTCCATTATATACATCATCACGTGATAAATCATTACCATAATTTTTACACCATGTGGATAAAATAGTACATAATCTTTTGCTAATAAATTTTGATTTCTTTAATTCATCATTATCACTAATATTACCACAACGACGTAATTCACGAAATATATGATTTGGTTCAGTAAAAAGAGAATAAGTTAAAAGGAAAGTAAGAAGAAATTCATCATTATTATCATTTGGACCCTTTTGAGTTTCAAATATAAGTTCATGAATTAATGAATCAATTAAACCTCCACGAATAAACCTTTGTGATAAAGATGAAGAATCAATTATAGGAGATGATGGTGACACAGGAGAAGTAGTTGCTGATACATTATCATGATCAAGATTTTGTTGAGAGTTGATATCTTTTATAATTAATTCAGGATGTTTAGTAGTTCCCCAATAAGCTCTTACAAGTTTTCTCGAATCCGGTTTATCAGAAGAGGTATGATCATGTGATCCAACAGGTATATTATCCATATCTGAACCACCTTCTTGTATCATAATTTTTCTTAAACTTTTCTTTTTTGCATCAAATAATTTTGCCTCCCATAAAGATCTAATTTCATTATTTGGTACAACGAAAACACGATAACTATCTTTATCTTGACCATCAGTTATATTTAAATATAAAATAGCACTTGAAGAAGATGGAGTATTTGCAGCAACAGAAATTGAAGAAGAAGTAGAATGAAGGGAAGAAGTTTCAACATCATTAATTCTATTTGTAGTAAATTGTTGATGATGAGAAGAAGAATTAGGTACAATATAAGGAGAATAAGTAGCTTGAAAATTTGGATCAATAACTTCAATACTATGAATTGGATAATAAGCATCAAGTTTCCATTTAGTAAAATAACCTTTACCCTTATTATTATTATTTGTATTTGTACCATCATTATCAGTAATACCACGAGTACTACTAATACTTTTTGAATCAATATCTTGACCACCAAATTCAATATCATTATTATTTGAATTAGGAACATTTGTAGAAGAATGATTACCACCACCTAAACCAATAGCACCCATTAATCTTAAATTAGTAGTATATCTAATAAATTTACGTTTACAAATAATTACATTGTCCTCAAATATAAGTAAACAAACTAATTTTTTAAATCTCATTAAAACTGAACGATCCACTTCATAACCCTTTTCACCATAATAATATTTTTTTATAAGATTACTTTCAAAAATAAATTTAGCAGCATTTGAATCAAAATTAGAAGGATTAAGATTCATTCCACGATCATTAGCTATAACAGGGGAGAAAGAAGTTGAATGAACATCATTACCTATTGATGAATCATTATTATTACTAGGAAAAAAAGTTTTCAAAACTGCTTCAGAAGGAGGTTTATAACAAAATAATTTTGAAGCCCTTAAATTAACCTTATAAACTTTCCAACCTCTCGAAGTTAAAAAAGGTTTTGAATCAAAATCAATCTTTTTTAAATAACCTTCTTTAATTACAGGAACATTTGATATTGAAGTAGAAGAACGATCAATAGGAGATATCATACCATCATCAACATTATGAACATTAATAGCAGGTACTCCATTTCTATAAGTAAATATTCCTGGTGGAAAATTACTTCTTATAGGTGTTGGTTCAGAAGGACGTCTTTGATGATCACTAACACGATTTCCACCACCTCCTATATCTATCTCATTTAAAGATTTAGAACTTTTTGTAGAAGGTGGTTTTAAAGTTGGACTAGTTATATAAGTAGGAGATTGAGGAGCAGGAGAAGGAGTACTAATAGTGATTTCATGATTTTTTTTACCACGCATTATTTTAGGTGTTATTGACTTTGCCGTTTCGACAACTACTGGTATCAAATTTTTAGGAGCTTTATTTATAAGATAATTAATTGCAGTATTAGCAGTTTTTCTGTGTAAAACTGCCAATTGTTTATTTGATGAGTCATTACTATTTCCTGATTGTTTTGTTGATTGATTTTTTTGCTCCTCGGACTTTTTCGGTTTTTTTTTAAACATTACAAAAGATATTATATATATTTCGTGAAAAAATTACGAGTATATTTTTTTTTTTTATTTCAAAATGTTAAAAAATAAATACAATATAGGAAAAATGGTTGTAATATATTGTTTATAGTTGTAATAATAATGAAAGATTTTTTTTTTAATCGTCTAAAAATGATATTTTCGACACTGTCATTAAACAGGTAAGGGGAAAGAAATGAATAAATAAGAAGGGAACGGGTAAATAATATAATTTTTTTTTCGTTTTTTTTTTTTTTTTTGTTTGTTTATAAAATGTTTTTTTTATTTCGAACCTTTTTATTATAATGAATAAATAAATTTTTGTACACCGTCCGACATATAGAAAATTTGAATAATTTTTTTTTTTTCGAGATGAGGACGGAAAGGAGGGAAGAAAAAGAAAAAAAAAAGAGAGGGAAAAAAAAATTTGACTAAACAGTAAGAAATGTGGAGAAAAATTTGTTTAGTAAACAAGTAGAGTATATTTTAATTGGGGGATACAATATCAAAAACCTGTAGCACGGTCATCATACATAAACTGAAAAAAAAAAAAACGAAAGTTGTATAAAATGAGTTTAGATTTTTATGTTGAATGTTTATCAAATGTTTTTAATTTTGGAAATGGGTTCATATGATAACAATAATAAAAAAAAATTTACTTTTTTCACGTAAGTATCAATTAAAAAAAAAAATATACTCTTTTTGTCAGTATTCAGAACAAATTTTATTATGAAAAATATGACTTATATAATTTAAAGAAATTTTTTCTTTTATATTTTATTTTTATTATTCTTTTACAATTCCGGTCAAAATCTTGTTAGTGTTTCCACACTTTGTTGTTCAAATGTTACATTATCAAATTTTTTTTTTTGGACCATACGGTTATTTTTATTTTTAGTTTATTTTTCTAATACTTTTTTAATAAATGACGACAAATATTTATTTATTCAAAATAAAACGGATAAATAAATATTAAAAATTATTAAATTACTCAAACACATACATTTATTTTTCGTTTTCCCTGTTAAAAGATAAAAAGAAAAAAAAATAAAATTAAAAAAAATAAAATAAAAATAAACGCATGTATAAGATTAACCGCGCGAAAATCATATATAATAAATATGCAAAATAAAAAAATCTATGCAAAAAAAAAAAAAAAAAAAATTATAATAATAATTTTAATTATTAAAGAAAATCTGCGCAATGTTACTTTAATCAGCTGCCTGTGCGGGCGTTAAAAAAAAAATTAGGCAGTATTTGTTTTGTTAACTGATAACATAAATAATATAATCAATATGCATATCACCCACATTCCTGCATTCATTCTTATCTATCGCATTTTTTTACGTATTCTTTAACGTTACAATATTATTTGGCCCTTACTATGTTTATTATTGTAACACTCTCGTATCCTTTGCTGTTCGTTACATATTTTTCGATCCAATGAAAATCTTTTCGGTTTAATATGTTTATCGCGTTAATTTATTCCTTTCATTTTATTAATTATTTATGGTAATCAAATTATTTAATTTTGATGATTATTAATTGAATGTTAATTTATTTTAACTTTATGTGTTAAAAGATTCATGTGATGCTGCTAAAATAAGATCTACAACTTTCGAGAAAAGTTTTGGAACACGGAAAAACTCAATCACAAACAAATAAAGAAGAATAATAAAAAAATTTTAAAATTTTCAACAGTTTTTATTATTTATATCGTTCATCGGCACTTCACGCGTAAGAAAGAAAACTATTGCTTATAAATTATTTATAACTAATTAATTTATTTCGGAGAAATATCATAAATGGAATTAAAATTTTTTTTTTTTTCGGAATTTACGAAATACACAAGTGATAAACAATGTACTGTATGAATTAGATCTCCGAAAGACAATCCCGTTAAATTTACTTATTATTATTTATTTTTTCTAAAATATTTTTTCAGAAACTTCTTGTATTATCTAATTTAAATTATAATTATATATATATGGATGTTACCGTTTAACAGTTATCTATTATTATCACTACCCAAAAGATACGCCATCCGGGTATGATACAAAAATACCTGATTTATTTTCATTATATAATATTCGTGGCCAGTTGTAGGTAACTTTGTGTGATACATACTAATATACATAACCAAAATTAGTCTAATTCTACAAAGAATTATGATGAGGCGAAATAATAAACGGAGAGAGAATGGGAATTTGTTGTTCTTTTATTCGAATTTTAGAATATCAATATGTTTATCAGTAGTAAAATGGTTAGTATTTTTGATATACTTCCAATTGGGACCTTCGTAATAATATTAGTGGGATGTAAGCGAAGCGATTCTAAGTTTATATTTATAGTATGTAATAAATTATATTTAAAAGTATGTAAATATAACAGTTAATACTGCTAAATACTGCTAAATACTGCTAAATACTGTTAAAACTTGTGTTTGAAATCATATAATCATACTGTATAACTCTGAAAAGGGCTCGGTATATCGATACCGATATTATTCCATCAGTAAATGCGTCTGTAATTCGTTTGGAATATAATTAGTTACAGGAATATTTACCTGTTATAAAGGTTAAAATTAGAAATTCTTGCCTTACAGTTCACCCTCACTATAGTGAATCCCATGGGCTGGAGATTAAAATTCGTTACTGAGGGCTGTGCTTGAATTTTTCTTCATTATAGCAAGTTATTCACTATATAAACTGGGTTAATTTTTTTTTTAGAAAACCCATTTTTTTAAAAATATAGGTATAATTTGAGTTTTCGTATGAATCCGTCTATATGACTATATCCGTACCTATTTATATCTGTATGCTGGTTTGACTATATGCATATATATACAAATTTTTAATTATGATCAGTGTCTATTACGTGTTGTGATTACAGTCGTTCTGCCTTAAATTACTAATCCAAATCGAATTCAATTTTCTATATTATTATGAGGTTTTATTTTTGGTGTATTTAATTGGCTAAATATCATGTGATTGCTCTATAGAAACGGTTGAGAATTATTGCGGTTTTAGCCAAAACTGAAACTAGTTCAAGAAGTTGAGGTTTTTTTTTTTGCCAAAGGATTCAGAGGATTCAAAGGATTCAAAGGATTGCGTTTATATTGCATAATTATGATTCTACTTTGATAATTTTTTTTTCCCAGTTTAAAAAATTTTTTTTTAAAAAAAAAAAAATTCATTTTTCAAAATTTTCATCTTTTTTAGATTATTTTTTGAGATTATTTCCAAAGATGGGTTATAAAATTAATTATTATAACATTCTATAATGAATATGGTAAATAATTATTTGCCACATATGCTAAAAAAAATCACGTAATTCTATTTTCACTATTGCCCGATATGCAAAGTGTATAATTTAAAATTTTTATGCATAATAAATTAAATATATTAATGGATTTCCCGTAAACACAAAAAAATTACTGATTTATGATCCGTTTACTATATATATATATATCATTACTTAAGTTATAACCTTTTGAATTTTATTTGTCAAACACCCAAAAAAAATTCCAAGTTTCTTCTAAAAAATCTATATTTTTTTTTTTTTACGATAGATAAAAAAAAAATAATAATTTTTTTTTTTTTGTTTATAGCGTTCGGGAAAACAACGCCCGCTTATTTGGCTTATTTCGCTTATTCTCACACTCGGTTAATTCCGGAATTTATATAAAAAAAAAATATTATTATTTAATCTTATTATTTAATATTATTAATAATTAATGATTTACTTCATTTTTTTCTATAAATTGAAATATTAATCATCCAATAATGTTATAATATTAATGAGTAAGATAATTTAAGATAATTTTTTTTTTTAGCCCAAAAAAAATAATAATAATAATAATAATAATCTAATCAAGGTAAAACTTTTCACCCAATACGGATAATTAGTGATTCCATTTTTTCAAATGGAAATAAAAAGAATTTTTTTTTTTTTCTTTTTTTGACGGTTTAGTTAAATTTTTTTAGGATGATTTTCATGTGAAAAAAATTAGTTATTTATATAATTATAAATCTTTTTAAATAAATTTGAATTTTAAAAATTTTTTTAAAAAAAAAAATTTATAATTTTTTTTTTATTATTATTACAGATCCCAAAATAATGACCCTTTTCTTTCCTTAAATAAAATATTTTATTCTAAAATAATTTATTATAATAAAAATTTTTACTAAAATAATTACAAAAATGATTACGTAAATAATGTGCGAAAATGACACAAAACCTAAATTAAGCATGAGCCACTTTAATGACATAATAAGAATCTCATTTAAACAAAAATGTGATAATTCGCCACCTCAACAATAATAAATATATAATTTTTTTTTTTATTTTGTTTAACATATTTAGAATTTACATTAATTGAATTATTGACAGGTGGGCGCACATACACATAACTTTGACGCACAAATAAAAATACTTTTTCGGAATATATCGTTTACCTTTGAAAAATTATTACGTATTTATCACGGACTAATGCATTTTAAATAAAAATTATTTGTTATACAATTTTAATCTAAAAAAAATTTTATATAAAGGCGGTCATGAAATTGCGTTATTTCTTAAATCAATTTAATCAATTTAAATTATATAATAATACAAGTAAATTTTATCATAATAATTTTCTTTTAAATAAATCGAACCATCTCCCAATTTTAAAAAGATATCTTATTCATACAATGATTAAAGAAGCAAGAATCGTTGATGTTGAGAAAGTTGCTGTTATTGGAAGTGGAAATTGGTATATATTATTATATATATTATTATCTTTAGAAAATCATTTTACCCTTTTACAGTGATAAAAACGTTTGTTTGCTAATCAAAAATCTACATTTTACAGGGGTACTGTGATCGCAAGGATGTTAGGGACAAATGTTGTTCAACAAAAAGGATTCGATCATGAAATTAAGATGTGGGTTTATGAAGAAATGGTCGGTGAAAGAAAATTAACTGAACTAATCAACGAAAAACATGAAAATGTAAAATATTTACCCGGAGTTAGTATTCCTGAAAATGTTATAGCTGTGCCTGATCTCTTGGAAGCTGCCGAAGGTGCTACGATTCTAGTAATAGTTATTCCTCATCAGGTACTATCTTATTTCATTATAACAACAATATATTTTTAAAGAACTTTCACTTATAATATATATATATATATTTTTTTTTAGTTTGTAAATGATATATGTGGTAAATTAAAAGGAAAGGTTCATCCAAAAGCTAAAGCAGTCTCTTTAGTTAAAGGATTTGATACCACACAATCAGGAATTCGTCCAATATCACATGTGATCAAAGAAGCTTTAAAAATCCCGGTTTGTACACTTTCTGGTGCAAATTTAGCAAATGAAATTTCAGAAGAAAAATTTTCCGAAACAACCATTGGATATAAGAATCGTCAAGAAGGAGAATTATTTAAAAGATTATTTGAAACAAAATATTTTAAAGTTGGTATAGTCGATGACGTTTTAGGGGTTGAATTATGTGGTGCATTAAAAAATGTTATCGCTATAGGTGCTGGTATAGTTGATGGTTTAAAATTGGGTGATAATACCAAAGCTGCTATTATTAGAATTGGTTTATTGGAAATGAAAAAATATATTAAAATGTTTTATAAGGGTATCAAGGATGAAACTTTTTTTGAAAGTTGTGGTATTGCTGATGTAATTACAACTTGTTATGGCGGTAGAAATAGAAAAGCTGCTGAGGCCTTTGTTGTTACAGGAAAGGTAATTATAATAGTATTTATTCATATAATTTAGTATATATATAATTTAGTTTATGTGTATGTTAACGTATATGAATCCTTTCTTTTTTTTTCCTAGTCATTTGAACAATTGGAGAAAGAACTTCTCAATGGTCAAAAATTACAAGGAACGCTTACTGCAAAAGAAATCTACTCTGTTTTGCAACGAAAAGGATTGGAAAAAGAGTAAGTAATGTTAATATTTTTTTAAAATATATAATTCTTTACTCATTTCTTTATTTTTTCTCTCGATAGATTTCCTCTATTCACAACCGTTTATAAAATCGTATCTGAGGGTTTAGATCCTCGTAAAATTGTTGAAGATATTGTTTAAAAAAAGGCAACCAATTTTTTTTTTTTAAAGAATTAAATTTTGCATTTTTCATCACCATTTCTATAGACTTTTTTCAATTATCACAAAGTACATTTACTTATAGATGGGCTTTCTTTTTCTCTCTCTTTTTACATACATATGTATTTTCAAAAAAAAAATTTTTTGTACGATAAAATAAAAAATAACATTTTTTTCGGATAAATTCTCAATTGGATCTAACAAGTTTCATACTATACGATATTGCGTTATTTGTTTATTACAACTCACTAATATTTATAATTGCTGTGTGCTTAAAACATAATATATATAATAAGTTCTTTCATTACAAGTATTACAAGATATAAAAAAATAATAATTTTATTCGAATTTTATTGGTCAATCGATCAGGTCATGCCGATTTTTTGATATACTGATAATTTAACTAAATATATTTTAGGTATTTTAAATATATTATATTGTTTAGAAGTTTCTATAAATCTAATTATGCTTTATTTATACTAACATATAACATATTAAATTATCAAACATGATCTTGTCTCACTGACGCAATAACCATCATTTAGAGTTGAAATCTCGATCGAAATTGCGCCTTCAGCTTATATAATTATTTTATCGTTATATTGTTAGGTTGTTAGTTAGGTTGTTAGGTAACACAAGCAATATTCCAATTACTATTCAAAGTACTATTCAAAGTTTTATTTTTAAATTTATTTAATACAATTTACATAACAACTTTTTGTTCTCGACAAAAATTTTTTTAATTCGACTTCTTTCTCGACTAAGTAAGTCATAATCCTTTTTTTAAAAACAATAAATAATAAAAATTACGTATAGAAAGAATAATTAAAATAATATAAAGTGGATCCTAAATTATTTTTTTGTCAGAAAAATATGCATCCCAATGATTTTTTAAAATTACGCGATTGTGAAATTAATCAGAATGAAAAGAATTATAACTTGATAAATCATGGAAAAAAATTTTATCACTAATTTATGATTCAAAAGAATATGTTGCATGTTTAGCTCTTAAAGATATAATGGATATAATAGAAAATATGGAAACAAAAAAAAATTTAGAAAAAAAAAAAAATTAATCAAATCATATAATAAAAAGAAATTATAATCAAAAAAAAAAAAAATTCAAAAATCAAAAAAAAAATTTATTGGTAAAAGTATCAAAAGTTTTTATTTTAATTGGCTTAACCAAACAAAATATCTAACAAAAAAAAATTTTTTAAATATTCATCATGCCAAGAATTTTGTAAAAAAAACAAAAATGTTTGAAGTTTATAATAATTCATTTATAGGAGAAGTAAAGATTGGTGACTTTTCTCGGAATGTCGATTGTAATACATTATCATGAATTATGTATCAGAGAAAATTCTTCTTTATTGGCTTTATTAGTGCGACCCCCACCCCGTAAGTCACCCCTCTAAGGAAATCGGTATTCACAAATCTGGAAAACCCGGATTTTTCCTGAATAACTGTCGATTTATTAGTGATTACCAGGGGAAATCTTGGGAAATTTTCAGTTATTTAAGTAGTTTCTCTTGAAAGTATGGTGGTGTTACACAAAGTTTTAACCCCTTGCTCATAGGAAAACTACTTAAATAATTGAGATTTTCTGCATGAATTCCTTCGGAGATCGCTAATAATCGACCCTTTCTACATAGTTATCCAAGAAAATTTAGGGTTTTCTAGATTTGTGAATACCGATTACCTTAGATGGGTGACATACACATGGATCGCACTAATTTGAAAACAGCGATAATCAAATATATGAGAAAGAATATATGGAATTGAATAATGAAAGAAAAGAAATCCATAAACCGGCATATAATTTGAATAATTTCAAAAGCTCTGATGTTGTAGCTATTATTATTGATGATGATAAAAAATTTTAAAACAGAAATCAGTTCAGTAAATATATTCAACATTTAATAACAACAAATTCTTATTATGAAAAAGATCCAAAGATGAATATGAAGATGAAGGTGCTAGTGAAACTAGCGATGATAAAGAATATGAAGAGTCTGTTGAATAAAGGAAAAGAAAAGTAAAAGTAAAAATGAGATAAGAAGTGACGAAGAAGAGTTAAATATTACTGATGAATATAAGTGTCCATACGAACAAGTGATCAATTCTCAATTCCGTCCATTACAATTTAAAAATTATACGGTATTATTATCTGGAATGTTTTATGTTTATGATTGGGAAAAAGTTTAATAAAGAACGAAAATAAAGAAGGAGGATGGTATTGTTCTATTTTTGCCACTTCAATCAAATTAAAGTGTCCGTTGTCGATGTATGGTAAAAATATTAGGTTTTTATCCCATCGGTATTATGTACACCGATGGATTTTTTTGTAAATTACTCCACCGGTATAAAAAAAAGTATAAAAAAGTATAAAAAAGTATAAAATCCATATACATCGATTCTTCCCTCCCTATGGAATAACAAGTATATATTATTTCCGTGTCTAACATCATAATTAGACTTGAATGAACAACTGAAAAATGTTAATTCATCTCATCTGCAAAGTCAATATACGGTATATTCAGTTAGATAGTAATTATATCATAACTGACAAAAGAGAAAAAACGTTATATGGTTATATAACTGTAATGTATCAAAATCAATGTTGACAATTTATTACATACAGTAAGTTTTTTATTATTGTGAGTTCTGAATTTGTATCTGTTACAATTGAAATTATACCAATTTTGTATATATCAAACAGTTCGGCATAATTCTAGGTATTTGGGTTTGACTAAATTTTACATTATCTGGTTATTTATTTACAGCATTTCTATATGTAATTGTGACTTAAAAAACGCGTTTAAATTAAATTATGCCGTGTATGCTTTTTGAAGCTCATAGCCGAAAATCGCTAGACAAGCTCGAAGCAATGAAGGACAAAATATAATTGGATCAGTTTATCCGAACATTTCAGGGCACTCATTTATGCGAGAAGTAAACACTAATAGCTGATCATACCAGAACCATACTTATACGGAAGGCTGAAAAGCTAATTTTTATTTAACGTACCAATGATATCAATGATACGAATAATGTCTTACTTTAATAGTTAATGTCATTATATACTACATATGGACAACCGAAGATGCATATTGCTAATCCCATAGTTGCCGTATCTATTATTATTACAACTTTGAAAGTTGAGGTTTCAGACAAAAAAAAATAAATTTTTTTGCAAACAAAATTTGATTATTATGAGTAAATTGGAAAAAAAATCTAAATGATTATTATGTATTTATAATTTACTGTAACACGATACGTCGATACGAGGAAAAAGAATTCATTCAATTTTCGTAATGTATCCCGTTAATTCTTTTTAAAAAATTTTTTTTTTCGAAATGAATATTTCAAAAATTAGTGAAAAATTCATTTTTATAGTTACTAATTATAAATAATGTATAAAAATTTAAATTATCATTTAATTATTTAATTTTCTTTGTGAATAGAGTTGTAGGCAATATATCCCAGGATCTTGATGACAAACAGCAGTTAAAGAGGAGAATATTTTATATCTTGCGAATTATGATATTTATGATATTCCGGCAAGTAATAATTTTTTGGGCAAATATTAAACATATGAGTAAATCTAGTATATCTACAGTATATATATATAGGAGGCGTAAATGGTTTACAACTGGTCAAATTTATAGTACATTGACTAGCATATAAATAAGTTAATAAATAATATAAAAGTATTTATTAACGTGTCCTATTTGTCAAATTTACTTATTGTGTTAATCGAAAATATTGCTGCCTACTATTGATATTACAATATTTTTAATATTTTTAATCAGCTGCTGCAAATGGAAATATGCCAGGACTTAAGATCTGATCTATTTAAATCGCGTATTAGATATGCCATCCACAGTGTCACCTATTGCATGTTGAATATTACTATATCCCTACTTGAAGATCTTAATGTACCAAAACTTGCCTTTCATTCCGCTATATTATTAGATGATTTATATTTTGGTCCTTGATCGCAATTGGTAATTCCACTTTTTTTTTTAAAAAAAAAACAATAATGATGATGATGATAACAACTTGCGGTATAATCGCGTCTTTTAAACCTTTAAATGATTGTATGGTGTGCATGTTATGATAATTCTTTTCTATTTGGTTGACTTTATTTTCTTTAAATATCTTAAATCCTTACTTATTAAAGAGTAGAATTAATACTATAGACAAAATTATTAAGGGCTATTATTTTTTTTTTTTTTTTACCAAACTGTTCTGAATAATCACGATATATGCGGTTATTTAACAATCTGAAATTGACAATAGAATTTATAAAGTAGAGTGATAAATAAAATTTTATTGTGATCTTTTTTTTGCAAACTTGTTAATCCTGAACTAGTTAGATAATTAATGGATTGACGCCTATTTGATTTTATCCAATTCAGGTAAAATCATTAATCCATTCTCCTTATTTGTAAAATACGGGATCGGATTATACAAATCTAATCCGTCGATCCAAATCCCTCATTAAGAATAAAACAAAAGCGGAAAGATTGAGTGTTGCTCAAACTTTATTCAATTCCAAATCAAACCAAATATGGAATGGATTGAGGCGGCGTCAATCAATTCGTTTTTACAAATAAAGTAATTAATTTAATAAAAAAAAAAAAAATTTATATGCATGAGATGGTGGTAAAGAACAGGTTGATTTTGGTGTGGATTGGGAAATTTGATAGTAAAGTTCAATCCAATCCAAATGAATATGGGTTGGATTAGGCGTCGACTCAATCCAATTGCCAAGTCATATATGGGGTTTGAAACACAGTTTTATAATAATAGATAGATAATCTTCTAGATACTAACGGTATAACTGGGGCTAGTAAAATTTCGAATATGAACCAATTAGAGTAAATATTATAATACCAATCTTATACAATTGTATTATCTTTGATTTTACACGTGTAACTTTTGTCAAGTTGGTTTTTATATTTCTAATAAGTTTGACATTTTAAAAGAACAAAGTGAAAGACAAACTCTTTATTTTATTATATTAAAATAAACTTTATACAAACTATAATTTAGATAAGATTATTATGAATAAGTAAATTTTAAAATTTAAAAAACATTAATTCAAAAGAAATATTAAATGAGAGTATTATATAGCAAAGAAAATTACATTAATAAAATAATTTCTTACCACTAATAAAATTTTATTTTTATAAATATGTTTATATACCTATGCAGATATGTACGTTTTGACTCCTTATATTCCTTCGAAATGCAACCTTATTAAAGAATAAACTATTTGAATACGTCAATACGACTTAAAATTAGCAACTTTGTGAGAAACGTAAAGGGCCTTTTTTGTTTTTTTTCGTCTAATTTCGATAAACATTATGATAATTAGTATTCAGCATGGTACAAATTTATAAATAATAAACCATTTGGTTTTAATACCTATTTGTATTTCATTATTATCATCATCTGCGTTCTCTTCAGGTGATGTGGTATCTGTTGCCCCGATAGGTCTAATTTCAATATCTTTAGACGCTTTTACGAATGATTGAGTAGATTTTAGCGCCCACAATATGTGCAATAGAACAACAGTTCGACTATAATCATATCATACCTTGATTACCAAATATTTTATCAGCAAGTGTTTTGAGTTCAGTTGTCCAAGTCATCGGATTCAATGGCCCTAAAACATTTCCGATCAATTAATCATTGAACATAGAAATATTAACATGCGAATTGAAATCACCTTTATTTCTGGATTCTCGTTCAGCACGTTCAATTAGTTGTTGATTAAGATAATTTTGATAGAGAGCCTCACCTTTTAATAAGGAAATTTCAATATTTAAAAAAAAAATAATCATTACATTATGTAGAAATTCAAAATTTGTATTTACGACGTTTATCAATCTCTTCCAAAATTTTATGTTGTTCGACAGATATGGAAGGAAGCGATTGGCTTGTGATATTTTCACTTAATACGGAACTAGATATAGGAGTAGAAACGTTGCTTTCTCTCTTAGGCATCTTAGGACAAACTAATTCTCTCTTCGTGATTTTATCAATCCACGAGTTAAATGTTATCTCTAAATCACGTGAAGTAGGCCGCATATCAGGATCATTATCCCAACAGGATTGCATGACCTTAGAGTAATAGTCAGGTATATTCGAAGTAATCTTAGGACGGATTCCTATATACAAAAATTTATCAAGTAAATTTTCCATAAATTGAGAATGTGAATATATGACTAAAGACATGTTGCTACCTGAACAAATCTCTATTGCTAGGAACGCATCATATTCTCTTCCTTCAAATGGTCGTCTACCTGACCATAGTTCAAACATGATCATTCCGATGCTATAAACATCAGCCGCTCGAGTGTATGCTTTTTTACGCAAAACTTCCGGTGCTACATAGGGAAGTACACCATGAATTTGCACTTCATTTTTGTCAGCAGAAGTATTGTTCCAGCATAGACCAAGATCGCTTATCATGGTCCAACTACCGTCTCGTAAAATATTACCAGTGTGCAAATCTTTCTTTGAAATGGTATTATCATGATAGTGGTTGGGATCAATAAATTGTTTGTTAACTTTATTTTCGAACATGTTTATGAATAGCTCCGACCCAATATTCAATTAGAAAGTCGCTTACGTGCAGGAGCCCAGCTTTATGAATGGTCACCAACCCAACTGCAATATCTTTAAGTGTGATAATCCTTTGTTCCCAAGTAAAAGTATCAAAATTTCTGGAGTTATATTGTCGAAGATCCCCATCACGAGCATAAGATGTAACAACAATCAGTTCACGAGTGAATGGACAACGTGAGATACCATAACAGCGCACGACATGAGTAACCAAATTGCTAAATTGGTGGTATGCGCTTAACTATTCAAATGTTATGCTATTAGCAAGGAAACAAGAATAAGAGATATTTAGCATCGATAAATTGTCACGTACCTCATAAAAATCTGATGTCATATTATCGGAATTCTTTATTTGTTTTAAAATTATCACATCCGAATTCACCTGTTCCCAGCCTCGTTTCCAATTGTTTGCAGTAGTATCCCATGCTCGTATAGGTCCTTGAGGCCAATGTGCCGTAAATCTAATAATTAATTAACAAGTCAATAATGGATTAGAGATATAACTTATGTTTATTAACGTAATTATACCTACACCGAACTATTACCACCATCTGCAAGATGCTTCACATTTGTGAATTCTTTATATTCTATCCATTCTAGGACTGACCTAACGTTGATAGCTTTAAGTTGCGCTATTTGAATAAAGTTATCAAGTTCTTTGTTTTCGCTTGACCAATTCGTGAAATTCTTCCGAAAATATTCGCTATTACAATATTGGCACCAGTCATATCCGGTTTTTGAACCCTTGCATTGTTCACATTGGCCAAACGGGTTTGTATTAGAAATGTTGGTTGAATGTTTTGTGTGTGACTTCTCACCGGAGGTCGATGCCGGTAGTGAGGGGGATCTAGTAAAAGTGAAAGGATTAGTACTAGAATAGCCCGGAACTGATTTAGGAGGGATGTTAGTGGAACTCATATTAGCAGTATATGGAAGAGAAAAATACTTCAGCTTATAAACTATTGTCCAGAGCACCTTAAATCCTGTGAAAGTATCCACAAGTAGATCTGATATGAAATGGGCGTTAGGGTACCGGAATAGTTCCTCCGTTATCAATAATGTTTCACACACATAGGTTGTTAATTTGTATCACTGCTAACAATATCAAAACATTTTTTCAGAGCGCCCAGGTTCTTGTTTTCTTGGCATATTAAATTTACTACCAAATTTCGCGCGAATTGAAAAGTTATGAGCTGTTACTTTCTTCACGTTTTATGAATAATCTAACTAACGATGAAACTAGAGAGTAGATTTCCTCCGTTCATCCAACACTTTGTGTCGAACGCACTATGGATTGTTTTAGTACTAAAATGTTGTCTTGATCATTTCCATTTTCAACATACTGTAAATAATTAAGAATGAACTGCATGAATTGTATTCCATGTATTCTAGCACAACAATAACATGTAAAAGAGTTGACAACTAAATAGTTAAACGAACATAAATTTATATCATATATTATTCCTAGTTGTTATAAAGGCGTTGAAACTAGAGTTCCAATTGAGTGGGACATCAAGCTGTAGATTATAAAATATTACGCTAATTTACGATGTACATTAATGCATGATGCATAGATTTTCTGGGGAAACATACAAAAATCAGATTTTACTTAATTTAGTAAAAAGTATGGTAACCGAAAAATCGGAAAGTCGGTGGATAGTATTTTTTGCACCCGACTTACAAACATTACCAAATTGCCATATTTATTAATGATTTCCTGATTTTCAAATTTTCTAGAAATACCACAAACAATTATTAAAATAGTAAGTATAACTTTCAAAGATTATTATATAAAAAGTAATTTGGATTCTTAAAATTGTGTTACTGATTTTCAAACACTCATGTTTTAAAAAAAATGGCAGTTGTCCTTTTTCGAAAATTGTTTTTCAAAATTCTTTTAAAAAAAAATAAAAAATAATATAAAAGATGGTGTATATATTTATCATATTATCGTGTCAATTATTTCTTTTAGTGAATAGGTTTGTATATGGACAATTTATACCTGGGCTTCGATTAGGTCATACAGCAAATACCGTTGGAAATAAAATATATTTTATAGGAGGATATAATTTTGCCAAATCTATTCCAACAAGTGAAATTTTTTATCTTAATAAAGAAACAGATACATGGGAAGAAATAAAAAGTCAAGGAATAAAATTACCATTTAAAGTAGAACATACAGCTAATATAGGAGGTATTAATCAAGATATAATATTTATTATGGGAGGATTAATAGGAGATACAAATTTTTTATATCAATTTGATACTAAAACAAATATAGTAAGTATACCAATAATTCAAGGAAAAGTTCCAACAAGTCGTGCATTTATGAGTTCTGTTAATTTTGAAGGAAAAATTTTTGTATTTAGTGGGCAAAATTCTGATGATATATACTTTAATAGTTTTGATATTTTGGATACTATTAATTTAAGATGGGAAATTGGTAATTTAATTAACGCTCCTACTCCTAGAAGTAAACATACCTCAACATTAGTTAATAATGTTATTTATTACATTGGTGGTATGCAACTTAATGGAAATTACATTTCAATGAATGATGTATGTAATATTAATATATTAATAAGTTTACGTTAATTAATTAATTAATAAGTTTAATTTTTTATTATAGATTTATCAATATGATATTGGCAAAAGTACATGGTCTTTAAAGGTCTGAATTTCATGTGCTGATCTTGCGTATAACGTCTAAAATTTAAACGTAATGATTTAAATGTTTCTAGAAAGCTACATTGGCTTTAGGAGATGTACCAGGACCTAGAGGTGGTCATTCGGCTGTATTAGGTGATTTCTATTTATTCATCTCTTTAATTATGAATTTTTATCTAATACCATATTTTATAATATATATCATATATTTGTATGTACACTTCTTATAGTTGAAGATAAAATTTGTATATATGGAGGAATTTATTCACCTAAAGAAACAATAGCTATGTTGGATACTACCACTTTAGTATGGACAATACCACAATTTAATAATCCTAAAGCACCAAAGTTACCAAACCTTGTTTATCATACTGCTACAATGAAAGATAATGAAAGATAATTATAATATGTTTATTGCCTTTGGTAAGTTAATTTAAAAAAAAAAATATTGTTTTAAATGAATCTTTTCTAACCTTATGTATTTTTTTTTAGGAAATGATACAGATGTACGCGTATTAAATAATAATTTTTATATGTTTGACTTTAAAAATTTCCAATGGAATATTTTTACAGTAAAAGAAATTGCAAAGACTAAAGATCCTGATACTCCAATGGCACCTTCACCAATAAGTCCAATGGTTGAATCACATAAACCATTTATTATTAGTTTATCTGTTGGATTAGCAATAATTGGATTAGCAGCAATCGTAATAATTTCGGTAATAGTTTATAGACGTACAAAGAGAAATCGAGACTTTGAAAATAGAAATTTACCTGAAACTGTTACAGATAATCCTTATCCTACCAATTTTTCTCAAAACATGGTAAGTATTTTTCAAAAATATTAATGAAAAGTAAATTTAATTTTTCACTTTCTGTTGGCATTATATCATAAATCGTACATCTTAACACTTTTTATCTTGGCAGATTGGATACCAACATACGCCCACAACGACACGTCAATACAATTCATCTCAACTTCGAGAACAATCTAATCATGAAATTATACCACAGTATGCACAGCAACTTCTAGAATCACCATATCACGAATTTATACCGCAATATGCACAACAATCAACTCAATTTCGAGAACAACCTTTTATACCGCAGTACACACAGCAGCCACAAATAATATCACCACCACAAGAAAGAAATCTAGGAAGTGAACATCCTCCGTATTATTAAAAACTTATTTTTTGATTTTATTAAAAATAATATAATTTTTTTATCAAATATTTATCAATATACTGCACTTACTATAGTATCTCAATATCCTTAATTTATATGTATAAATAAAAATCAATTGTGTAACAACCATGAAAATATCCGGGGTACTATTGCTAGTACTTAAAGGGATTTTTGCTTTTAACTGTTCTAAAAAAAAGGATTTATTAAATTACGCAATGATTTCATTAACCAATGTGTAACCATATTACAATTTTGTTTGTAGTAACTCCCTAAATGGCTGCGATTGTTCAACATAAATATAGTTAAAAGAAATTTTAGTTCGTTAATTTTTTTTTTTTAGACATACAATGAACGTCATTTATAACACAAAAGTGAAATTTGATTTTATTATAATGGAAATGGAAAAGAATTTTGGAAAAAATTTCACCACTGCAGAATCTTCTTTTTTTTTGTCATGAGAAGCTAGTTCAAATTTGTTAGTTAAGCTGATAATATGTTTCTTATACAAAGTTACCAAATTTTTTACTTTTCAGTAGTGTAGGATTAGGATAGCAATCGTCAATTGATTATCTGTAATGATGAAGTTATGATAATGGATCATCCGGATAAACGTATAATAAATATTCGAAAAATAAATATTTTAATTCCAAAATAATTTATTGTTTCAATTGTTTGTCTCTAACCTTAAATTACAATAATTGAATATCAGATTCCGTCTAGTTAAATGGATATAAACTTTAAATTATACCATTCTATTTTCGGATATTCCGAATAAGTACAAAAAATATGATTTTTATTTAAGGTTGCATTTACTTTCAAAATTGTATTTATTTAGAACTTTGTGATACAAAAATAAATACCAACAAATCTATTATTAATTTTATGCAAAATGGGATTAATCATTTAAGCCGGACACAGAACAATTGTTATTTTGGTAGATTATCTTTTGTTACGCTAGAATTTTCTTTGAAATGAATCACGATGGATGTACAAATTCTCCTTTTTCATAAATTTATAAAAAGGATGTAATTCTTTTTCAGTTTTTTTTTTTTTTAAAAAAAAGTACTTTTAGTCAAAAATGGGTTGCAAATTTTTAAACTATCATTTTATGTTAGTTTTATTAATTCAATTATTTCTTTTGATTCCATTATTTGTAAATGGGCAATTTATACCAGGACCTCGATCTGGTCACACGGCAACTCTCATCGGAAATAAAATATATTTTATAGGAGGATATAATTTTACAACTCCTAAAGAAAGTGATATATTTTATTATAATGGAATAGCATGGGTAGAATTGAATAATCAAGTTAGTGGTCAAGGTGCAGATATGCCACCTAAACTTGGACATACAGCTAATGTAGGAGGACGTAATCAAGATTTGATATTTATTATAGGAGGTGANATATATCAACTTGATACTAAAACAAATAAAATTACTTCACCAATAATTCTGGGAGATTTTCCAAGTCGTGATAACTTAATGTTTATGAGTTCTGTTAGTAGTTATGAAGGGAAAATTTATTTGTTTGGTGGAGGAAAAATTGAAACTGATATAATTACTTTGTATAGTAATCATTATATTTTTAATACTAAAAATTTGAATTGGGAAGATGGTAGCTTAGTTGGTGCTCCTCCAGCCAGATATAAGCACACAGCAACATTAGTTAATGAAATTATATATTATATTGGTGGTATACAAATAAATAATTCTTATGTTTCTTATCCTTCAATGTCCGATGTACGTAAGATTATAGATAATTAAAGTTATATAAAGTATGAGAATTATATTAATAAGTTGAATTTATTATTGTAGATTTATCGATATAGTACTATATCAAATACATGGTCTTCAGCGGTCTGTTAATTAAAATTATTCTTTTTTGAATATCACGTGGTATCTAATACGTTAATAACTCTAGGTAGCTAGGTTGGCTCCAGGAAATACTCCAGGACCTAGAGTTGGCCATTCAGCTGTTTTGGGTGATTTTCTTCTTCAAATTTAAAAAAAATATTTTGTTTATTTTGTTTAATTATTTTTTATTTATAGTTGAAGGCAAAATTTGTATATTTGGGGGAAGTATCGATTTTTTATCACCTATAGAATCAATCGCTATGTTGGATACTAGCACCTTAGAATGGTCAATACCATCTTTTAAAAATCCAAAGAGACCAAATATGCCAACTTTACCAAACCTAGTTTATCATACTGCCACATTAGTAGATAAGCGTATGTTAGTTGCTTTCGGTGAGTTATTTTTTTTAAAATATTTCAATGTAAATTCATCTCACGTGACTTTAATTATTATTTTATTTAGGAAATGATACGGATAAATCGGTTAATGCGGTTACTAGTGGATATAAAGGATTAAATAATGATTTTTATATATTTGACTTTAATGATTTTCAATGGTACATTACAACAGCAGACGAACTTACGAATCCATCTTCTAATATCCCAAAGTTATTTTCTTCCAGTAGTGCAGGAATATCATCGAATAAGCCACTAACTATTGCTTTATTATCAGTTGGAATAATACTAGGTGTAGCTATAGTCGGAACAGTAATATTTGTATATTATAGACGTAAGAAAAATCAAAGTAAAAATGATGTCGGTTATCCAGCAGATTATGTCAGTTATCCGGCAGATGATTCAAATATTTCTTATGATAAATTTTCATTCAGTCAACGATCAACTTTATATTCAAGCCAACCATCAATGCAATATCAATCTACAAACCAACATCAACAATTTACACCTGAACAACGTATCTCAAATAATAATAATTTAACTCAGCCTCAAGGATATATCGGTCAAGAATATTCCATTCTACGAATTCCATCAGATGATGATAGACTTTCTAATCATCGTCCCGGAAGTGGAACTGGAGCTTATTCTCAAAGAAGTGAAGCTCCTCTCCCCCCTCCTCCTTCAACTGATCCTCATTCTCAAGGAAGTGAAGCTCCTTTCCCCTCTCCCCTTTCAACTGATTCTCATTCTCAAGGAAGTGAAGCTCCTCTCCCCCCTCCCCCTTCAACTGATTCTCATTCTCAAGGAAGTGAAGCTCCTCCTCTCCCCTCTCCCCCTTTAACTGATCCTCATTCTCAAGGAAGTAAAGCTCTTCTTCCCCCTCCCCCTCCCCCTAAGACTCCATAAACTTCAACATCACAACGTGTTAATGTAATAATAAGCCTTTATAAACTTCATAATGGACAATTACTTCTTTAAGTAATCAAATAATCTTTATAATATTCATTATAATTCTATTTTCATTAATTGGTCGGTTACTTTCAAATATTTTAACATTAAACGATTTAACAAGATAATACATTATCTTTTTGTATTGTAATTTTATACAATGTAAATTTTATTGTAAAATACTTCAAAAAATAATATACTTTATTTTGATTTTCCCGTCACATTAAAGATTTTAAACTTCCGAATTGTGTAATTATTTATTATAAAGAATTTTCCATTTATACCTTATAAAAAAATTTCCGAAAATGTCGATCGCTTCGGTTAGAAATGAAAGATTTCTCGGTTACATATTTGATAAAGCGTGTGACATTAATACGACATTTCATGTAATTTCCAATGTTGTCATTTTATTTTTCAAGTATGTTGTTTGATACATAAAGTTATACCGAAAAGAATGACAAAAATTTTTTTACCTTTGGCAATATAGATAATGAATATTCGGATAAACGTATAAGAGATATCCGAAGTACTTATTAATTGTTTCGAATATCTGTTCTTAACCTTAAATTACATCAATTGAATATTAGAATTCCGCGGATATTAACATTTGTGTTGATTAGCATTTTGTGTTGCCTAAAATAAATGCCAACGATGTTTTCCAAATTTTTAAAAAGTATATTTGTGGTCAAGCGTACACAGAACAATTATTACTTAAGTAGTAGATTGTCTTTTTTTATGCAAGATTTTTCTTTGAAGCACACTGGGCGTACAAATTCTATAATTCATAAATTCATAAAAAAGGATGCAGTCCTTTTTTTTTTTTTTTTGAAAAAGAGTTAAAAAGTGTACTTTTAGTCAAAAAATGGGTTGCAAATTTTTAAACCATCATTTGATGTTAATTTTATTAATACAATTGTTTCTTTGGGTTACATTATTTGTAAATGGACAATTTATACCAGGACCTCGATCGGGTCACACGGCAACTCACATCGGAGAGAAAATATATTTTATAGGAGGAGCCAATTTTTCAAATACAAATCAAGAAACTCAAGAAAGTGATATATTTTATTATGATGGAAATAAACTAGCATGGGTAGAAGTGAATAGTCAAGTTAATGGTCAAGGTGCAGATCTGCCACCTAAATTTGGACATACAGCTAATATAGGAGTAGGATCTAAACAAGATTTGATATTTATTATAGGAGGTGACCGATATTCGAGAGTATATCAATTTGATACTAAGGCAAATAATGTTACTTCACCAACTATTCTAGTGTCCAAATAAATAAGGATAACATAATATTTATGAGTTCTGCTAGTTATGAAGGAAAAATTTATTTGTTTGGTGGAGTTAGTATAGATAATAAAATTGTCTATATGTCCGATGTACGTAAGATTATAGATAATTAGTTATATAAAGTATGAGAATTATATTAATAAGTTGAATTTATTATTGTAGATTCCTCGATATAGTACTGTCTCAAATACATGGTCTTCAGATGTCAGTTACTAGTTAAAATTATTCTTTTTTGAATATCAAGTGGTATCTAATACTACGTTAATAACAATAGGTAGTTACGTTGGCTCAAGGAAATACTCCAGGACCTAGAGCTGGCCATTCAGCTGTTTTAGGTAATTTTCTTTAGTTTAAAAAACTATTTTTGTTAATTTATTTAATTATTTTTTATTTATAGTTGAAGGCAAAATTTGTATATTTGGGGGAAGTTTCAATAATTCATCACCTACAGAACCAATCGCTATGTTGGATACTAGCACCTTAGAATGGTCAATAGTCAATACCACATTTTAAAAATCCCAGATCAAATATGCAAAATTTACCAAAACTAGTTTATCATACTGCCACATTAGTAGATAAGCGTATGTTAGTTGCTTTCGGTGAGTTATTTTTTAAAATACTTTCAATGTAAATTCATCTTACGTGACTTTAATTAAACATGGCCGAAACCTCTGAGAAGATTTCGGGTTTCGGAATATACGAATCGAAACCCAAAACCCTAAACAAATTCCGAAACCCGAAACTAATTTCGGTCAGTTATTCCAATCCCAATTCCCGAAACTTACTATCGACGTTTGATAATCATCTTTATTTTTACTAAGACTTGATTTAGAAGTCTTTTACTCTTTTTTAAATAATAAAATGTCGGATAGTTTACCATAAAATTCAAAAAAACAAGTCTGCAAGTAGTACCGGATGGAAGCCAATTTGGAGAATTTTTGAGCAAGGAGACGAATTAGAAAGTAACTTTAATTCATAATAATATAATTTTATTAATATAATTTTATGTATGATATAAACATAGCGAACTAATGGGTTTCGGTTATATTTCGGTATATAAAAGTTTTGGGAGTTTCGGGTTAGATTCGAGATTTGGGATTCGGAAAATAATTGCATGTTCCGAAACTAAGTTTCGGTACTATATACCTAAACCTAAAGGGTTTCGGGAGGTTTCGGTTTCGTGCCCCATGTTTAACTGTCTGTCTTTAATTATTATTTTATTCTAGGAAATGATACGAATAATAAGGTTAATGGATATAAAGGATTAAATTTTGATTTTTATATATTTGACTTTAATAATTTCGAATGGTACATTACAACAACAGATGAACTTACGAATCCATCTGCTAATATCCAAAAGTTATTTTCTTCCAGTAGTGTAGGAGCAATTATTGGTTCATCAGTGCTGGGTGTATTAGTAATAGTCGGAATATTAATATTTGTATATTATAGACGTAAGAAAAATCAAAGTAAAGGAGATGTCGGTTATCCAGCAGATGATTCAAATATTTCTTATGATAAAGTTTCATTCAGTCAACGATCAACTTTATATTCAAGCCAACCGTCAATGCAATGTCAATTTACATATCAACAATTTACACCAGAACAATGTATCTCAAATATTGATAATTTAACTTAACCTCAAGGAAATCTCGGTCAAGAAGATTCTATTTTACCAATTCCATCAAATGGTGATCAGAAGTGAAACTAATTCTCATTCTCAAAGAAGTGAAGCTCAGGCTCAACATGTTTATACCATGTTAATGTAAGTCTTTATGCAATATTTATAAGCTTCATAATGGACAATTACTACTTTATTTAAGTAATCAAGTAATCTTTATAATATGATATGATATTCATATAATTATAATTCTATTTTCATTAATTGGTCGGTCACTTTCAAACATTAACATTAAGCGATTTAACAACATAATACATTACCTAGATTTTATGGTTCATTACAATGTAAAATTTTATAGTAAAATACTTCAAAAAATAATATACTTTATTTTGATTTTCCCGTCACATTAAAGATATTAAACTTCCGAATTGTGTAATTATTTATTATAAAGAATTTCTATTTATACCTTATAAAAAAATTCCCGAAAATGTCGATCGCTAAATGAAAGAATTTCTTTTAGACAAACTCGGTTACATATCTGATAATGAATTATAAGCGTGTGACATTAATAATAACAGATAATTTTACGCAGGGGCGTTGCCAACGCTCCCCCCTTTTTTGGAAATTATTATATAGTAATTTGCTGATCATTTATGATCACGTTATATCATAAACGCCGGTGCAAATTATGTAGTTATTATAGAATCTTTAAAGTACACGTCCTGTGCATATTTTTGCCTGTTCTACAACTTATAAGACTAAAAAGGGTTTAGAATACTAATTTTGACTTTTACATATAATATAATATAGAAGTGCGTTGCATCTGCGTATAAATTTTCAATATTATCATGTTATTTTTCAAGTATGTTGTTTGATACATAAAGTTATACCGAAAAGAATGACAAAAAATTTTTTTACCTTTGACAATATAGATAATGAATATTCGGATAAATGTATAAGAGATATCTGAAGTACTTCGAATATCTGTTCTCAACCTTAAATTACAATTTAAAATTGAATATTGAAATTCCGCGGATATAGGGATTGGAATCGATTTTACAATAATCGAATTTATCGAAAATCGATAAGAATCGATTTTAAATCGATTATCGAATAAAAATCGAATTTACTTATTGTGGCGCAGTAGCGTTAATAAAATTTCCCCTACGTACCCTACAAGTATTGGCCTATTTGTCACACATTATTTGTCACATAGTTAATTTCTTAATTTCTTAATGCCGGCCGTTTCGTGACATTTTGGGGTAGTCCGTTAATAAGAAGTTAGGTCGATGTCACGTGACATTAACAAAAATCCAAAAAAAAGGAAATTTTGTTGTCCAATGAAATTCAAGTTATGTTGTACAAAATTCCCATAAAGGAAATTTTATATGTCGATCTTAATAATTTTGATAGTCACGTGACCGACAGTAGTATAATTTCGATTAACGATTAATCGACGATTAATCGATTCTAAAATCGATTCTAATAATGATAATCGATTCCAATCCCTACGCGGATATTAACATTTGTGTTATTTAGCACTTTGTATTGCCTAAAATAAATGCCAACGATGTTTTCCAAATTTAAAGTATATTTGTGGTCAAGCGTACACAGAACAATTATTACTTTAGTAGATTATCTTTTTTATGCAAGATTTTTTTTTGAAACTGGAGCACACTGGGCGTACAAATTCAATAATAAATTCTTTAAAAAGGATGCAATTCTTTTTTTTCGGGATTTTTTCTGTTTTTTTTTGAAAAAGAGTTAAAAAGTATATTTTTAACGAAAATGTGTCACAAAATTTTAAATTATCATTTTATGTTAAGTTTATTAATACAATTGTTTCTTTGGGTTACAATTATAAATGGACAATTTATACCAGGACCTCGATCAGGTCACACGGCAACTCTCATCGGAGATAAAATATATTTTATCGGAGGATATAATTTTTCAATTTCACCTAAAGAAAGTGATGTATTTTATTATGATGGAAATAAACTAGCATGGGTAGAGGTGAATAGTCAAGTTAGTGGTCAAGATGCAGATATGCCATTTCAATTAGGACATACAGCTAATATAGGAGGACTTAAACAAGATTTGATTTTTTTTATAGGAGGTGGCCGATTTCCAATAATATATCAACTTGATACTAAAACAAATAAAATTACTTCACCAATAATTCTGGGAGATTTTCCAAGTCGTGATAACTTAATGTTTATGAGTTCTGTTAGTAGTTATGAAGGGAAAATTTATTTGTTTGGTGGAGGAAAAATTGAAACTGATATAATTACTTTGTATAGTAATCATTATATTTTTAATACTAAAAATTTGAATTGGGAAGATGGTAGCTTAGTTGGTGCTCCTCCAGCCAGATATAAGCACACAGCAACATTAGTTAATGAAATTATATATTATATTGGTGGTATACAAATAAATAATTCTTATGTTTCTTATCCTTCAATGTCCGATGTACGTAAGATTATAGATAATTAAAGCTATATAAAGTATGAGAATTATATTAATAAGTTGAATTTATTATTGTAGATTTATCGATATAGTACTATATCAAATACATGGTCTTTAGAGGTCAGTTAATTAAAATCATTTTTTTCGAATATCACGTGATATCTAATACGTTAATAACTCTAGGTAGTTACGTTGGCTCCAGGAAATACTCCAGGGCGTAGACTTGGCCATTCAGCTGTTTTGGGTGATTTTCTTCTTTAAATTTAAAAAATATTTAGTTTAGAAGTTTAATTATTTTTCATTTATAGTTGAAGGCAAAATTTGTATATTTGGGGGAAGTTTCAATAATTCATCACCTATAGAATCAATCGCTATGTTGGATACTAGCACCTTAGAATGGTCAATACCACATTTTAAAAATCCAAGGAGACCAAATATGCCAACTTTACCAAACCTAGTTTATCACACTGCCACATTAATAGATAAACGCATGTTAGTTGCTTTCGGTGAGTTATTTTTTTAAATATTTCAACGTAAATTCGTTTCACGTGACTTTGATTATTATTTTATTTTAGGAAATGATACGGATAATCCGGTTAATGGATATAAGGGATTAAATAATAATTTTTATATATTTGACTTTAATAATAATGAATGGTACATTTCAACAGCAGATGAACTTATGAATCCATCTTCTAATATCCCAAAGTTATTTTCTTCCAGTACTAGTGCAGGAATATCATCGAATAGATCAGCAATTATTGGTTCATCAGTTGGAATAGTTCTGGGTGTATTAGTATTAATAGTCGGAATATTAATATTTGTATATTATAGGCGTAAGAAAAATCAAAGTAAAGGAGATGTCGGCTATCTAGCAGATGATTCAAATATTTCTTATGATAAATTTTCATTCAGTCAACGATCAACTTTATATTTAAGCCAACCATCAATGCAATGTCAATTTACACCTGAACAATGTATCTCAAATATTAATAATTTAACTTAGCCTTAAGGAAATCTCGGTCAAGAAGATTCTATTTTACCAATTCCATCAAATGGTGATAGATTTTCTCCAGAAGTGAAACTAATTTTCATTCTCAAAGAAGTGAAGCTCAGACTCAACATGTCTATACCATGTTAATGTAATGATAAGTAAGTCTTTATCTGTTATGCAATATTTATAAACTTCATAATGGACAATTACTGCTTTAAGTAATCAAGTAATCTTTATAATATGATATTCATATAATTATAATTCTATTTTCATTAATTGGTCGGTCACTTTCAAAATATTAACATTAAGCGATTTAACATAATACATTACCTTTTTGTATTGCAGTTTTATACAATGTAAATTTTATTGTAAAATACTTCAAAAAATAATATATTTCTTTTGATTTTCCCGTCACATTAAAGACGGATATTAAACTTCCGAATTGTGTAATTATTTATTATAAATAAAGAATTTTCCATTTATACCTTATAAAAAAATTCACGAAAATGTCGATCGCTTCGGTTAGAAATGAAAGAATTCTCGGTTACATATCTGATAATGAATTATAAGCGTGTGACATTAATACGACATTTCATGTAATTTCCAATATTGTCATTTTATTTTCATAAAGTTATACAGAAAAGAATGATAAAATTTTTTACCTTTGGCAATATAGATAATGAATATTTGGATAAACGTATCTAAGTACTTATTAATTGTTTCGAATATCTGTTATTAACCTTAAATTACAATTAATTGAATATTAGAATTTCGCGGATATTAACATTTGTGTTGTTTAGCACTTTGTGTTGCCTAAAATAAATGCCAACGATGTTTTCCAAATTTTCAAAAAGTATATTTGTGGTCAAGCGTACACAGAACAATTATTACTTTAGTAGATTATCTTTTTTTATGCAAGATTTTTTTTTGAAACTGAGCACACTGGGCGTACAAATTCTATAATTCATAAATCCATAAAAAGGATGATCCATTTTTCAGGATTTTCAACCCTTTTTCTAGAAAAAAAGGTTAACTGTTAAAGGAATATACTTAATCAATAATGGGTTGCAAAAATTTAAAACATCATTTAATGTTAATTTTATTAATTCAATTGTTTCTTTGGGTTACATTTGTAAATGGGCAATTTATACCAGGACCTCGATCAGGTCACACGGCAACTCTCATCGGAGATAAAATATATTTTATAGGAGGATATAATTTTTCAATTCCTAAAGAAAGTGATATATTTTATTATAATGGAATAGCATGGGTGGAATTGAATAATCAAGTTAGTGGTCAAGGTGCAGATATGCCACCTAAACTTGGACATACAGCTAATGTAGGAGGACGTAATCAAGATTTGATATTTATTATAGGAGGTGATGTCGAATTTTCGAAAGTATATCAACTTGATACTAAGACAAATAATGTTACTTTACCAACAATTCTGGGAGTTATTCCAAATAGGGATAGCTTAGTATTTATGAGTTCTGTTAGTTATGAAGGGAAAATTTATTTGTTTGGTGGAGGAAAAATTGAAACTGATATAATTACTTTGTATAATAATCATTATATTTTTAATACTATTAATTTGAATTGGGAAGATGGTAGCTTAGTTGGTGCTCCTCCTCCCAGATATAAGCATACAGCAACATTAGTTAATGAAATTATATATTATATTGGTGGTATACAAATTAATAATTCCATTATTTCTTATCCTTCAATGTCCGATGTACGTAAGATTATAGATAATTAAAGTTATATAAAGTATGAGAATTATATTAATAAGTTGAATTTATTATTGTAGATTTATCGATATAGTACTATATCAAATACATGGTCTTCAGCGGTCAGTTAATTAAAATTATTCTTTTTTGAATATCACGTGGTATCTAATACGTTAATAACTCTAGGTAGCTAGGTTGGCTCCAGGAAATACTCCAGAACCTAGACTTGGCCATTCAGCTGTTTTAGGTGATTTTCTTCTTCAAATTTAAAAAATATTTTGTTTATTTTGTTAAACTATTTTTTATTTATAGTTGAAGGCAAAATTTGTATATTTGGGGGAAGTTTCAATAATTCATCACCTACAGAACCAATCGCTATGTTGAATACTAGCACCTTAGCATGGTCAATACCACATTTTAAAAATCCCAGATCAAATATGCAAAATTTACCAAAACTAGTTTATCATACTGCCACATTAGTAGATAAGCGTATGTTAGTTGCTTTCGGTGAGTTATTTTTTTAAAATATTTCAATGTAAATTCATCTCACGTGGCTTTGATTATTATTTTATTTAGGAAATGATACGGATAATATGGGATTAAATAAAAATTTTTTTATATTTGACTTTAATAATAATGAATGGTACATTACAACAGCAGATGAACTTACGAATCCATCTTCTAATATCTCAAAGTTATTTTCTTCCAGTACTAGTGCAGGAATATCATCGAATAGATCAGCAATTATTGGTTCATCTGTGTTGGGTGTATTAGTATTAATAGTCGGAATATTAATATTTGTATATTATAGACGTAAGAAAAATCAAAGTAAAGGAGATGTCGGTTATCTGGCAGATGATTCAAATATTTCTTATGATAAATTTTCATTCAGTCAACGATCAACTTTATATTCAAGCCAACCATCAATGCAATGTCAATTTACATATCAACAATTTACACCAGAACAATGTATCTCAAATATTAATAATTTAACTTAGCCTTAAGGAAATCTCGGTCAAGAAGATTTTATTTTACCAATTCCATCAAATGGGGATAGATTTTCTAATCGTTCTTCTAATTATCATCCCAGAAGTGAAACTAATTCTCATTCTCAAAGAAGTGAAGCTCAGGCTCAACATGTTTATACCATGTTAATATAATAATAAGTCTTTATGCAATATTTATAAACTTCATATTGGACAATTACTGCTTTAAATAATCAAGTAATCTCTATAATATGATATGATATTCATATAATTATAATTCTATTTTCATTAATTGGTCGGTCACTTTCAAAATATTAACATTAAGCGATTTAACAACATAATACATTACCTTTTTGTATTGCAGTTTTTATGGTTCATTACAGTGTAAAATTTTATTGTAAGATAACTCCACAAAAAAATAATATACTTCATTTTGATTTTCCCATCACATTAAACTAGTGGTACGATACAAATGATAAACTTCCGAATTTTGTAATTATTTATTATAAAGAATTTTCCATTTAAAAAATTATCGCTTCGGTCAAAAATGAAAGAATTTCTTTTAGACAAACTCGATCATTTCGGTTGCATATCTTATATGAATTATTAGCATGTGACATTAATACGACATTTTTCATGAAAGTGAAGAAAGAAATTTTTGCTTATGCGTGCAAACACTCTGTTTTCTAGAATTTTCGACTATTTCATTTATTTACTTTTATATTTATAGTTAATGACAATATAAAGAATAGAATTAACTTTGTACATTTGTCTGGTGAATATTATCTAAAAATATTAAAAACACATAGTAGTCATAAATAATTTTCGAAAATATAAACATTACTTAATTGACGTAAATTATATTATACACATTCAATGCTCTTGAATGGAAATTTAAACTAAAGGCAATTAATAGATTGGATAACCAAATAATCCTAAAAAGCGATTCATGCACAAGCAATTATATGCTGAAAGAATGAAAAAATCAATCAAATGAAAAAATAGTCAATTGAAATTAATTTCAATCAAGTATCTTAACTTTTAAATACCCTCGTTCATCAGCTTCTTTCTATCTCCATTAATTTTATTTGGGTCGGGATTATTGGGACCTTCTGACACCTCAAGCAAAGATAACGGGATTTGCCTTGGTCGCTCAAAAAACTTTAAGACACCATCAGCTTTATACCCGTTATCTTGAGCATCGACCTTGGTAGAAATGTCTCGTTCACATGAGAAATACCGTAATGAGTCGATAAAGCAAAATGTAACAAAAAACAGATACGCTATTACGTGAGCTGTCCACGTGCGTTCGGGAGTATTCCCCATAATACCATTCATTTTTGTGATTGTATCAAGGTGACTAGAGACGCTCTTAATAACAAAAATATCGGGCATTGATTGATCATAACTCTCTACTGGTATAGGAAAGGTGTTAGATAGATAATGAAGTTTTTCGGATTGTCTGTCTAATTGATGAACTTTCCCCTTCATTTTTGCAAACTCTTCGTTGTCTTTTTCATCGGTTATGTCTTTATTTTCACCTTCTATATCACCATTGTCACAACTCTTTTCCTCAATAATCTCATCAAACAGTGACAGCCTCCGCACTTACATATTCATCCTCATCCGTCAATCTTAACCTTTCAAACAAAGAATTCAATTCATAGTCGCTCAAAAGTTCGTGAACCTGATTAAGTGTTTCCTCATCTCCCAAATCAATAATATAATAGTCCGTCTCAGGGTCTCGATCATGCCAAATAGACTTAAGCTTGTCATAATATGCTGAAATTTGATTTTCCCGAAGGTATCAGAAACTTCAGCAACAGAGCTTAACGTATCCTCTTGAGTAATGTCTTCTTCGTTTTCATAAGTACTGATCTGTATGCACATGAAAGGATGAAAGGATGAGATGAAGATCTTGCGGACTAATAATTGAGTTATATACTGAATCCCGACCTTTTTTGATGAAGTTGATGGTAATTCTTCATCGTATGATCGCTTATGTCCAAGAGACATATCCATTTCTCCTTTTGTCATCTTAGTTCGTTTTGACAAGCGTGAATTAACTCTATCAACGTACTCTTCGGTTTTTTGATTACGAGTAGCCTCAAGCACATTCAATGCGTCAATCTGCGATTGTTTATCGAAAATATCCTAGAAAAGGGGGTTTCAATGAGAACGCAACCAAAATCATTGACACTTTGAGGAGTCCTAATCAACGTTCATACGCAACGCACCTCCTTTGCCATTAGATCTTTTTCAGTCTTGACACTTTTCCAAAAGTTTCTTCCTCAGATGGACGCTTCTAATAACTCAGGGATGGTTAGTGAATATCAATCAAGAAAGTAGTGCGTTCAATACATTTCGCATGATCTTTCTGGAGGAACGACACCCCACATCTGTCGCACCGAGGAACGACACCCTATACCTCGAGGAGGACGACACCCCCTCTAGGCCGTGCAACAGCAGAGAAGATCGTGAAATACAATGCTGAGGAACGACACCCCATTCCACAAAGAGGACGACACCCTTCTAGGTCGCACAGATTTCACTTATAACGGTTTAGAGACAAAACGCAGTATCAATAATTTGACTAACCTGTTGAATCAGAAAAACTACACGCTCTTTGATACCATTGTCATGCTCTTCTTTCTCCGTAAGAAGTTCCTTTAGAAAGGTTAGATATCGCTTCCTCCATATGGAATTTAGATCGTCCAGCGAGTATTCTTCCGAGGCGCAATAAGGCTTTAAAGACTTTAAAAAAACTCAAATACGACCAATCTAAGGCGGATGTACTCTCTAAGTATGATTTAATCGACAAATCTAGTTCAAACATTGTTTGAACGGATTACACGCTTAAAAAGTTACGCGTTTATACTCTAGTTACACTTTCGTTACACAGAACTATACAGATGATCAATAAATTTTTTACATTATACATCATAAATGCGGTGATCGATCTCACATGACCTGCTTATGCTACGAATCTACCCCAGTATCGCCAGAAAATTTTTTCACCCCCACGTGACTTATGTGACGCATAAATTTTAATTGGCTTAATATTTGTTTCACATCTTACCATTTTTTTACTACTATTTTTTATATTTTGAAAATATTTACATTTATATACTTTTAAATGTTAGAAAAAAATGTAAAAAATTTGAACAGTTATATTATTATATACTTTATAAATAAAATTTATTATAAACTTAATTGACCAAAATGAAAAAAACAAAACATTTCGCGTGTTTGAAATATTACAAAATCGTGAATAACTCCAGATAGATTAATTGTATCTTTATGAAAATCGAGATGCAAGTAGTTTCAGCCCTTCTGAATAACTTTTAATTAATAATGGAGGTCGATTTCCTTTGTCTAAAGTACTCAAATTACGCTTTAAAGATAGGAAATAAAATTCCTAGTTAGTGTTGTTATGAAAAATGCGAATAACTCCAGATAAGCTGACTATACCTTTGTGAAAATTGATATGCAGGTAGTTTTTGATCCTTTGAACAACTTTCAATTAATAATAAATGTCAATTTCCTTTGACTAAAGTGTTCAAATTACGCTCTAAAGTTAGAAAATAAAAATCTGCGTGTTAGTATTATTATGAAAAATGTAAATATAACTCCAGACAGACTAATTGTACCTTTATGAAAATTGATATACAAGTAGTTTCAGACCCGCTGAACAACTTTCAATTAATAATGAAGGTCTATTTTCTTTGATCAAAGTGCTTAAAATACGCTCTAAATTTATGCAACAGAAAAAATAAAATTTGCAAGTTAGTATCATTATGAAAAATTTGAATAACTCCAGATGGACTGGCTGTACCTTCATGAAAATTAATATTCAAATAGTTTTAGACTCACTAAATAACTTTTAATTAATAATGAATATCGACTAAAATGTTTAGAATACACTTTGAAGTTAATAAATAAAAAAACAAATATGTATTCTGAGACTTTTATTAAAAAAGTTATAAAAAAGCATATTAAAGTTAATATTGTTAGTTAAAATGTTTAAAAACTGCGAATAGTCAAAGTTTTACAAAGTTTTAATAGTAAAAAAAGAGTGGTGGAAAGGTAGTGGAAAGTATACTTCTCCGCTAATTAATTACGTCATATTTCGGCGAACGGACCAATTCACTATTTATTATAAAATTACTATGAATTAATTACGTCTGTCAAAATACATTACGTCTGTCAAAATAAATTTAATTAGTATTTTGTCATTTTGACGAAAAGTATAGTGGAAAGAGTGAGTGTGGAGGATATTATGAGTAAACAAATAATAAAATAGTAAAATTGATTGCGTCACATAAGTCACGTGGGGGTGAAAAAATTTTCTGGCGATACTGGGGAAGATATGCTATGATTGCTAAATAGAGGAGATACAAAATTATAATTATCAATCCCTCTGAAACTATTTCGGAATTTCAAGTATGTGAAATGCTCTAACACAGATTTGATAATTAACTCTGAATTAGGGTTGACTTCGAAGGTGATAGGCTTGAAATCAGATGCTTGAGGTTTTTCTAATATACTTATTATGGCTTCTGATAATTGCCATAACTCATTTCCAGTTTCTTTTTTATATCTTTTGAATAAATTGGTACGAATCTTATCTGTCAAAATGCTTGGTAACTTATTAAGATAACACCTTTTAAAAAAGAAGCTTTTGAGGTAACTAATTAAAAATTCAATTTTTTTTTTAAAAAAAATTACATAATTTTAAATTGAAAAATTTTTTTTTTTAGCTTTCAATTTTGTATACGGTCAAAAGATCCAGATAAAGACAAAGATATACTAATTCAATTGTATAATTGTGGATTTTTTCAACCAACTCCTAAAAACCATACAAAGCAATTTTGGAATGCATACCAAGATGCATTAGATAGCAATATTTGTGGAATTGATGGTAAAAGAAGAATATTATCTATTATTGCCGATACATTTTCATATGAAACGATAAAATGAAATTTATTAGTTAGTATCAAAATTTACAAAATTATAAAAAAAAATCTAATAAATTTTATATAATACCCGTAATTATTAGGTTCAAATTATTCAATTACCGAAGCATGTTATTATGCGGTCCAGGAGGTGTTCAAATGGAAAATCTGAAAATTATTACCTGTATATTATCTGAAAAATACCAAAAAGATTTTGTGGGAACAGTTCCATGAAGAATATCCTGATGGACTTAAAAGAACTACATTTTATGGATATTTACAAGTAAGGTTGCTTGCCGAAACCTAGGGGTTTAGACAAGATGGCGTTTTGCCGAAAAGCGAAATTCTGCCGAAACTATATTAATATTAAAAAACTGGCGAAACTTTGGAGAAAGGCGAAACTGCCGAAACTTATTATAAATGCTAAAACTGCCGAAACTCTGCCGAAACTATAATAAATCTATAGTAAAATTTTGACGAAACTAATCGTAGGATTTTGAAGAGGTTTAGACAAGCAACCTTATTTACAAGGAAACCAATATATATATAAAGAGGATTTGGAAAGTCTCTGATATACATGGATATGAATCATTTGATGAGTTTTGAAAATTAATCAATGTCATATTCTAAACTTGAATTTACAGGTAAATATTAATTGATTGATCAATATTACCTTATTTGAACCCACTAATTAAATGAAACACACCAAGACTCTTGGTTCACCGCGTCTTCATTAACAGGGCAGACATCCCCATATTATCACAATATTGCTGATCATTTTGCCGATCACTTGTCCAATATTATCACATAAAAAAATACTGTTGAATTAATTTTTTCACAAATTCTACATAATAATGTATAAAATTTTGATTTTATTTACTTTATTTTATTTATTGTTAATAAATTAGTTCTTAAAATAATTCATAAAAATTTTGTCAAATATCAGACATATATTAATTTTACAATACACTGGTCAAAAACCAATATATCGGGTAGCAGATATGTATTAGATATGTACCCGATATGTGTAGTATTAATGCAGAAAATCGGGTACCCGATATGTGTAAGATATGTGTAAATATATATATCATATACATATCATTTACATATCATATACATATCAGTACCCGATATGTATATGATATATATATTTACACATATCTTACACATATCGGGTACCCGATTTTCTGCATTAATACTACACATATCGGGTACATATCTGATACATATCTGCTATCCGATATATTGGTTTTTGACTAGTGATAATTGTAAACATTTATTTAATGATATCTTTCAGGTTATCAAAAATTATTCAGGTTTATTTTAGCCACTAATTCTTGAATACCTAAATAGCATACTGTAAAAGTTTCAAGTTTGGCCCGAAGTTCTGTGGCTTGGCCTGAAGCTTCAAAGTCAAATTAGCAGATGATCAGCATATATATGAATTATTGAAAATTTCAACCTAAGGCTAAATTTGGAACCACATTATATTTTGCTACAATACTTTTATATTTAATTATTAATAACCTAAATTATTAAACAAAATAGTTAAATATAATTTTTAGAACATTTATGGTTTGAGATAAGGCTTCAAAGTTAATGTGATATCACATTTATTATGATCGGCAAATGATCAACATGTGATATAGAGTATGTCCGCCCTGTTGTCTTCATTACATGCAGTAGTAATGGAACTAAATCCTAAACTGGAGTGGATTACTTTTATAACCACATTATCACAATGCGGATTTTAATGATGATAATGAGAAGATGGAAGGAATAATCTATTATTTCTAGGAATTTTTCCTAATCGTCAAGTATGGATCAACTAAAAAATCAGCTTTCAAATCTGAAAATAAGCTATGAAAATACAGACAATAGACGTGAATTAGTATCTTTGCTAGAAGATGCTTTATCACAGAAAATAGAAAATACAGGTACAGTTTGATTTTAAAGAGAATGATTACCTTAGATCCTATGCTAATTATAATATTATCATAGAAAATCAAATACTATCTACCGATATGTTGGATTCAAACGAAGAAATAAGGTAAGATTAGTTACAGTATGTCAAATAATCATTTTTTGTAAGAATTGCGATTAACATAACATAAAATTACATCAGGAAATTCCGCTCAAGTTAGGTTGGGCACTAAAGGAAAATCAAAAATTTGGAAAAAAAGGGAGGTGGTAAAAGAATTAGTAAAGTACATTATAGTACTTCTGGAGGGGTATTTTTTAGCAGGAAATTTAAATAAAAGTGATAGATATAGCGTGCAGGAAATGTGGAATGAACTTACGAAATTGGCGGAGAAAGGTAGGTTAGAAGAAACTGATATTCCAAAAGTATCAACTATTCAAAATTGGATAATCAGGTATGCCGCTCAGTATAAACAAAATATGGCACAACAGCTGGACACTATGATTAATAGGACTAATAGAAATGAATTATTTTAATAACTTTTTTTTTGTTTTTCTTTTGTTTATAACGTTTAAAATAAATATTTAACGGTATATTTGCAACTGCATAATTATAGCGTTTTTTAAACTCGGAATCCAGCGTCGCTAAAGAAAAAATTTTTTAACTAATCAATCTAATCAAACAATTGTTGTAATACAAATTTGGTTAGCTACTTTTTAGGCAATCGTAACCTTAAACAGTAAGTATACGTCGATCAAAATTGTGAAACTAATAAATGATGATCATTCAACATACTTCAGAACATTATTCTGTATCACTTAAAAAAAAAATCCCGGACAGGTTTGCAAAAATAATTTCCTGAAATTTACGAATTAAATAAAACTCCTGTATTATTAATATCAGTATTATAAAATACTTATAATTATTTATTATTGTATTAATTACATAATATCTTCAAATATCTTAATTTTCTATTTATAAACCATAAAATTTAATTATCGCAAAAATTATAGCAATTATGGCATCATATTTAGTAATATTGTTTTTAATTGGAATTGATGGAGCTGGAGTATCATTTGATCGAAACGTTTCAAAAGCTTCTATCTTAAATAAGTTTTTGCCAATGGTTCTTTGATATACGCCGATGCAAATATACCTACTGATAATGCAGAGAATTGGGGTTCAATAATCACAGGAGTAATTCCTTGTAAACATAATTTTAAGTATGAAATGTTAGATGGAACGTACAAATGCGGATAATCCAAGCATATTTAAAATAATTTGCGATAAATTTTCTAATTATAAAGTAGCTGCATTTGCTTCATGGGAAAAAATAATTACAGGGATGATTAAATCCGAGATAGTAATGAGTAAATAAGCTCCTAAATTAAACGAAAATTTCATATCTAGATTCTGGATGTATTTATATCGATATTGGTTTAAAAACTTGATTTATGATTACTATCTTGTACAAAGGGTAAAAATGTATATTCATCTGGTTGATTTAGATGAAGTAAGAGTGTAGGACACATATATGGTTCTAATTCTTATGAATATTATGATAAATTAGCGTTAACCGATAACTATGTTAGCTCGATAGTTGATGACATAATTAACCATATTGAAAATCCATTAATAATACAGTATCATGGAGGATTGGGAAAAGGTCATGATGGTGGTAGTGACGAAGAAAAAAATGTTTTTATTGGCTGGAATCATGATCTAAAAGAAAAGTCAGTTAATATTAATTCGAATATGTGTTGATCAGCAATTTATATTAAAAAATTTTAGAATCAAAATTCCAAAATTATTTTGACAAAAAATCTCAACGTTCACTTTGTTAGATTTAAATATCCAAATAAAAAATAATCTTATTGGTTTTCATTTCTTATCGTTAATAATGCGAGTGCTTCATCTAACACTGTTTTAGTCCCTCCGCACCGATCATCAAATAAATTTTCATCTTAATAAATTAAAGCTTACAATATTGTAATAAAACAAATTTAATTGCACTCAACCATACTAGCAAAAAAAAAATCTAGAAATAACAAAATAAGAAAAATTTAAAACGAAAGAAAAAAATAAATCTAAAAAAAGAAAAATACATTCTTAGTAATTTTCACTACTAACGTATTCAATATGTGAAATATAATAAATTCCGATAAAACCAATTAAAACATTCATTATATCATTATATACAGTATATCGAATAGTTTTATGGAATATGGATCAATGAATGAAATCTGATTTTTTTTTTGACGAATTAAAATCTAATAATATAAAAAGATAAATGATTAATTATAGTAAAAATTATCGAAATTTCCAAATATAATTATGCAGTACCTTTTGCTGTTATCATATGTTAATCAAAATTCTTAATGAAAAATAACTCATAGTATCCAATTGTACAAACAAATAAATCATGTTCGTTTAATAAAATGATTGGCATGTTTACAAAAAAATTCTAATCCGTTAAAAATAACCAATTGACAAATTTGTTTAACAGGAAATTGGACTTGAGAAATGGGGGAATGATTCTGATTGGCTAATTTAAAAAATTAAGCAATCACATGACTTTTAACCAATAATATTCACTTGGGACGGGTCACGGTTAGCTTGAAATTTAATGTTGCACATTTGGGACCTAAATTCATATAATGAATATTATACAGGATTGATATTATTTTTTGGAGAAAAGAATAAATTTGAAAAATGATAGAATAGAATAATTTACGCTAATTTTTTTGTTGATTGGATTCTGATTTTCTCAAATTTGAAAGAATAATTATATCATCCAATAATGATATTATCGGTTTGACGGGACCGTTCATGCAATTTTTATAATAAACTCCCGTTATTATCCAATAATTTTATTATTATGCTAATACTAGTAATATGAGATAACCGACCTAAATAACAATTATGTAAAATAAGAGAATAACTGATATCCCTGCGTACAATTAATAATAAAAAAAGTTAAAGGCCCTACCTATAAATAGTACTGTACGTATATTTCTGGCTTAATTAATATTTGAGACAATATTAGTGTAACATCCCAGGTTGTAAAATCAAACTTGTTTCAAACTTTCAAAGCCAAGCTATTTTGGCGTGCTTTGCGTTGCATATATTTGCATTTTTGCATTAAAAAAAGAAAATTCCAGGCCGTGAAAGTAATATGATGCAAATCGTGCAAAACAATTTATTTTTTTTGTGTGATAAATAAACTCCGACTGAGATTTTTATTATTGACGGTTAATAAGGAAATTTATTACAATATTATTTGTGTATAATTTATGAGAAGATTATAAAATTATCTTTCTTCCGTGAGATAAATATTTCGAGATTTTTTAAAAAGTACTGTACATTGTTATTTTGATGTTATCATCGTTAAAACGGAATTTTATAGTGTTGAATTTTGAATGATATCTCCTATATTTTGATTAAACTATTCGTTTATTACTAATTCATCTGAAATTTTCTATCGCAAATAACAAAGAAGCGCCACTCTTGCTTATTGAAACGATCTTTTTTAGACAGATGATCAACGTTTAAATTAGGTTTTCACAATAAGAAAATTTTTTTATAACCCGAACTCACGATCACATGCTAAACTTGAATATGTTCTAAGCCTAACAAGGTTGTTACAATAAACCAAATTATGTTGACGCAATTTTTATAATAGATCTAGATTGATTACGTAAACCGGCAAAAAGTGTGTTATAAAACGTTTGCTTTTATTATTAGGATAGTAACAAAAATTTTCCTTATTATCAATAAGTAAAATGAATGAAAATTCCGACAATAAAAAAGGTACTCATGACCAAGAACCTGAGGAGGCTCATGACCATAAAGTTGATATTGATAATGTTGATATTGATAATGTTGTCAAACTAGATAATGTTTCTTTTACACGAGTAACACCAAATGGAAAATTTCTCATTACTATTAGTCCTTCAAATCTTGCTGTCGGTTGGAATGTCGAAGACGTTGATAAAGGTCAACTTAAAAAAGAATTTGAAGTCGATATATCAGATTTTGGTTTTAAATATTGCTTTTCTGATAATAAGAAAGTAGTGGCGTTTCAAGAAAAAATTTTTGGTAAGTTGTAATTATTATTATTTAAAATATAATATTTATTTTATAACCGACGGTAATAAAATTATTTAATTATATAATAGGTCCATGCGGTATATACGATATTGATAATAATCAATTAAATAAAATAACAGAATATTATCTTCCTGATTATTATTTTTGTTTTAGTTTAAATAACGATATTATTGCATATGACTATCATCTACCAGTGATTTATATTTCTTCTACTCGAACTAATAATAACAAGTGGAATTATAAAAGAATATACGAAAGACCTGAATATCTTGAAGATCTTAATATTCTTAGCATATCAAAATATAATAAACTTTATTTTACGTTATCAAATAATTCCATTTATCAATTTGATCTTATTACCAAAAAAAGTAAAGAAATATGCTTTATTGATGATGAAGTAATAAGCAAAGTAGATTTAAGTAGTAATGAAAATTTAGATTGTCTAATAACATATTGGACTTGCGACAAAACTTTTATTTATTCAATTGAATTAGAAATTCCTGTTTTTTTGGATATAATATTAAATCCTGAAAATCCTAGATTTACTTCCGTGTCTAATGGTAAATTTTTATTAAAATTAATTAGAGTTCTCCATGCTATCTATATTTTAAAACTTTATTATCTTTTTATTTAGTTAATCGGCTACGTAAGTTTATGAAACATCCTACTTTATGTTCTCTATTGATTCCTTCATTACTTGTTAATATAACATTCAAAAATAAATTTTGGAATTCCATCATGGAAAATTTTTGGAAGAAATGTATAGAACATTTAAAACAGAATGGCCATTTACCAAAAAAAGTTGAACCACGTTTTATTGAAGCTACAAAAAAGTATGCATTTATAGATACTTGGAGAATTGATTTGAAAACAATGATATCAAGCATAAATTCTTTATTCACTGATGAAAATGTCAAGGATGTTGACAATTTACATATTCTTTTACGCAATTCATATATGGATGTTATACATGAATTATTTCATGAAGTTAAAGTCATATCAGAACTCCTTGTAACTGAAAAAAGTTTAGGCAAATGGTCAGTTAAGCGTAATTTCGGTAATGAAAAGATTTTTCTGGATATTTATAGTGATAATGTTAAAATTGGATCTCGAAAGTTTAAATTTAAAAATTCTTATTTAATTGAAATTAAGATTTTAGATGAAAGTGATATCATTATATTAACACAATTTGGTCTTTCAATTTTCCATTTTAATAAGGATAAGAATTCCATTTCCTTAATCTATTATTATCAAATGGAATTAAATGATATTTCGCAATTACAATTTTATAAGAAAAAATTTTCAAACCGTACTGATTTACCTTTACCGAATACTACTAGTTTTGAAACTTGTGATGAATGGGTTTCAGATATAATAGATAATAAGGTGACCTTTTTAAAATATGGAATTGAGTTATTAAAATTTGCAATTGATAAACATAACGTAGAATTAATAGAAAAAATTTATAATAAATGTATGAGGTATTTTAAAGATGATTTTAACAAGTTGTTTTTAAGTATCATTACTTCTACAATGCCATTATTGAATGTACATTATCCGGAGTATATTGAAAGATATTCATCAGAAACAACAATGATAATAGATTCACCATCTTATAGAATAACATATAAAAGCAATGTTTTGCATCTTTCTTCTTGCGTATATCCTCAATTGGAATCAAAATTAAGTCATGAAAAAGAGAATAACGTAGATAATTCTAACAAAAAATTAAAAAGTATACCAACTCTTATTTTGTTAAATCCTTATATTAAGTTTGTAAACTATCCAGCGAATTATACCTTGATTTCAGAATTATTTTGGCCAAAGCCCAGTCCATTTGTTGAAACAATTAATATAAATATTTATAAAACATGGAATGGGGAATCGTTAATTAATTTTAAATGGGATACCTACGGAAAATATTACTATGCTGGAATCTGGATCTTATTTATGGTTTATCTTGGATGTTTTACAACCGCTGCCACAATTCCACAGCAATATATTGAAAAAAATATTCAAAAACGACTTTTGATAGCTTCAATCATACTTGGATTTGTTCATCTTAGTTTTGAAATTCGTCAAATTATTCATGATTTTAATAAATGGATTCGTGATTTTTGGAATATATTTGGTATGTACAACATTTTAAGAAACAAAAAAAAAATAAAAATTGTAAATTAATTATTTCATTTAACATTACAGATGTAATTGCATATGTACTTCCAATCGTCACTTCTATACTTTTGCTTCGAACAAGTGATATGAATATAATTCCATTACTTGCTTTTTCATGTTTATTTTTAGATATAAAATTTTTGTTATTTTTTAGAGCTTTTGAATATTTTGGGGTATATTTTGCAATAATTATTAATGTTGCAAAAAAGATTGTCTCTTTTCTAGTAGTATTGTTTATTATTATAATAAGTTTTGCACATGCTTTTTATATTTTATTAGTCCCAAGATCTCAATTCTCATTTGATGAACCTACAAATAATGACGATCCAAATAATCCTTGGAATATAGCTTCTAGTTATTATCAAGTATTTGAAAATGGAAGTATTGGTCATAATCCGTATATTATTCAACAACCTAATGATAGTACAAATATGTTTGTAAATTTTACGACTGCCATTTTTGCAATGTATGAATTTTTAACAGGTATTTTCAATTTAAATTTATCATTAATATTTTACGAGGTATTTTTTATTATTATTATTTTTTTTTTTTTTTAACCAATTTAAATTTTTATTAGGTGATTCAGGTGCATTCTCCAATTGGTCATATACAGCTAATCCATCACTCGCAATATTGATTGTTTTATTCTCACTATTGGTTGTTGTGTATCTTATGAATTTGTTAATTGGATTACTTAGTAATGCAATTGAAGAAAGTAATAATAGAGTTTCATATTTAATACAAAAAGCAGAGGTATATTATTATTATTATTATTATAAAATTAAAATTATTCGGTTATTATAAAAGTATTAATATTTTCGTTTTTATTCAGATTCTAGTTGAGATTGAGTTGTTTTACCTATTGCCATTTCAAAGACGTTGGGATGATTGGTTCCCTAAAGTAATGTATGTAAAGTTTGTTATATATATATATATATTTCTTAAAAAAATATAACCTTTATATATTAACACACATTTATTTTAAGGTATTATTATGCTAATGTTGATAAGACTCGTGAAAAAATTAAGGAATTGATTAAAAATGATGAATGGGAAAGCAAAAATCTCCAAGAATTGAAGGAAAAATTATTAAAAAAACTCATAATTGAAAATGTAACCAAATCCGTTGATGAGGATACTTTGCAAAAATCATTAAAAGAAATGAAGAAAAATTTATTAGAAGAACTCAAAATTGAGAATACTTTACAAAAATTATTAGAAGAAATGAAGTTTAGCTTATTAAAAGAACTCAATAATAAAAATGATACTAATAAATCCGTTGATAAGACCATTTTAGAAAAAATATTTGAAGAAACGAAGAAAAGTTTATTAAAAGAACTTAATGCTGAAAATGATACTAATAAATCCGTTGATGAGTCTACTTTGCAAAAAATATTAGAAGAAACGAAGAATAGTTTTTTAAAAGAATTCAATATTGAAAATGATACTAATAAATCCATTTGATGAGAATATTTACGAAACAGTTTCGGAGATGTGGGCTACTTTACTCTTTTGAACTTAGATTAGAGCCCTTTTCTCTGGATAGTTGACCTGGAACTTACTCTTCGGGGTTTAGGTTGGGGTATATGAGGTTCTTAGATATAGGTTTTAGATTAGTATTTTATTTTATCTTTTTATTTATTGTTTCCTTTATGTGACTAGTTTAGGTTTTATTTTACTTTGTAATTATTTGAAATTATAAATAAAGTTTAGCGTAATGCTGTTTTGCTCCCTCGAGAATATTTAACGAAAATTATTAGGAAAAATTAGTAATTAGAAAAACAGAAACTGTTACATCATTTATTTAAAGTTTTTTAGGTGTTCATCACCGTTGGCCGGAATTATCAATTTTACCGACACTATATTTTTTAATGCTATTCGATCATCACTGATAATTTCAGTCACCAGTGATCATCACCACCCCGGTGATAGTTGGAAAAATTCTTAAATTCTGTTTTTATTATTACATCATAACATATCGTTTTTAAATTCTTTTTTTTTTTTTTAATAAAATTTTAAAATTTTTCATTTTTATTACTGAAAAAAAAAAATTACTGGCAAACATAAAAGATTATCAGTGATACAAAAAAAAAGGATGAGATGATATCAGGATTCAGGAAGGAAAGATACATGCATATACTTGTATTATCTAAATTTATATAAATATTGCAACTTATTACTATGTTGTCAGTTAAAATTTATGAATGGTAACAAAAATAAAAATTTTAGTTAAAGAAAAAAAACATCAAAGCAGTTTTCACCAATGTTGGACAATTAGAATTTGATAATGGAGTTATCGAAGGATTTATAAACAAAATTCATTTTGGTACAAAAGTAAATCAAGGGATCGTTCCCGACATTGATCAAAAAAATATAGGGAATTGATTAAAGGTACTTTATAATAGAAAAGCTCTCGTCAATCATAAAAATTTGTTCATATTGAAGTATTATGGTTTAGAAACTGAGGGACCTAAGTTATTATATATTCATTTATATTTTCTGGAGTAATTCTTTTTAAAATATTCTATAAATATAAAATATAATGTCTGATTCAGAAGACAATAATTTTAAAACGATTGAAAATGAAATCGTTAATGCAAATACTGTATACAAATGTCGATAGTTGTTATAAAACAATTAAAAATAAAATCGATGATTTGGATCTATTTTTTCAATTCCTTCTCCATATAATCATTCAACCTTAGTAATTAGTTCAATTTTAAAAACATTCCGAATTCGTTTACTTACCATGCTTATTATGCAAAATAAATTCCCAATTAAGTCTACATGAAATCGATAATACTTTGTTCGAAAAATATTGCCTCGCATTAACTTGGTAGAACGTTGAAATAAAAAAAAGATTCGTAATCAGAGATAAAAAAATTTAAATGCGAGTATCATTTGATCGAATGCTCGTTGGAATTCGTCATTCGTGTAACAGATTGGATATATATATAGTATGTAAATGTTAATTTATTTGCCAGTTTAAAAATCAAATTAATCAAAAAAGCTATCAGAATTATTATTAAATTAAATAACTTACGAATACCGAATCTGCACTAAATCCATTTCGTCAATTAAAACATGATAAAGGGCTGGTTGGGACGTCCCCAGTAGTCTAGTATGACTTTGTAAATCTGATAAGGATTTAAAGTTATTGAGTAATACTAGCTAAAAATATGGCTATCCAGATTTTATTAACCAATATAAAAACCGGCCGAAACCGAAATAAATCATATATGATATGTATAAATGCATTTATTTATTTATATATAGTATCAAAGATTATTATATAAAATAGAATTATTGTAAAGTAGAATTTATATTGTTCTCTTAATCTCATTTTCCAAACATCTTTTCAAAAAGGAGATCTGTCTTGAAATAGGGGGCATTTTCCATTAAAAGATCCGAAACCTTAAAAATTTGATACCTTGTGCTTTATTAACCTTTGAGTAATTTTAAAAGTTCAACCGAATACATAAAACAATGCAATACATCGCTTTTTTGAAAATACTAAGGAAAAAGAATATTTTTTCTCTAGAAGTAGCCCTGAAACAGTTTTCATTAATTTCAAAATGAAAATAATGTTTTTGAAAAAAGAGAGCTATTACATTAAATACTGTAATGATTTAGAACATTCTTACCAAAGCTGGAATGAAAATATTAAGAAGAATCCTGGAAGTTTCAATTTTAATATAAATTTATTAACTGTTAATTATTAAATGATGATCTATCGATAATGTTTTTGTAATATTACCATACATAGTTATCTTCGGAAGTGTATGATTATGGTAGCTATGTAGATCGGATAAAACATATATGAGATATCCGAAGTACTAATTCCAAAAAAAAAACTATTGTTTCCAATTATTTATTCTTAACCATATCAGATTTCTGTTTGATTAAACTCTAACGGATTAGCCAAAATAAGTAATATCAAAATATGATTTTTTTTTTAGGGTTTGTGTTACCTAAAATAAATGATAACAAATCAAATATCAAATTACAAATTTATTGTTTATTTTTATGCAAGCCATTTGAGCTTGGCACCGAACAAATGTTCCTTTATCGAATTGCGCCGGATGCACAAATTCTCCCTTTCTCTGTAATTCATAAATCCATAAAAATGGATGATTCATTTTTCAGGATTTTCAACCCTTTTTCTAGAAAAAAAGGTTAAAGGAATATACTTAATCAAAAATGGGTTGCAAAATTTTAAAACATCATTTAATGTTAATTTTGTTAATTCAATTGTTTCTTTGGGTTACATTTGTAAATGGACAATTTATACCAGGACCTCGAACAGGTCACACGGCAACTCTCATCGGAGATAAAATATATTTTATAGGAGGATATAATTTTTCAATTAAACCTAAAGAAAGTGATGTATTTTATTATGATGGAAATAAACTAGCATGGGTAGACGTGAATAGTCAAGTTAGTGGTCAAGATGCAGATATGCCACTTCAATTTGGACATACGGCTAATATAGGAGGACCTAAACAAGATTTGATATTTATTATAGGTGGTGACCGATTTTCAACAGTATATCAACTTGATACTAAAACAAATAAAATTATTACACCAATAATTCTGGGAGATTTTCCAACTAGGGATAACTTAATGTTTATGAGTTCTGTTAGTTATAAAGGGCTAATTTATTTGTTTGGTGGAATAGAAATAGATAAAACTGGTACTAATGTTTTTTATGATAATCATTATATTTTTGATACTATTAATTTGAATTGGAAAGAGGGTGGCCTTACTAATGTTCCTCCTCCCAGATATAAGCATACAGCAACATTAGTTGATGAAATTATATATTATATTGGTGGTATACAAATGAATAATGCTTATACTACTTCTTATGCTTCAATGTCCATTGTACGTAAGATTATAGATAATTAAAGTTATATTAAGTATGAGAGTTATATTAATAAGTTGATTTTATTATTGTAGATTTTTCGATATAATACTATTTCAAATACATGGTCTTCAAAGGTCAGTTATAAAATTATTCTTTTTTGAATATCACGTGATATCTAATACGTTAATAACTCTAGGTAGCTACAGGAAATACTCCAGGACTTAGAGCTGGCCATTCAGCTGTTTTAGGTGATTTTCTTCTTTAAATTTAAAAATATTTTGTTTTATTTATTTATTTAATTTTTATTTTATAGTTGAAGGCAAAATTTGTATATTTGGAGGCGTTTACCTTGATTCATCACCTACAGAATCAATTGCTATGTTGGATACTAACAACTTAGAATGGTCAATACCATCTTTTAAAAATCCAAGGAGACCAAATATGCCAACTTTACCAAACCTAGTTTATCATACTGCCACATTAGTAGATAAGCGTATGTTCGTTGCTTTCGGTGAGTTATTTTTTTAAAATGTTTCAATGTAAATTCATCTCACGTGACTTTAATTATTATTTTATTTTAGGAAATGATACGGATAAATCGGCTAATGCGGTTACTAGTGGATATAAAGGATTAAATACTGATTTTTATATATTTGACTTTAATAATTTTGAATGGTACATTGCATCGGCAGATGAACTTACGAATCCATCTTCTAATATCCCAAAGTTATTTCCTTCCAGTGCAGGAATGCCATCGAGTAAATTAGCAATTATTGGTTTATCAGTTGGAATAGTGCTAAGTATATTGGCAGTAGTCGGAATATTAGTATTTGTATATTATAAACGTAAGAAAAATCAAAGTGAAGGTGATGTCGGTTATCCAGAAGATGATTCAAATATTTCTTATGATAAAATGTCATTAAGTCAACGATCAACTTTATATTCAAGTCGACCATCAATGCAATATCAATTTACAAAACAATTTACACCAGAACAACGTATCTCAAATAATAATAATTTAACTCAGCCTCAAGATAATCTCAGTCAAGAATTTTTTATTTTACAAATTCCATCAGATGGTGATAGATTTTCTAATCATTCTTCTAATTATTATCCCGGAATTGGAACTGATCCTCATTCTCGAAGAAGTGAAGTTTCTCCACCCCCTCCCCCTTTAACTTATCCTTATTCTCAAAGAAATGAAGCTCCTCTCCCCTCTCCCCCTTCAACTGATCCTCATTCTCAAAGAAATGAAGTTCCTCTCTCCCCTCCCCCTTCAACTGATCCTCATTCTCAAGGAAGTGAAGCTGTTCTCCCCTCTCCCCCTTCAACTGATCCTCATTCTCAAGGAAGTGAAGCTTCTCTCCCCCCTCCCCCTTCAACTGATCCTCATTCTCAAGATTCTCAAGGAAGTGAAGCTCCTCTCTCTCCTCCCCCTTTAACTGATCCTTATTCTCAAGGAAGTGAAGCTCTTCTCCCTTCTCCCCCTCCCCCTCAGACTCCATAAACTTTATAAATATTACGTAAAAACTTACTTATTATTACATTAACATGGTATAAACATTTTAAACTTCATAATAGACAATTACTGCTTTAAGTAATCAAGCAATCTTTATAATATGATATGACATTCGTATACTGTACCTATAATTCTGTTTTCATTAATTAGTCTGTCACTTTCAAAATATTAATTAACATTAAGTGTTTTTAATATAATAAATTACCTTTTTATATTGTATTATTTTATGGTTTATTATAATGTAAAATTTATTGTAAACGCCTCCACAAAAATAATATACTTTATTTTGATTTACCCGTCACATTAAACTGGTGATACAATACAAAAGATATTAACTTCCGAATTGTGTAATTATTTATTATAAAGAATTTCCCGTTTAAAAAATTCCCGAAATGTTGATCGCTTCGGTCAGAAAGGAAAGGATTTCTTTTAGACAAACTCGATCATTTTAGTTGCATATCTGATATGACTAATTATAAGCATGTGACATTAATACGACATTTTTCATGAAAAGTGAAGAAAGAACTTTTTGCTTATGCGTGCAAACATTGTGTTTTTCTAGAATTTTCGACTATTTCATTTATTTACTTTTATACTTATAGTTAATGACAATATAAAGGATAGAACTGACTTTGTACATTTGCCTGATGAATATTATCTAAAAATATTAAAAACACGTAGTAGTAGTTAATAATTTTCGAAAATATAGACATTACTTACTGTAATTGACGTAAATTACATTATACACATTCAATGCTCTTGAATGGAAATTTAAACTAAAGGCAATTAATAGCATCAGGAAGTTTTTAGGTGGGTCGGTCCATGTAATTCCACGTGGGTTTGCTCAGAAATACGTGGAATTCCACACATTCCCAATATCCTACATGGATCCACACCGAATTTTGTGGACTTATGCCGAAAATACCACGTGTTTCGTCACAGGGTATTCGGAAAATACTGGAACTGTTAGATTCCACATATTTCCACAGTATTTGATGTGGATTTCTGTGGATTTTAAACGGAAAAAAATTCCTGATGAGATTGGATACCAAATAATCCTAAAAAGCGATTCATGAACAAGCAATTATATGCGGAAAGAATGAAAAAATCAATCAAATGAAAAAAATAGTCAATTGAAATTAATTTCAATCAAGTATCTTAACTTTTAAATACCCTCGTTCATCAGTTCCGTCTTTCTATCTCCATTAATTTTATCTGGGTCGGGATTATTGGGACCTTCTGACATCTCAAGCAAAAATAACGGGATTTGCCCTATAAAAAATTTTTATCCGAATATTTCCATTATTTCTCCGTGTCTTCCGTAAAAATTCCGTGAAAATGATACATTCACGGATATCCGTGTTAGCGAGATGAAAATTTCCATATAAATTCCATGAAAATGATACATTCACGGAACGGATCAGATTTTTTACAGGGAATTGCCTTGGTCGCTCAAAAAACTCTAAGACACCATCAGCTTTATACCCGTTATCTTGAGCATCGACCTTGGTAGAAATGTCTCGTTCACATGAGAAATATCGTAATGAGTTGATAAAGCAAAATGTAACAAAAAACAGATACGCTATTACGTGAGCTGTCACACGTGCGTTCGGGAGTATTCAGTTCCTCATAATACCATTCATTTTTGTGATTAGTTGTATCAAGGTGACTAGAGACGCTCTTAATAACAAAAATATCGGGCATTTCTGATTGATCATAACTCTCTACTGGCATAGGAAAGGTGTTAGATAGATAATGAAGTTTTGTCTAATTGATGAACTTTCCCCTTCATTTTTGCAAACTCTTCGCTGTCTTTTTCATCGGTTATGTCTTTATTTTCACCTTCTATATCACCATCGTCACAACTCTATCTTTTCCTCAATAATCTCATGAAACAGTGACATATACTTATGCGCCTCCGCACTTACATATTCATCCTCATCCGTCAATCTTGACCTTTCAAACAAAGAATTCAATTCATAGTTGCTCAAAAGTTCGTGAACCTGATTTAGTGTTTTTTCATCTCCCAAATCAATAATATAATATGGGTAACCGGACTTTTCGCCGATGTTCTTTTCACCGAAACCCATTTCGCCGAGGCAATTTCGCCGAAGGGATATTTCACCGAAGTAACATTTCGCCGAAAGCCGTTTTCCAAGTAGACATTTCGCTGAATGACCATTTACCGAAACCATTTCACCGAAGCCATTTCACCGGGACATTTCGCCGAAATTGTGAAATTTTTTAATTTTTCTTTTTCTTGAGAAGACAAACGAATTATTTAATACAGTATATTAAGTCACGTTTATTTTAATAAAAAAGATAACAAAATCATCATAAAATGAAATGAAATATTTTAGAGAGAATTTGTACTTTGAGCATTTTTTATTTTCTTTGTATCGAATTGTTAATGATCAAGGAAATGTTTATCTGTTATATGTTAATCATTAACATTTTCTGCGAAATGTCCTTCGACGAAATGTCCATTCGATGACATCACATTCGGTGAAATATTTCTTCAGCGAAACTTCACTTCGGCGAAATGGTTTTCGGCAAAATGAAATTCGGCGAAACGTACCGTAACCTATAATATGATGCGCACGGTCTAAAGCCACCACTTTTTTATTTTTTGGCCAAATTTTATAAAATCACGTGAGCAAAATTTCATTGGTCAATATTTACTAATCATGGGTTTGTAGAATAGAATACCAATTGTTTTAGCCAGAATTAATATTAATTCTGGCTAAAATGATTTATAAAATTCATATTATCAGAAAGAATCTGTTATTTTATTATATTTAAAATTGTGATATCCATCAAATCTTTTCTATATTCATTAAGAATAATAAACATATATTTAATTTGTTCTCATTCGGTTATTTTAAACAAAAATATTTTTATATTAATTCTTAATTAATTAATTTAAGCCAGTTTATAAATTTTGGCCTGCATTAAATTAGTGTTAAACTGGCCACTCCGAATTTATTCAAAACATAGTAAAATAACCAAAATTAAAACTTATATATCTTATGCTACAATAATTCAATTTGAAAAACCCTCTGTTACATAAAAGTATACTGTTTAATTACAGAAAGTTTTTTAAAAAATATTGATTAAATTTTTTTTACTATTCATTTGAAATCACATGATAAAAAGTGATGGCTTTAGACTGTTTGCACCATAAAAACCGGCCGAAACCGAAATAAATCATGTATAAATGCATTTATTTATATACTATATAGTAGTACCAAAGATTATTATATAAAATTGAATTATTGTAAAGTAGAATTTATCTTGTTCTCTTAATCTCATTTTCCAAACATCTTTTCAAAAAGGAGATCTGTCTTGAAATAGGAGGCATTTTCCATTAAAAGATCCGAAACCTTAAAAATTTGATACCTTGTGCTTTATTTAATCTTTGAGTAATTTTAATAAAAGTTCAACCGAATACATAAAACAATGCAATACATCGCTTTTTTGAAAATACTAAGGAAAAAGAATATTTTTTCTCTAGAAGTAGCCCTGAAACAGTTTTCATTAATTTCAAAATGAAAATAATGTTTTTGAAAAAAGAGAGCTATTACATTAAATACTGTAATGATTTAGAACATTTTTACCAAAGCTGGAATGAAAATATTAAGAAGAATCCTGGAAGTTTAAAAAAATACATCAATTTTAATATAAATTTATTAACTGTTAATTAACAATTATAAATGTCTATCGATAATGTTTTTGTAATATTACCATACATAGTTATCTTCGGGAAGTGTATGATTTGTAGATCGGATAAACATATAAGAGATATCCGAAGTAAATTCCAAAAAAAAATAACAATTATTTATTCTTAACCATATCAGATTTCTGTTTGATTAGTATGGAAAGCCGTCCTTGACAAAAGGTTGATATCCAGACATCATGTTGGATAATGTCTAGACATCATGTTTGATATATGTAGAATAATGTTTGTACATCATTCAACATGATGCTCTATGGAAAGCCGTCCTTGACAAAAGGTTGATATCCAGACATCATGTTGGATAATGTCTAGACATCATGTTTGATATATGTAGGATGATGTTTGTACATCATTCAACATGATGCTCAAGCATCAACCGACATGATGTCTTAGACATCATGTTACCAAATATAGTAAATTTTATTTTGTGTAACTCATAAATATACTATATTTGGTAATTTGATCAGCATGATGTCTAGACATCATGTCGGTTGATGTCTTTCACATCATGTTAAAACCTGTCTCTTATACACATCTAGATGTGTATAAGAGACAGGNATGTCTAAATATTATATTTCATGATGTTTGGACATCAACCTTTTGTCAAGGACGGCTTTCCATAGATTAGACTCTAACGGATAGCCAAAATAAGTAATATCAAAATATGATTTTTTTTAGGTTTTGTGTTACCTAAAATAAATGATAACAAATCAAATATCAAATTACAAATTTATTGTTTATTTTCATGCAAGCCATTTGAGCTTGGCACCGAACAAATGTCCCTTTATCGAATTGCGCCGGATGTACAAATTCTCCCTTTCTCTGTAATTCATAAATCCATAAAAATGGATGATTCATTTTTCAGGATTTTCAACCCTTTTTCTAGAAAAAAATGTTAAAGGAATATACTTAATCAAAAATGGGTTGCAAAAATTTAAAACATCATTTAATGTTAATTTTATTAATTCAATTGTTTCTTTGGGTTACATTTGTAAATGGGCAATTTATACCAGGACCTCGAAAAGGTCACACGGCAACTCTCATCGGAGATAAAATATATTTTATAGGAGGATATAATTTTACAAATCCTAAAGAAAGTGATATATTTTATTATAATGGAATAGCATGGGTAGAATTGAATAATCAAGTTAGTGGTCAAGGTGCAGATATGCCACCTAAACTTGGACATACAGCTAATGTAGGAGGACGTAATCAAGATTTGATATTTATTATAGGAGGTGATGACGAATTTTCGAAAGTATATCAACTTGATACTAAGACAAATAATGTTACTTTACCAACAATTCTGGGAATTATTCCAAATAAGGATAGCTTAGTATTTATGAGTTCTGTTAGTTATAAAGGGAAAATTTATTTGTTTGGTGGAGGAAAAATTGAAGCTGATATAATTACTTTGTATAATAATCATTATATTTTTAATACTAATAATTCGAATTGGGAAGATGGTAGCTTAGTTGGTGCTCCTCCAGCCAGATATAAGCATACAGCAACATTAGTTAATGAAATGATATATTATATTGGTGGTATACAAATAAATAATTCTTATGTTTCTTATACTTTAATGTCCGATGTACGTAAGATTATTATAGATAATTAAAGTTATATAAAATATGAGAATTATATTAATAAGTTGATTTTATTATTGTAGATTTATCAATATAATACTATCTCAAATACATGGTCTTTAGAGGTTAGTTAATTAAAATCATTTTTTTTTTTAATATTACATGGTATCTAATACGTTAATAACTCTAGGTAGCTACGTTAGCTCCAGGAGATACTCCAGGACGTAGAGCTGGCCATTCAGCTGTTTTAGGTGATTTTTTCTTTAAATTTAAAAATATTTTGTTTTATTTATTTATTTATTTATTTATTATTTATTTTATAGTTGAAGACAAAATTTGTATATTTGGAGGCGCTTACTTTGATTCAACACCTACAGAATCAATCGCTATGTTGGATACCAACACTTTAGAATGGTCAATACCACATTTTAAAAATCCTGAGAGACCAAATATGCCAACTTTACCAAACCTAGTTTATCATACTGCCACATTAGTAGATAAGCGTATGTTAGTTGCTTTCGGTGAGTTATTTTTTTAAAATGTTTCAATGTAAATTCATCTCATGTGACTTTAATTATTATTTTATTTTAGGAAATGATACGGATATTGTTGTTAATGGAGGATATAAAGGATTAAATAATAATTTTTATATATTTGACTTTAATAATAATGAATGGTACATTACAACAGCAGATGAACTTACGAATCCATCTTCTAATATTCCAAAGTTATTTTCTTTCAGCAGTAGTGCAGGAATATCATCGAATAAACCACTAACTATTGCTTTATTATCAGTTGGAATAATACTAGGTGTAGCAATAGTCGGAACAGTAATATTTGTATATTATAAACGTAAGAAAAATCAAAGTAAAGAAGATGTCGGTTATTCGGCAGATGATTCAAATATTTCTTATGATAAATTTTCATTCAGTCAACGATCAACTTTATATTCAAGCCAACCATCAATGCAATATCAATCTACATATCAACAATTTACACCAGAACAATGTATCTCAAATATTAATAATTTAACTCAGCCTCAAGGAAATCTTGGTCAAGAATATTTTATTTTACCAATTCCATCAGATGGTGATAGATTTTCTAATCATTCTTCTAATTATTATCCCGGAATCGGAACTGATCCTTATTCTCAAAGAAGTGAAGTTTCTTCACCCCCTCCCCCTTCAACTGAAGTTTCTCCACCCCTTCCCCCTTCAACTGATCCTCATTCTCGAAGAAGTGAAGTTTCTCCACCCCCTCCCCCTTCAACTGATCCTCATTCTCAAAGAAGTGAAGTTTCTCCACCCCCTCCCCCTTCAACCGATCCTCATTCTCAAAGAAATGAAGCTCCTCCTCTCCCCACTCCCCCTTCAACTGATCCTCATTCTCAAGGAAGTGAAGCTCTTCTCTCCCCCAAGACTCCATAAACTTTATAAATATTACGTAAAAACTTACTTATTACATTAACATGGTATAAACATATTAAACTCCATAATAGACAATTACTGCTTTAAGTAATCAAGCAATCTTTATAATATGATATGACATTCGTATACTGTAACTATAATTCTGTTTTCATTAATTGGTCTGTCACTTTCAAAATACTATTAACTAACATTAAACGTTTTTAATATAATACATTACCTTTTTATATTGTATTTTTTATAGTTCATTACAGTGTAAAATTTTATTGTAAGATAACTTCACAAAAAATAATATACTTCATTTTGATTTACTCGTCACATTAAACTGGTGGTACGATACAAAAGATATTAACTTCCAAATTGTGTAATTATTTATTATAAAGAATTTCCCATTTTTAAAAATTCCCGAAATGTTGATCGCTTCGGTCAGAAATGAAAGAATTTCTTTTAGACAACTCGATCATTTCAGTTGCATATCTGATATGAATTATAAGCATGTGACATTAATACGACATTTTTCATGAAAAGTGAAGAAAGAAATTTTTGCTTATGCGTGCAAACACTGTATTTTTCAAGAATTGTTCGGCTATTTCGCCTTTTTCATTTATTTACTTTTTTTATTTATAGTTGGTGATAATATAGAAGATAGAATTAACTTTGTACAGTACATTTGCCTACAGTGAATATTATCTAAAAATATTAAAAATAAGAATTAGTAGTAGTTAATACTTTTCGAAAAATATTCTTGATCTTGAGACATTACTCAATTAACGTAAATTACACGATCATACACATTCAAAGCTCTATATTTTTTTCGATTATTTTAAATTGTTCATAAAAAATAATTATTTCTCAGATTGCACATAATTATTTAACATGTGATTATTTTTATCAATCCGCAATAGGAGAAAATTCCGTTATGAACAATTACCGTTAATATGAAGTGCTAATGCAACAAGCTTTACTACGAGTTTATTACGGAATAAACCATAAAAATCAGCAGACTTAGATTGCAAAATTGTAAATAAACCTTTTATCAGCAAATAATTTCTAAATGGGAATGTTTTATTATATTTTCAAAATTGCTACGTAAAATCACACACGACTTTTGGTATCGCGACACTAAACTTGTGTTTATTAACTTATTGATTTACGAGTTTCTGATCAACTTTTTTATGCTTATTAATAAAAAAATAATTATGTATATTTTTAACATCATACCTCACAATATAAATAAAAATTACTAAATCTGAAAGTTTAAGAAATCCTTTTGTTACGGACCAAAATAACAAACAAATAATGTGATTATGAACTACTTCTCACTTTCACACAACTTTTTAGCGGAGTTATGGCATTACTGTGGCGTTATGGACTTATGGCAATATATGTGCACTACGTAACAAATGTGCAGTGTCACCAACTCTGAAAAACACTCCCTAAAGGTTAAAATCAATTGTGTAACCATATTGTGAAATATCCGGGGTACTATTGCCTTCACTGTTCTAATTGAACATCACTTGTGCAATCCTAACCAAATTAAAAATTTTATTTGTTAATAATATGTAGTAATCCAAATAATTTAATGTTGTGTTATAAACATTAATTACAAACGCATAATTTCTTTATTGAATTTAAACTTGTATGGATATAAAACAAAGATGGCTGAGTTTGTACACAAATATATTTAAAATCAATTTCCAAATTGTACCAAATAATGAGAGATTTTGTTTATTCTATTTTTGACTCGATCACAAAACGAATCTTGCATAGTACGACATATATATGACCTAAAGCACACAGTTATTTGAATTCAAAAAGAAATTTAAAATTTTTCACATTTTCGAAGGTAAAAAATTTTGCCACTAAGGAATTACCTTATTTTGTTATGAGAAGCTGGTTCAAATTTGTTAGTTAAATCCGGATGATCAGATTATCCAATAAAGTATGTTTTTTGATACATAAAGTCATACCGAAAAGAATGACAAAAAATTTTTTTTACCTTTGGCAATATAGATAATGAATATTCGGATGAACGTATAAGAGATATCTGAAATACTTATTAATGTTTGTTCGGATAAATGTATAAGAGATATCCGTAGCAATTATTAATGTCTATTCTTAACCTTAAATTAAATATTAGCCTTCCGCGGATATTAACATTTAAAGTCAGTTGTGTTATTTAGCACTTTGTGTTTCCTAAAATAAATGCCAACGATGGTTTTCAAATTTAAATTCATTATTTATGTGGTCAAGCGTACACAGAACAATTATTACTTTAGTGATTATCTTTTTTTATGCAAGATTCCTTTTGAAACCGGAGCACGCTGGGAGTACAAATTCTATAATTCATAAACTCATAAAAAAGGGTGCAATCCTTTTTTTTCAGGATTCTCAACTTTTTTTCTTTTTTTTTTTTTGAAAAAAAAGAGTTAAAAAAGTATATTTTTAACGAAAATGGGTTACAAAATTTTAAATCATCATTTGATGTTAATTTTATTAATACAATTGTTACTTTGGGTTACAATTATAAATGGACAATTTATGCCAGGACCTCGAATAGGTCACACAGTAAATATGGTTTTAGGTAAAATATATGTTATAGGAGGATACAATTTCTCTGCTTCTATACCTCAAATAAGTGATGCATTTTATTTGAGTGGAGATCCATTAATATGGACAGATTTAAATAGTCAAGGTGCAAATATTCCATTTAAATTTGGACATACAGCTAATGTAGGAGGACCTAATCAAGATTTGATATTTATAATAGGTGGTGGTCCAAGTATGAATTCAGTATATCAATTTGATATTAAAACAAATAAATTAAGTGTGATAGGAAATGCTCCAGAACCAAATCGGGCATTTATGAGTTCCGTTATTAATGGAGGAAAAATCTATTTATTTGGTGGAAACGATTTTAGTAATCCAGATACATTTTTTAATGATCTATATATTTTTGATACTACTAGTTTGAATTGGGCAGCTGGTAGCCTAATTAATGCTCCTCCTCCCACAAATAAGCTTACAGCAACATTAGTTAATGGAATTATATATTATATTGGTGGTATGCAAATGAATAATCTTCACACTCCAATGACCGACGTAAGATATTATATAATTATGTTATTATGTTATTCACTCATTCATAAGTATGAGTATATTAATAAGTTTAATTTCTTATCATAGATTTACCAATATGACACTGTCACGAATATATGGTCTTTAAAGGTAAGTCAAAAAATAATACTGCCTTTTTAGAATATCACGTGGTATTTAATTAGTTAATAATTCTAGATAGCCACGTTGGCTCTGGGAGGTGGGCCAGGACCTAGATTTGGCCATACGGCTGTTTTAGGTGATTTATTCTTTAAATTTTAAACTTTTTTTGTTTATTTTATTTACTTGATTTTTTTATTTATCATTATAGTTGGTGGCAAAATTTGTATATTTGGAGGAATTTACCTTAATTTTCAATCACCTAATGAACCAATCGCCACGCTAGATGTTTTCACTTTACAATGGTCAATACCACAATTTAAAAATCCCAGTTTACCGAATTTACCAAACCTTGTTTATCATACTGCCACACAAATACAGAATCTTATGTTCGTCGCTTTCGGTAAGTTATGAATACAGTATCTTCAACATAATTTTATCTCACATGGCTTTAATTTTATTTTATTTTAGGAAATGACACAAAGATACCGACAGATGGATTTAACGGATTAAATAATAATTTTTATTTATTCGACTTTGATAAACTTCAATGGTCTATAATACCACCAACAGCATTTGTTCAATCTAATCCTAGTTCCAATCCTAGTCCCAATCCTAGTACTAATCCTAGTACTAATCCTAGTCCTACTAAGACTACTAGTTCTGGTGCACCAACGTTTACACTTCCAACAAAATCAACAGTTACTCCAACAATTCTTCCCACAATCGAAGAACAAGCTTCGAATAAACCAGTAATTGTTGGTTTATCAGTTGGAATAGTACTAGTTGGATCAGCAGCGATCGGAGCATTAATATTTGTATTTTATAGACGTAAGAAAAGAAAAGAATTCGATGATACAAGTACTTCTAATGGTCAAATTCCATTCAATCAATTCGATCAACGATCAAGTTTATATCCAAATCAACAACAGTATGCACCAGATCAATTTCCAAATCAATATCAACAATTTACGCCACAACAACGTATCTCAAATTTTAATAATTTATCTCAACCTCAAGAATATTCCGGTCAAGATTCTATTTTACAAATTCCATCAGATGGAGAGGATAGATTTTCCAATCATACTTCAAATTATTATCCGGGAAGTGAAACTTATCCTTATACTCAAGGAAGTGAAATTCCTCCACCACCACCACCAAAGACTCCATAAACTAACTATCAACATGTATATATTATATTAATTGTAATGTTTTAAAATAATTGTAGGTAAACCTTTATATACTTAATTATAATGAACGATTTTTTGCTTTAATTAATCTTTATAATATGATATGATGTCTATATAAATTTTATTTTCATTTAATTGTCGAAGAAACTATGTAATTAAAAAAATTTGTGTAATCACTGTCACGTTTAGATTGTCTTATATATAAAATAAATAAATTGTACGGTATGCCTACATGGCTGTAGTTTGTGTATTATATCACATATGTAATAATTTTTCTTTGCATTTCCATTGAGAAGCAACGAGTTACAAGTATTTTAATTAATTTTGTGGTTTTATTATAGTGTGGTACAAAAAAAAATTTCTATTGTTCACACTTTAATCTTAATTTCCCGTCAGGCAATTTAGAATAAAAACTATAAATTTAATGGATTTTTGTTTACGATACAAAGAATATTAAATTTCCGAATTTAGTTACTAGAATTTCCATATAAAAAAAATTCCGAAAATGTCGATCGATTCAGCCATGTGTTATACACATACATCTAGATATATAGTGTGACCTAGTCACACAAAACTTTGGCAACCAAAAATTTTCTATGTACTGAAGTTCATAAGTAAAATTCGGTATAATAATTATACAAGACAATTGAACTTTAAAAAGATATCTGCGTTTGCTTTTCAACCTATTGATAGATTTTTCACTTTTAGATCCTATTAGTATTGATGAAGTTAATTGGCCAATTATTATTTTTTTTTTCAACCAAGAAACAACAGAATTATTTTTTAAAAAAAAATCTTGTAATGAATCTCTTGTAATGAATCTACAACTTTAAAATTATTAACTAACTTTTTATAAATCATTTATTTATAATAATATATATATACAGTGCTTCGGATAATACGTGTAAATTTACCGAGAATTTTTTTTTATTATATACTGATAAACTAATTTTGTACATTTATATCTAAAATGTGTCAAGAGAAATAAGAGAAATAAGAGATGCAATTTTTACCATTGGAGAAATCACGTGTTAATTACCATACTCCAGAAATTAATTTTGGATTATCAAGTTTCCAATACGGGGGTATACCCTGCTGCGATTGATAAACCATATACTACTTCGCATATCACACACGAATTTGTCGGGGATGTATTTGGATTAAATAATTTAATATTTATCAATTGGTGATTCAAGGTCATTATTCATCAAATAAGTAATTAATAGTTTTTAATTTTAGTTAAAATATAACGAGATAAACGAGATTAGAAGTAGCAGTCGGAGCATTGATATTTCGGTCGTCAGGATGATCTGATGGTCAAATTCAATACATAAATAACAATTTTATTAGGTAAAAAAAAAATAAAAAGAGATATATTACCGTAATCAATTCAATCAATTCAAAGTAAAAAAATTAGACTAAAAAGAAGTGCATAATTATGTTATGTAATTTTAAGTGAATCTTTGCATAATCTTATATTTGAAAAATCCAGAATTCGGAAAATTCGATGCTATTATTATCCCATTTTGATTCTTTCTTTCTTATACCAAATAGTAAAAAAAGAGGCCAAAATAATAATAATAATAATATAATTCAAATGATATTATTTAATATTTATTATATATATATTAAGTCATTAATATAGTTGTGACAGTAACTCGAGTGGGATATAAGAATTATATTTTATAGGATATAATTCTAATAAAGGATTAGAACTTATAAGTGACTTTATGAAGCAGGAAAGAAACAATACGAATTTGCCAGGGGTGCATCAACAAATGTAGTCATCACAATCATATCAATTTATGGATTCATAACGTAGACAATGAACGTATCTGAAAGCTGAAATTATTATACCTCTAGGATATATTCTAGTCAATTAATATGCTACGTACTAAGTCCTTAAATGATCTAATTATTACTTCTCATTTAATTGAGTAGATGATGGTAAATCAGCGTCACGCATAAGAGCCATGCTTAAACCTCCCCCAGCACTATCACCAGAAATTAAAATATTTTTGGATTTAAAGGTTCAAATCCCGCATCTTGTGGAGGATTTAAGAGATACAAATAAAGCAGCCAATGCATCTTGTAGTCCGGCGTCAAAGATTATATATTAGAAATTTTATTACCCTACAATTATTAATTCGTTGTTATTGATTTTGTGATTTATTATAATATAGTACAAAAAATAATTATAAATGTATAAATATTGTTAATACTAATTTTAAATCGATCATTTTTTTTTCCTCCCGAAAATTTTATAAAAAATAAAAAAGGGATAATCCGTGTTTTGCAAATAGATAAATTACAAAGGATAAAAAATTTCCTTTTTAGTCCTTATGAAATGATCGGCTAAAAAATTTTGGGACAAAGCCGATTATTTGTTGTAAAAAATCTCGGGTATATTCTTTATATTTATTATATTAAAACGCCCCGAAATTAACACGACATTTAACACGAACGAGAAGTAGAGAAAAATCTCTTTAATTGTACAAATATTCCTAATTTAATTAAAAGTGGGTATTTTCCTTTTTTTTTCAAGATTTTTAACTTTTTTTTTTTTTCAAAAAAAAAAAGTTAAAAAAATCTAAATTAAAAAAAAAAAATTCAAAATGATGTTCAAAAATCATTTTATATTTATTATACTAAGTCACTTAATGTTTTTAATGAATATAGTAAATATAAATGGCCAATTTATACCAGGAGCTCGAGTGGGTCAAAAAGCGGTTCTCATTGGAAAAAAATTATATTTTACAGGAGGACGTAATTTTGACAAGGAAACAGGACTTATAAGTGACCTTTTTTATTATGATTTTGGAGCAGGATTAAGCGATGCGAAATTGGTAGATCTAAGAAGTCAGGAAGGAATAAAAATGAACTTACCATACATGATATGGCACACAGCTAATATAGGAGGCACTAATCAAGACTCAATATTTATGTTAGGAGGTTTAGGAACTGTAGAGTCAAGTAATAATTTAGTATATCAATTTGATACAAATACCAATGCAACAAGTATGCCAATAATTCAAGGAATAACTCCACCAAGACGTGAAGATATGGATACTGTTAGTTACGGAGGGAAAATTTACATATTTAGTGGACGAATGGAAGGTGTTAATGATGAAATATATTATGATAATTTTGATATTTTGGATACTGTTAACTTGGTTTGGAATGTCGGTAGTCCAGTAAATGCTCCTCTTCCTAGATTCCTTTATACGGCAACGTTAGTTAATGGAGTTATTTATTATATTGGTGGTGTACGAAAGAGTGCAGTTAGTAATATAAGTTATAGTGTTTTAATGTCCAACGTAAGTAATCTTATAATTAATTAGTTATAAAAGTTATAAAAGCGAGAAGTATATTAATGAAATTTATTATAATAGATTTACCTATACGATATTGCCACAAATACATGGTCTCTTAAGGTCAGTTAAGTTAATTTTGATAAACCGACAGGCGTTCACAAGAATTCAGCTAAAAAAAAAATAATATTAAATTTAGGAAATTACAGTAGGAAATATCCCAGAACCCAGGTTTGGTCACTCAGCTGTCTTAGGTAGGTTTATTTATTTTTATTCTTTAAATCATACAATTTGATTTTAATTTAATTGATTTTTCTTCAATAGTTGGTGACAAAATTTGCATATACGGAGGATTAAATCCTAATGGTGTAGTTGACGCTCCTGCAATGCCAACAATTGCTCTATTGGATACTAATACTTTTATATGGTCAACGCCCCAACTTGAAAATATTAATACACCAAAACTTATTGATAATAATGTACCAAACCTTCTTTATCATACTGCTACATTAATATATGACAACCTAATGTTTGTCACTTTCGGTAAGTTATTTAATCTGTCTTATTCTTTCACTTTTCAAAATCACTAACGTGATTTGTTTATTTATTTATTTTAGGAAATCTCACTGCTTATTCTCTGCCGCGAACGATCAACAGATACTATTATATATTTAATTTTGGACAACCAAAAGTTCAATGGTTTAGAATTGAACAAAATGATATAGGAAATCCCAACGCTAACATTCCTATCAATCCTAAAACTCCTAATTCTATTACTCCTAAGACTCCACCTTCTACTACTAGTTCCGGAAATGCAGCAAATACATCAGCAAAATCAACAGCAGCACCTGCAACTTCTAGTTCAGATCAAAAATCTTTAGGAAATCCAGTAATCATTGGTTTATCAATCGGATTGGCGGCAATTGGATTAGGAACAATTGTAGCATTTTCATTAATTTATAGAAATTCGAAAAAAAATCAAAATTCTGCAACGGGAGGAGCTTCAGGTGCCTTGGACACTTCTACTGGCAGTGTTATGCTTCAAATTCCAAGTAATTTACAACATTCTCCTACTCCCGCTTTACATAGATATTCTCCTGGGCAAGAATATTATTCTTCTTTACCATTATCACAACAAGAAAGGTATTCTCAACGTTCTTCAAATTATTCTCCAGGAAGTGAAACTCCACCTATTTAAACCATTCCAATATGTTTCCTTATATATACAGTATATTTAAAATAATATTGCTTTATGAAATAGATTTATGATATCAGATTATGGGGTAAATATCGTGTCACCCCGTATTTGTTAAAAATTTCATGAAATCAATTTTTCGGATTATAATGTTAATGGTGATATTGTAGATGTTATTTTCGAATTAATTTAGAATAAGATGACAATTAAAGTTGCATACATAATTTTTAGCATTTTTAGTTACCAATGCAATGAAAACAACTATAAATGAAACAAGTAGTAATACAAAATATATTTTTACAATTGCCAAATATAATTTGTAATAAATCTCAATTTTCTCGACTACTAATCATTGATTTCTTGCAATACGAAGGTTGATGTCCAAACATCATATATCGTCTTATGTCAAGGGTGACCTTCCATACAAAAAAAAGTTCCTAATGATACTAAGTCTGACGAAAGGATGAAACTACAACGAATCATTTTATTTTACTGTCTAATGTACGTAAACTAGCTGTAACGTGAATCCAAGAATAAAATTTACACAAAAAAAAAAATTTTTTTCTGATTATGTCAAAGATAATTTACAATCCGTAAATCTATAATGCCGGTATCACCGAACTGCGAAACAGTTCGACCTCGCAGTTCGGCGGTGATATTCTAAAATAACTGTTATTATGCAGTCGTCTAAGATTCATATAAATCAATAAAGCTATTTAGTTAGCATAATAAACTTGTAAATTTTAATATAAATGATATTTAATCTAAATGAGGTAATGCGTCTGTACCTTAGTCTAAAAATATCAGTAAAAAACCTATTTGGCTGCATAATAGATAAATGTATGTTTTCCCCTTCAACATTCACGTAACTTTAATTATTAGAAACAGTACGAATTTGCCAGGCGTCAACAAATGTAGTAAATACCTATAAAAAAGTAGATACGTTTTTTATATTGAAAGATACGTTTTGTATACGACTAGATACGTTTTGAGATGCGGAAAAATGCACAATTCCGTATCTTATATGATACGTTTTTTCAGTGTCCCCGTATATAAAACGTGTCTTGCAAGATACGGAATTGTGCATTTTTCCGTATCTCAAAACGTATATCTAGACCAGTATACAAAACGTATCTTTCGGTATAAAAAAACGTATCTACTTTTTTTATAGGGATAATTTTTAATTGAAATAGCGATAGTAACAATAGTCAGAGTCGCATTAATATTAGTAATAATTCGGTCGTCCGGACTAATATACAACTTAACAAATTCATCAAGTCCTTAAATTTTTACTAATCCTACAATTATTTATTTGGTATGTAGTACAAAGAAAATTTTAAATATACAAATATTGTTAATACTAATTTTAAATCGAACCAAAAAACTTTTATAAAAAAAAGAAAGGAAAGAAAAGTCCGTATTTTATATGTTTTATAAAAAGCTAATCATATTAAATAGATATTGTTGCTTGATTTGTTGACAAGAATCACAAGATAAATTACAAAGGAAAAAAATTTCCTTATAAAAGATTTCCCATGTCGATCATCTCGGTCAGAACAAAACCGGTCATTATTGCTGTAAATATTTCTGATTTTTAAATATAAATTAATATAAATTATTATATTAATACATACGAAATTAACACGACATTTAAATATGAATGAAAAGAAGGGTAAATTTCTTTGATGTACAAAATATTCCTAATTCAATTTAAAAATAGGTGATGTTTCCTTTTTTTTTCAATTTTAACTTTTTTTTTTTTTCATAAAAAAATAAGGTTGAAAAAAATTTAAAATTTAAATTAAAAAAAAAAAGAAAAAGAAAATCAAAATGATATTCAAAGATCATTTTATACTTATTATATTAAGTCACTTATTTTTTTTAATGAATATAGTTGTAAATATAAATGGGCAATTTATTCCAGGAACTCGAACAGGTCATGATGCGGTTTTAATTGGAAAAAAATTATATTTTATAGGAGGACATAATTATAACAAGGAAACAGAACTTATAAGTGATTTTTTTTATTATGATCTTGAAGCAGGATTAAGCGATGCGAAATTGGTAGATCTAAGAAGTCAGAAAGGGATAAACTTACCATATATGATTTGGCACACTGCTAATATAGGAGGCGCTAATCAAGACTCAATATTTATGATAGGAGGTGTAGGAACCGTAGAGTTAAGTAACAATTTAGTATATCGATTTGATACAAGGACCAATACAACAAGTATACCAATTATTCAGGGAAATATTCCGCCAAGACGTAGAAACACAGACTCTGTTAGTTACGGAGGGAAAATTTACATATTTGGTGGACTAATGAAAGATGTTAATAATAATATAATATATTATAATAATTTTGATATTTTGGATACTGTTAACTTGGTTTGGAATGTAGGTAATCCAGTAAATGCACCACTTCCTAGATACTATTATACGGCAACTTTAGTTAATGGAGTTATTTATTATATCGGTGGTTCACGAAAGAGTTCAGTTACTAGTAATATAAGGGCTAATGTTTTAATGTCCAGCGTAAGTAATCTTATAATTAATTAATAAAGCGAGATGTATATTAATGAGTTTAATTAATTTATTATAATAGATTTATCTATACGATATTGCCACAAATACATGGTCTTTTAGGGTTAGTTAAGTTAATTTTGATAAACCTCGCGTTCATAAGGATTCTGCTAAAAAAATATTATTACATTTAGAAAGTAATAGCAGGAGATATTCCAGAATCCAGGACTGGTCATTCAGCTGTCTTAAGTAAGTTTTATTTGTTTTTATTCTTTTAAATCGACCGATTTAATTTTAATTTTTTTTAATTATATGTTTTATAGTTGGCAACAAAATTTGCATATATGGAGGAGTACATAATGCCATCACGGTTTTAATTTCTGCAACACCAACAATTGCTTTATTTGATACTAGTACTTTTATATGGTCAACACCCCAACTTGAAAATATCAATACACCAAAACTTATTGATACTAATATACCAAAACTTGCTTATCATACTGCTACATTAATAGATAATATAATGTTTGTCGCTTTTGGTAAGTTATTTTATTCTATTTGTCTTTTTCAATGTCACTTACGTGATTTTATTTATTTCATCTAGGAAATTTCACTGATTCTACGCCACGAGTGGTTAATAGAAACTATTATATATTTAATTTTGGACAACCAAATATTCAATGGTTTAGGCTTGCACAAAATGATATGGGAAACCCCAATGCTAACATTCCTAACATTCTTAACACTCCTAATCCTGTTTCTAATTCCGGAAATGTAACAAAATCAACAACATCTACAACAGATCAACAATCTTCTTCAGGAAATCCAGTTATCATTGGCCTATCAACGGGATTGGCGGTAATTGGATTAGGAACAATTGTAGCATTTACATTAATTTATAGACGTAAAAAAAATCAAAATTCTGCAACGGGAGGAGAAATTGATTCTTTAAGTGCCTCTACTAGTGGTGTTACACTTCAAATTCCACCTGATACTCAACATTCTCCTACTCCTACTTTAGCTCAATCTCAAGGATATTCTCCTGGTCAAGAATATTCTACTTTACCATTATCACAACAAGAAAGATTTTCCAAAGATACTTCAAATTATTTTCCAGGAAGTGAAACTCTACCTTCTTAAATTATTCCAATATGTTATATACAGTATATTTAAAATAATATTGTTTTATAAAATAGATTTATATGAATTTTAATATATAATATCAGAATTATATCTTTTGTAATAATAATTTTTTCGGATTACAATGTTAATAGTGATATTATAGAATTAATTTAGAATAAGATTGACAATTAAAGTTACATAATGCATACATAATTTTTAATAATTTTTAGCTACCAATGTAAAGAAAAGTACTATAAATTGAAACAAGTAGTAATACAAAAATATATATTTACAATTGCCATACAAGTATTTGATCTCCAAATATAATTTGTAATACATTTCTACTACTAATCATAATTCGTTAATTGATTGTTTGCAACACGAAATATTTAAATTTAGTATCATTTTTTTTTTTGATTATCCAATTAATTTTTTATGCGATTCAAAAAAAAAAAAAAAATATGAAATCGACAGATTGTTACATTATCACACAAAAAGAAGTTTGGATACACAAATTCTCCTCGACTTATAATAAAAGCGATCCTTTTCTTTTTTTTTTTAAGGTTTATCCAATTTCATATTTCTTTATTAAATTCGTCTTATCAAAATGTTATGTAAAATGATCATATTTACTATATTATTATTTCTTTTGTCTCTTAAAGATGTACATGGACAAGTATTTGTACCAAAACCACGAATAGGACAGACGGCAACTCTCGTTGAAAATAAAATATATTTTATAGGAGGTCTTAATAGTGCTTTAGAGACCACGAATGACATTTTTTATTATGATTTTGAAACAGGTTTAAATAGTACAGGATGGGCAGATGTACAAAGTCAAGGAATGAATTTACCAACAATAAGTTGGCATGCAGCCAATATAGGAAAATTCGCTTATGATAAAGATTCAATATATATTATAGGAGGTGTAAGAGAAGTACTAGATTTAGTATATAAATTTGATACTGAAACAAATACATTAAAAGTACCAACAATCCGAGGAGAAATACCACCGAGACGTATGGGAATGAGTACTATTAGATATAAAGAGAACGTTTATATATTTAGTGGAGGAATGGAAAATAATGGAATTACTATCTTTTTTAATAATTTTGATGTTTTGAACACTATTGATTTAGTTTGGAAAGTTGGTAATCTTGTAAATGCTCCTCCTCCTAGATTCTTTTATGCAGCAACATTAGTTTATACTGTTATTTATTATATTGGTGGTTTAGAACAGAATGGATTGATTCAAGTTTATAGTCCAATGACAAATGTACGTAATACTTGATATTTTATTTAACCAACATTAATAGTTTTTAATTTATTATTATTTACTGTATTTATAGATTTACCAATATGATATTATCGGAAATACATGGTCTTTAAAGGTTCAATATTGTATAATATATATGTCATAATAATTTTAAACTAAAATATATAGTAATTTTCTAGGTAGCTACGGCAATAGGAAATATTCCGGGTTCTAGAACTGGTCATTCAGCTGTCTTTGGTAAAAATATTTTTTTTGTTCTTTTATTTAATTAAAAATTAATTATTATTCTTATTAGTTATATATATATATATGTGATATTTTATCTCATCTCATTTATTTTATATAGTTGAAGACAAAATTTGCATATATGGAGGAAAGTATAATATGCAGGAACCAATGCCAGTTGCAGAACAAATTGCTTTATTAGATACTACTACTTTAACATGGTCAATACCGCAGCTTGAAAATACTAATATACCGAAACTTGATAATACGGATATACCAAAACTCGTTTATCATAGTGCTACATTAATAGATAAGCTTATGTTTATCGCTTTCGGTAATAAAATTAATTTTTGGTTAAGTTTGTTAAGTTCCATAAATTAATTTCGAATGATATTTTTGTAGGAAATCTCACAGATACGCAAGTGTTGAATAATAATTATTATGTATTTGATTTAAGTACAAACCCAAACATTCAATGGTCAAAGTTAACAACAGATGGCACAGGAAATCCTAAAAGTCCAGCAGTTATGACAACAAAACCTAAAATGCAACTTCCAACGTCAAATGATCAAGGAACTTCAAATAAAATTGTAATGATTAGTTTATTAATCGGTTTGGCTGTGATTGTGTTAGCAATAGTTGTATTATTTGCATTAATTTATAGACGTATGAAACAAAATCAAAAGTGATTCATGATCCGAATACTGTAAAGATTTTTTACGGTATTCTCCGTAAATCAACAATATGTTCCGTAAATCAACAATATGTTCCGTAAACCTAAAATATGTTCCGTAAATTAAACAATATGTTCAAACTACTTTAAATCAATCACAAAAGTATCTTTCTAATCAAGATTCTACTTAACCATAAAAACAAGGAAGAATATTCCCGATATTAAATTGCTTTTTTTTCGAAGTTTTATGACAATGTGCTTAATTTTTTTTATCATGATTTAAGATAATATTGTAACTCCTTTAAATCGACAAATTTATCTCATTCATGAAAGTGTGCGATCCGATAGAATAATGTCGGACTGAACCAAAATGTTTCTTCATAAACGTTATAATGTAATATCATTCATTACCATAACACATTATATTCGTAACGAAATAAAAAAAAAATATTTTTAATTCCTTATTAAATAAATCTATTATTATGCGCCAAAATATAGATAATACGAATATCCGGATATTCGTTTATTATAGATTTATGTGAAGAATTAATCGTAGATATTAGTTGATATAGTAAGGTGGATACACAAAGGATATCTTAAATGGGTATACTGTATACACCATACAGATCCTAATTTAAAAAAATTCAAGTCCGTATTATTATTTATAACTACCTCAGGTACTCCTCAGGTCTTAGTTCAGTATACAGAAAACTTCTATATATGTCAAGATCCATATGAAAATATTTAAAAATATCGTTATATCAAGTTATACGTGTATTATTTATTTCATGGGGAGTTGGAAATAAATGGGTAATCCCCTGGAGCGTGTCACTCATTAAATATTAACTATTTTAACTATTTTAAACTAAAATTAGTAATTTCCCGGCTATCTATATATGAGACCGGGAAATAACTAAACGAAGATTCCCGGTCATTTATAAACTCAGCTAATCAGCTAATCACTCGCAAATTTTAAAAATTAGTATGAAGGTGATCATGAGTGACACTTAGTGCGACAGGGGATTACGACATATATATCCTGTATGAGTATATGTTTCTCTCGTGGAGTGAGAAAGTAAAATTTTATGTTTACCAAATGTTTAATAATATCGAATATCGGTATACCGGCGTCCCTTATCGGATAATAAGATGTCATCCCAATATATTCATCTTTAAAATTATGAAGTGCGACCGAATTGACCAGTACCTTCAAGATTATTCAGGATGTGTATTATCGCAATTGGTGATTAGATAGAATTAAGTATCAAGTCTGAAAATTTGCAAGACAATCTAATTTAAACAGGAACGAATAAATACTCACATAACGCACGCACGATTCAGGTGTCTCTTAATAACTTTAGTATGTATATTAAAATGAAGTTTAAACGGTTAAGAATTAAGTTCCGCCTCAAGGTCATGTATTTCAACTAGACAACTACTATAATTTATATTTGTCAAAAGAAGAATTCATGGACTCAAAAATGTGCTAATTAATTGTATAATTAATTCAAGAAACAAATTACTTTAATTAACGCATACGATAGAATGAAGTAATTAAATCTGGGGTTATAAACATCTTCAACAACTTCATATGGTAATTATTTTTTTATTTCTTCAGCAAACTCTTCCCTCTTATGCGATTCGTAATATACCTTCCATGCAAGTTCATCGTAATCTACATGAGGATCATATTTTGATGGAAAAGGCAAATAATCGTTAGGGTCTTCGTTTTCATCTGGTTTGGTTTTAATAAGAAAAGAAAAAAAATGTTAAGACGAAACAAAAAATGTTTGAAACCATTCATTATGTATAATTAATATTATACAAAGGTTAATAATAGTATTTCAAATTTTTTACCAAAATGCTTTGGTTGAACTTGCTTGAAAGAAGGACTAATGAAACGACGATAAACAAATATTCCTAGAAATATTAAAGCAATTAATGATTCTAACTTAATTGATTTCTTCATTTTGATTTCAGAGGGATACTGTAGTGATTATAAAAATTACATGGTGAATTACTTTGTGGTAATCTGATTGGCTGAATATCAAAGATTCGAGGCCGCATTAAGTTAGTACTATTCTTATTCATTGGCCAATCACAATTTCCAATCACACAAATTTTTACAATTGGTAATCTGTTAAATGATTTGAACGAGAAATTTAAATGAATAATGCAATATAATATTAATAATTAAAATATTGATAATGAATAATTATATAGTTATTAGTTTAAATATTCGTAATATAATAAGAGAGTTTACTGTATGTGATCAAAATTTTAATTTAATTGATGAATGAAATATCCACCACCGACTTTAATATTTCACGTAAATCATCATAATGTGGGCCGGTTTTTTGGCGCTAGTTTTAATAAAATAATACGAAAGTACATTGATACAAAATATTAAGTTGCTAAGTTAACGTAAGGAATATAATACAGTAAAGTATCTATTATAATTACAACCTTCATAAAACAAATATAGAATGGCTTGTCCTAATTTAATCTCATTTTAATATTGTTTTTAGTCAATAATTTCATTCATTAACGTTATAAACCAAAAAATTGGTTTAATGCATTATAAAAAGAATACTTATATTTGAGTCCTTTGAATTCCTTTAAAATGGAATACTCTCATGTTTTAATTAATGAGTTCATCCCTTCTTGTTATCGCAGAACTTAATTCCGTGCTACAGCCTTGACCATAGTTAAAGATATTGATGATGCTTTCTTATAAACCTTATTAATGAAATTAACAAACGTTTGTTAATAAAGATATTAGCCATAAATCGAAAAAAAGTCAGAATACAAAAATTTCATAGTGTGGCAAGCCAATCTAACCTGGAGATAGCTGGTCTTCTGCGAAACCCGCTTTCTTTGAACTAGGTAAACCTCTCCCTCCTGTTAGATAGTCCCTTTATCTATGCAGTCAATTTCTATGAGGAATTAATTAATTTATGTCATAATTAATTAAAGCTATAGAAATTTTATAACTCTAATTCAAAATATTTTTCTTTATAATTAATATGTAATATTATCCTCGCTTATAACTTTTTATGTAGACATAATTTTGCATTACTAATATCGAAAAAGGAAAATGTTATACACTTACATCATCTCTTCTACTACTGTCTTTAGGTGATTTACTTCCTTGAAGGATAATCATTATTAGGATTAATTATTTTTTTCACTATTAAAAACCAAAATTTTTCTACATTATTTTCATTTCTAGTGATAATAATATACAATAATTACCCAATTACCATGGTTTGAGCATGGTTAGCAATATGATAATTTGCTTCAGATACAATTCAAAGATGTAGCTTTCGTTATATACTTTGAATTTTATGGTTCAAGGAATTATTAATTTGAGTGTTATATATATATATATATATATATTATAAAATGATTCAGGAACACTTGGATATGTGATGCTTTAAAAATAAATTTGTTATCTTTTTAAGTATATAGAACATTATGAGATCATTATTATGAATAATTTTCTTTTAAGATTTCTCCAAGAATTATTTCTTTAACAAATTTTGAACCTTCATAAAATCTTGATAGGAACTATTAAAAAAAAAAACGTTACGGTAATCTAATCATCTTACATGATTATCCGAATGAAATTCGAAGAATAGCATAGATGATGATAGATTCGTTGGATGATCAACTGTAACCGGTTGATTAAAAAAATTTTCGAAGATCATGGCCCAGAAAATCTTTAATCGTAATCCTGGTAATTATGAATGAAAAGGTTTTTCATTTATGCATATTAACGATCCATGAAAATCCACCAATTTGTGCGCAATTTGAATCTGTGCAATTGAATTTGTGCAATTGAATTTTTAATATTTTTAATATAGTATCAATTAATTTTTGTCCGCAAATTTCCGAGATAGATTACCGATTCCTACCTTATATTATATTATTAATTTACAGAAAAATTTTTTAAAAAAAATAAATAAAAATAAATAAATAATATTAGATGAACTTTAACGGAATGAACTCTTTCATTTCCGAAGGGATCAATAATTTCAATGAAGTTAAAAACATTTTAAATAAAAATTACTCACTGATATATTTCTATTAATAGTTATACTCAGTTTAAAATAATCCATCTCCTATGATATAATTTTAAGAAGTTAATTTAGAACGAATATGATTCATAATACGTTTCCTTCTGTTCTTTCCTTTTGCCAAGTATTAATACTCTATTGTTATTACTAAAAGGAGTTCTTATCTCCGTTCTATAAAGTTGTTCTCAAAAGATCATGTTGTATGATATTATAATTATAATTATAAAAATAGAAAGATTAAACCTCCTTAATTGTTGTGATCAAAACCCTGTCTCGACTGTCTAACCAAAGTAAATGATGACAATAATGAAAAAAGTGTGATACGATATTAATAACAGTATAAAAATCCATGCATTATATTGACACAAAAATCAACCAAACCCCTCTTCAGATTTCCAATTAATAAAAAATTTTGTCTTTATTAAAAAGACATTACACAAAAAAAAATTTGAGAAATTTTATTATTAATCATTAATATTATATTTATTGGTTCAACTGTATTTTATTTTGTTTGAATCAGAGTAACGTAAACAAAAGGAATCTTGTCATAGATCTTAACTTTGCAAAGACTTTTTTTTTTAATAATTGATGGTAAAAAATGCCAAGAGCACGTCAAAAAAGAATCATTTAAAAATAATATGTTTAGTTTATGTACAATAATTTTATGAATCATGAATGAATTAATAATTATTAATACTGTATCGATCTTGATTTTTTAAAAGTAAAAAAAAATAAAAAAAAATATAAAAAAAAAAAATAATAATTTTTTCTTATTAATCTATTTGTGTAATTTATCTAATAATAATATCGATTATAACAATACGATCTGATTATTTTTTGTAAGATCCAAGAGTATTACAAAATTTGTGTTAACTTCACTAACTTTATTAATTAAGAGATATAAATCTTTTTATAATAATCTATTTTTAAACAACCTATTTTAAATTATTAAGAAAAAGTTTTTGGAAGAAAAAAAAAATATTTTTGAAAAATTCGAAATAAAAATAAAATATATATATGATAAATATGATAATTGATCTTTATCACATTGTAATGAAGTTAAAATATTCAATAAACACTTTTTAAGAAAGATTTCATTCCTTATATAGAAGAAAAATAATAAGATTTAACCGTTGCATATTCTGACATTATTTTTAACGGTTAAATTTTTTTTTCAATATTATAAAGTTTTATTTTGATTCGTTTGTCATTTAAGAGAGTTAATATGAATTAATAATAATATTAATCTTCCGAATACTTTAATTTACATGTGAAATATATTTCAAATTACAAATACAAAATTCATTTCTTTGAGAGAAAAGCAATTAAGATTTTGACACAAGAATATTGACATATTAAACGTTGTGTAACATATAATAAACATGTTTCTTCCCTTTGGACGCGAATTCTTGTATTGCAAAAAAAAAATATTTGCGAAAAAGATGAAAAAAGATGATGAACGGGATGAATAAGCGAGAATAAAATGAATATAAGTGAATATAGAAATAAATTGATAAATGTCTGACCAAAGCCCAAATTGCGTGAAATCCGGGATATTCCTAATTGATATTCCACGAAAAGATTTGTCCTTGTTACATAAATTATATAATTATATTGTACAAAAAAACCTTGAAAACTTGATAATAATAAAACTTTGTTTATTCTTTTTATAAATTTAAAATTTAATTAAACACAAAGCACAAAAACTATAAATGATGACGTGATTCAAAAACTCTAGAATGTACATGTAATGTTCGATATCTGCTGACATAATCATGAATATTAGTAGAAATTTCTAGATTTACTACATTTACTACTATGAAGAAGAATGAGAATGCAGGAGATATTATGTATTGCATAAACTCATGTTACATTTTAAAACGTATTTAAATCAATTTCATAAACTAATTCTTGGTCTTGTTATAAAAGAACTTCGTAATCTCAAATTTTCTTTGTTTAACACTCATTTTAATAATGAAATTTTTTTTACTACTGTACTATAAATATAAATATAAAATAATATAAACAATAAAATGAATATAAACAATGAATATAAAAAAGGTTTAGTAAATAAAAAAATTTCGGTATGTTTATTCTAAAATACTTAAAATCTATTTTTATATTATCCATCTTGTATATATGTTTAGTGCTTATCTAAATAAAATCCTGTACGCTGCATATGCAACTTATCTGGTTAATGTGTATTCATTGTTTTCTAAAAATAATTAAAATATGATGTAATTACATAATGTTGATTACTAAGAATATCCTTTTTTTAGGCTTTTTCGATCAACATTCGAGATAATTTTGTGTATTACAAAACGCGCGTATTTAAAGAATTAAAAATTCCGTTCGATTAAACTTTTAATATCCTGTGATGCATTAAAAATATCACGCGATCATGAATCCGGGAAAAAAAAATTATATATATTTATTTATTTATTTATTTAATTTATTTATTTATTTATTTATTATAGATTTATTTGAGATCATGAATACAAAGTGCCATAATTTAATGAAATAAAACTATTATCTGTTATAGTTATCAGCTTATGTGGTTTTTATAAAATAAAATAAAATAAACTTATCATAATTCATATGTTCATATATTTAAAAACAATAATTTTGTGGTGTTACTAAATTATTATTATTATTATTAATATTATCGTTATTATATGTTGTCAATGTTTGGTTTTGCTTATCATATTGATTGGAATTATGAATTTGTCCATTAAAATTCGTGTAAGAGACAAGATTATCTTCATTATTTGATTGATTGTTTAAAAGAAAATCATTACCTATTAAATTGAAGTTAAAAATAGAATCGTTTAATGAAGGAAGTGTAAGCGAAGGGCGTGATGTTTCTATAGAAGTAGTATTTGATAATAATTGCATGGATGCTTTGTTGGAAGTTGATTGCACGGATGTTTTCTTGGAAGTTGATTGCATGGGTGATTTCTTGGAAGTTGATTGCATGGGTGATTTGTTGGAACTTGTTCGCTTTTTCTTAGAGTTCGAGATTTCAGCTATTTTCTTATAAATTATACAAGTTCTCTTATGATGAATTTCATAAACATTATTAACCAATCTTTTGTAAACTTCTCTTTCTTCCCGAGTTGCGTTCTTCCACAAAATACTGGTTACTTTGCTAATTATACGCATATTATAAGTTCCTTTACGTTTTGATTCTTCTTGAACATTTTTCCTACAGATTAAAAATGCGTTTGGAGGTCTTTTTGGTCTATACGATGATAAATTATTTAAAGAACTAACTGATGAAAGAAATAATTCTGGGTTGTTATGTAATGGAGGGAATATGTTCCTTCTATCAAGTCTAACAATTAATGAATTTGCCAAATATTCGATTGAGAAATCGTGTGTTGCCATTGTTATTAAATGTTATTTTCCTCTTTTTTTTTTTATTTTTTTTTAAAAAAAAGAGTGAGAGAACGAAGAGGTTCGAGTAAAATTTTAGGCATTTTTATATTGATTTTTTTAATCTTTTTTTAGTTAATATCACGGAAGTATAATATATTTATAGAAACTTGTATTGTAACTTATATATAGATTCATTATTAATATTTTTTTGTGTGATATGTTTAGTTTTAAAAAGAATGTTTACTTAAAAAACTCGTGTAGCTTTAAAGTCAAAATAATCGCAAAAAAAAAAAAAAAAAAAATTTCAATGTTATGCTAACAAATTGGGTGAAAAAGATTATTTATTTAGAATAGCATNAAAAAAATTTTCTATTTTTGAATATATGGTATTATGAATAAAATACTTGTTCAAGTTAAAAAAAAAGTTTTGTGATCGATTTAACCAAATTTGGTTTTACTAAAATAACTATATAAACATCCTACTTTTTTGCCTTTATTTATTAATTAATTAATAATGTACAATAATATTTTCGGTAAATTTCATTAATTAACCTTATATTCTCTAGTATAGTTTTTTTTTTTTTTACATTAAAATAATATATTATATATATGTATATATATAATATGGTATTTTATAATGATTTACAGTATAAAAAAATATATATATCATCATTCTTATTATCATAATCATTCTATGATCTATGATCGATATAAAATACGCGTTTTTTTTTTAGATACGCGTCTTGATATAATTCATATAATTCATTTCTTTCTTTTTTTTTTAAGATATTTTTTTTTAGAATATAATTTGATTGGCTTCAAAATTACGAGAATAATTTTTGTCTTTATTCTTATAATGATCCACTTTATGAATGGTAATACTGTACTAGTTCACAGATTTATGATTGATTATTGTATACACTATACAGTATACTACTAACGTTATACAATATATCTCTTGGTATTTTAGAAGAAACATTCTTATTTTACGAAATTCTGTCTTCTGGAATAGTTGATTATTGGAATAAATTTCAATGTTATGCTAACAAATTGGGTGAAAAAGATTATTTATTTAGAATAGCATAAATGGATCAATTGTCATTCATTCGTCCTAAGTTATTTATTCTTTTTTTTTTTTTTGAATCAATAATATACATGCTCTCAAGCATATCTTTTAAATCTATAAGGTCTGTTATAGTATCTAAAGTATCGTTTGTACAGGACCTACCTTATCAATAGTTTTTCCATCGATATATAGCGATCATCACGTGAACTCGAAGAGTGAAATGAGTGAAGATCAAATGTTGGAATCACCAAATATGGTGTAATGTAGTATATGTCAGTCACAAATTGACCGTTTCACCATTAAAACTCAAGAATAATATGTTTATTTATGCGTAAAGAGAATAATTTGGAATGGTAGATATTATAAAGATTATTACGGCGAAATTGGTATTTTTTTCTAATATTACCGAACTTCTGAAAATAATCCAAATAATCGAAAAGGTTCTTCCTATAGGTAAGTATCGATAATATATATTATGAAACGGTATACAGTCAACTCTTATCTAAGTATTCCCCATAATGAAAATTTGAAAAAAATGTGCATTTAGAGTGTGTATGCATTTAGAGAGAGAAATTTTATATGGTCTCTAGTACTGATGAGTAAGAGGGTGCATTTAGAGAAAAAATATATATAATGCGTGTATTTAGAGAGTGAATTTAGAGAGGGTTGACTGTAATATAAGGCCACACAAATTCGAATTTTCGGTTCACTTCACCCGGCCGGGTCACTTTTTCAAATTTCAATAAAAAAAAGTTTATATATAAAAAATTTATCATGTGATCAGAACGTAATTTTATTGGCGGGTAAGTTTATCACGCGGCTGAGAACTTCTAGAGCGAAAATAAATTCCTCCCTTTTAAAAGTCAACCAATCAAATGTCACGATTTTATATATAAACTTTTTTTACTAATAAACAATAAACCCCGGGTCCCCGGGTCGATTTTAAATTTCAATGTTACGTGAACCGAAAATGTGGCCTAATCTTTTATAATTCATGAAATCATATTTTCACAAACTTTTATCATAATTTTACTATGAAATGTCTTATTCTCATTTAGTTTTTACATATATACCAATTTACAAAAGCAAGTCGATGTACTTACTGTACATAATTTCTTTATTATTATGATAAAAAAATATATATATTTATTTTTTCTTAATTATTAAAATTTGCCTTTATCTACAATGTATAATATTTAATTATTATTCAACATACAAGTATACTGTATACACAACTGAGGCAATTTTATCATCAAAACAAATGAGAGAGGTAAAGTATTTTAATACATAATTAATATTAATTTAAATTTTACTTTGATTTTAAAAATCTTGTAATTATAATTCATTTTTTACATTACATAATGTTTTATTTATTAATAAATAATTTTATTGAATTTTTTTTTTTTTTTTTTTTAAATAATAGATAAACTAAATTTAAAAGAATAAAAAAAAAAAATATTCAATTATCGTGGTCTATCTGTTTTTATATAAACTGGTATGTATTATAATTAATATAAATTAATGGTCTTTTTTATTCAGTATCTATCCTTCGATTCAAATATCAATAGTAAAGGAATGACTTGTAGTTTTTTTTTTTTTTCATTCTTGATGCCTCTTAATACATATCCATTTGAATTTTTTATGGTTACCTTAATTACGTATAAGTTCGATATAAACTAAACCGAAAATTTATTATTTGTAATGTAAAAATTTATAAAATTTAAGGACAGAAATGTAGTAAGTAATTAAATAATGTAAATTTCATTTCATTAAGAAGCAAATTCTAAAATTGAAATTTAAGTTCAGCTTCGGTTAAAAGTTAAGAGTATCTAATCGGATTTTATTTAATTAGTAATAACTATTTTCTTTTTACTTATGTACCATGTACCCATGCGTATTTAAACTATGAGACTTATATTCATTTCTCCGTTTTTAGTAATTTATAAATAAAGACTTTCTAAAGAAAATAAAAATAAAAAAAAAGAGATCTAAATTTATTGACCAAATTTTTACATGTTGAGTTATTCTTAATTTTTTTTTTTTTTTTTATCCATCTATCTTAAAAGATGAAATGGTGCTATATAAAATTAGGCCGAGAACATTAAAATTAAAAAAGGTAAATAATTGATTGCTTAAATTTTTAATAAAAAAAAAAAAAGAAAAGATTATGAATTTATTTTATAATACTGTAGTATCATTATATCTTTTCGTATTCATACGAATGCCGAGTCAATTAAAAGATAAAAAACTTTAAAAGTTACGATATACATATTTAAATTGTTCGGCTGTTTTTCTATAATACTTTCAATCTTTCAACTTTAAGAATTTTGATAAGCTTTATAAATCATGTATCGAACATTCGAACTTGATACTGTACATTTGACCAATAATAAATAAACTATCATTCAGAATTGGCTTTATACCATCCTTCTTTGAAATTGTATTTTGAAAGTAAAAAATATTTAATATTTTTACTTGTTCCTTCTCTTTAACATTCACCTAATTCAATACATTGTCATTTAAATAAAAATTTCTGAAATTATCGATCTCGAAACTGCGGAAACTCATCGTTATGAAGATCGGTACAACCATCAAGCATAAAATTCTCCGCAAACAAAAAAAAGTTTTATCTTTCTTAGAATAGAATGGTTCAAAATACAAATAGTTCCACGCAAATACATCATGATACAACTTCAATTACTACACAAAAGATTCAATTACCTGACATACCAACGAATTCTCATAATTTATTATTGGGTTTGTCTGCTCTTACATTTTTCACAAGTTTAACTGGTTCAGCTTTATATGCTCGTCGTAAAGGTAATATTTCTTTAATGATTACATCGCTAAAAATGATTTATTCGAATATTATATTAATTTTATTTTAAAGCATCTGAATATTTAAGAGATTCAACAACATTATCTCCAACAACAACATCATCATCTCAATTGAATTCGGCATTTCGATTTTCTTTACAGGCTTTCGCTGTTGGATCGATTCTTTGTGTATCTGCTAGTGGGTTAATTGCTTTTGGCGTTGGTAAAATGCTTGGAGTACGGAACGTATGTAATTTATAATTTAATTGGGCTTCATATTCTTTCCTTAACTTCTAAAGTAATTTACATGATATTTATTTCATCTAAATTTTTGAATTATTATTATTATTATTATACAAAAATATTTATCTTCAAAGCTATACGAGTTTCATAAAAAAATGGAAGAACTTATTCCAACACATACATCAGGATTACGTAAATCTGTAAGAAACTCACAGGATATAGATCAGCAACAAGAATGGAAAATTTTCGAACAAGAATGGATAGAGGAGAGAAATAAATATCTTGCAGAGAGAGAAGAAAAAAAGGCAAAATGGAAAAATAAAAAATGGTGGAGAGATTAAAAGTTATTTATCGTCTCAATCTTACGAAGAAAGCATTTTTACACTCTAAACTTCCATCAGGTAAGTATTTATCATAAAAATTTACGATAAATTCTTCTGGCTTGAAACCAAACTTTTGATAAAGAATCTACAATAAAAAAATTAAATTTAAGTACAATATTATTTAATGTTTTTATTTTGTAATCAAAAAATAAAATATGTCTGAAAACAAATACCATTGCGGGATTATTTGCTGAAACATGAAGCGTAACATCTTTCCCGATATTTGTCTACCATAAAGAATGTAAATTAATAAAACATAAATATATAGAGTAAAACTTAAAGATTCAATAATAACAGATATAAACCTGAATTAAGTGATATACCATAAACCTGTTAAAGGGTGAAAATTGTGGAATTAGAGGTTGAAAATACTGTAAAAAACTATTGATAACAAAATACTTACTGTCCAATTCCCGACTTTTCCCATCCGGGCGCAACAGCGATGTATGTTATATAAGCTTGGGGAGTCATAAAACCACACCCAATTACCAGTCTCTTATACATAGCAACTATACTAAAATCAGGGAAAAGAAGATTTTCCGAAACTAATATTCCCGTAATAACATTTATTAAATAAAATCGCAAGAGGGTTAAACTGTAAGAAAGATATTAGATTTACCGTCAATTCCTGGCCAAAAACATTTCTGCAATAAATCATTAACTTGATCCAAATGTTCTTTTTGGAAATAGCAGAAATCTATAGGACTGGCTGGTGGCGGCAACCAATTGGGATCATTCCTGTTTATAGTGACATAATAATTAAGTTCAAAAACATAATGTAATAGACATATTCAAAATATATACCGGTGTGGGTATCTGATGATGTCCCATAATAATCTTAATTTTTGTGGGATAGTTTCATAATCCCTGCGAATATATGGTTTCAATTTTCTACTATTGAAAGGACTTGTCCAAGCTTCTTCTGCAGTAAGGGTAGTTGCCAAACGAGGAATTCCATACAATCTTGATGCAAAAGAGTTTTTATAAGGTGTATATGTAATCTATGTTGTATTAGAAGAAGTTTATTACAATTTGACTGAATTAAATCTGAAAGAATATTGTATTTTGATATACTTCAGTTTCTTGTTTATAATTCGTCTTTTCTTCTGCTTGATCGTGAATGGATGTTTCAGTAATTAACTCACGAAGTGGTTCTTCTTCCTCGTCGGACGTCAATGGTTCAAGAGGTAAAGAAGACCTCATATGTTCTGTGACAATTGCATCAATATCAAAAATTTTCAATCCATTTTCTTTTTTTAGCTAAAAAACATTAAATATAGTTATTAAAATATGGGATTTTTTAATAAAGAAAACAATGAACATTTTTATTACCCTACGTAGATATAACTTTCTCTTTAGTCTAGCGGCTTTAGGCGATAAGGGTTTTGAAGAATATTGTAATTTATGTAGAAGATAGCATTCTTCTTTTTGATCCAATGGATTAGGTTTTTTTTTCCTTGGTGGTTTAACTGGTAGCTATTGAACCAATTGGATATTGTTATATTCAGAAGAAAATACCTTCATTATAACACTGGATAATAGTAATTTGGTTGCATACATTGTTAGATTCGTTTCCGTCTCGTACAATTAGTTTTAACCGAACAGGTGCTGGAGTAGTAGTAGTTGTTGTAGCTACAATGGTTGTAGCATTTTCATGGAGTTGCCCTTTTGTTTGAACCTAGGCATTTGGGATAAAACAGTGCCTTCAAATACAATAAACTAAATTCTAAAAATATTATTTACCTGTTCAATAGTTCCTTTTATTTCTTCGTGAATCCCAAATTTATCATTAGGTGCATACTTCTTTTTTTTAACGATCGTTCGTTTTGCCCAAAGTTCAGGATAAAGTTTTTGTGGGTCGAAAGTATTAGCAAAATCTTGAAAATGAGTTGGTGGTATAGGACATACTTTAAAAATTGCGCGAATTTTTGCTGAAGTTGAGAGAGGAGGCCTCCCACGTCTTTTTTTAATCGATGTTTGAATCATTAAAAAAAAAAAGAAATTATGAAATTACGAAAATTTTTCAAATTCAATTAAAATTATCAATCACGTGAAATCATGAAATCAATTTCGATATAATTTTTAGTTTACAAATAATTAATAATTTCAAATAATTTATTAGATATGTTACATAATATTACATATATTACATAAATCATAAAAATCATAATATCTTTTGATTGATTTATTCTTCTAATAAGAATAAATTGACCTTTGGACCATTAGGATGAGAAAAATTGAATTCTTCGACAGCTGGTTGATTAATCCCGCCGCATGCAGTTTCCAAAACTTTAGTATATCCACCTAAAATAAAGTCACTTTCATAACTAGTCCTGTATATCTTAATTTCTTTAAGTGATTTACATTTCTCGATTAATTTCCATATAAATAAATTTGGTGTATGTTCAGGAACATAATAAAGAACCAATTCCCTTAAATTTTGAAACTTATCGAATATGTCAACTAAAAATTCGATCTTAATATTTGCAATTGAAGTAAACGTGAACGAAAATGTTGTCAACTGGGAACAATGATTAGTAAGTAATTCGAGAAAAGGATATGTCAAATCAGGGATCGATTTCATATTATGGATTATTAATTGTTCAAGCGTATTTTTATTAGAGGCGATCAATTTTTCTAATCCCTGAATTGTAATAAGAGCACAATTACTAAAATTAATTGATACTAATTTTGTGCAATGGGTCGCCATTGCAATTATTGCATTATCGGTAACTTTTGTTGATGCAGTCAGATCTATGCTCTTCAACTTTTGTTTTTCAAATTTCGCAAGAGCAAATAAACCAACATCTGTAAGACTGGAACGAGAATTCGCCAAGTTAACATGTTCAAGATTGTGACAAAAATATGCAATCTGAGATACTGAACCATCCGCAGCTCCAGAACAGTTGTCAAGTATGATATGCTTCAATTCTGGAAAATTTTGAACTAGAGCTTTCATAGTCGATTCCGTAATACTTTTAGCTCCAGTTAAATCCAATTTCTCAATAAAATTATTAGAAACTTTCATATAACATAACTTGCGTATTGATATTGTTGAAAGAAATGAAACGTCACGAATAATTAATTCTTTCAAATTCGGACACCGTAGAACAGCAATTCCTAACCAATTTTCGTCGACTGCGTCATATAAAGTTTCTTGCACTTCACTAACATCAATAGTAATTACACATAATCGAGTTTGCTCTCTCGCAATATTTGGTAATATTATGAGGAATCTTTGGAAAGACTGAAGAGCTGTTGTACTACCAGTACCGAACTTTGGATATCGCCACAATTTCGATGTAGCGTATTGATTCCATTCTATATTTACAAGCGCACAAATATAGAGATCTCGAGGTTCAACATAGCTAAAAACACCGTGAAGGGCAAGATCGTGTCGTTGATATTGCATGCTTTATTAAAAAAAAGTTTACAAAATAACATTTAATTTAGTGGGAAATTTATTTATATATCATCCGATTATCACGTGATACAAAATTAATTACGGAGATCCATTCCCGCGATAATATCCTAATATAAGAGAATAATGATTAAAAACCGAACGAATGATAGTACAATAATGATTTACATTATATACCTGAAATTTGTTGATATGACGTAAGAACCAATCTCCGTAACGTCGTCCAACTTTGGATTCAGCAATATGAATCATATCCTAAATTTTAATAAATAATATTTAACAAATGATCCTACTAAACTGATTATAGAATTATAGAATTGAAATTTACCTGCTTCAAACAAAAGTCCAAATCCGAGGTAGTAACATATTCACCTTCAAGTAAGGTTCCACTAGTCCACTTCTGTTGCCGCGATTTTTGCTTGACAATAAGTAACTGGGTTCTATTGAATTATTTTATCTCTGAATAAGCTTTATTTCCTCTTCCTCGAGACAATTCACAAGAAATTTAAATACCTTAATGTTTCAGCGTCAATATCAAGAAAAGCTGATAGCTTGTCAATTCCCATAGTAGTATATAATTTTAAATACGACCGTAATGTTGGGATGAGAATTTGATGACGCACTTCGGAAAGGAAAATTTTTGCGTGATGATGGTGAGGTTCCTAATAAAATTACAAGTTAATACGAAATCTGAACAAAAAAGTAATTTGTTTATTCTTACAATAGTTTGCGTTAAAGCGTTCGGATCTTCAAAATTTGGCCCGTTTGGTGAAATAAATTTTGGACAGGCATATAAGAATAAATCCTCAAATGTTTGTAATCCTTCCTCGCTATAAATATGCGATGCAAACATTAAGGCTACTTGACAAAAAAAGATAATTAATTGTAAAGAATAATTGTTCTTATTTAATTACCCTCGTTGCATCTTTATCAAATGTTCACCATATTTCTCTCTTAAATGAGGGTGAATATTTTCGTCCAAACGAGTTGGACAAAGTGCAATACATATTGTCAATAACGCATACATTTGGTCACCTTTCTTATTAATCTATTAATAAATAGATTAGTTAAAATTAAAATGAAAAAATTTCATATATATATATACACTTTATACACTTTCAAATATACGAACCTGGTCGAATTGATAAGATCTTGTATGATACATTTTTGTCCTTGCAATAAAGACTAGAATATGTGAAAATGCCTTGATTGCATCTGCATATCGTCTCATCATCATATATGCAAACCCAACGTAATAATACGTTGTAACGTGGCATGCAGTAACACGCGCAAATAAAGCCTGTTCAAAATTTTTTTAAATTTTTAGTAGATAAACTTTTTTTTTTAAAAGACAATAAATTTTATTAATACCTTTTTGCTTAGCTCAATATTATCCATCATTTTGAGCGCTAATGTATAATCGCCCAATAAACAATGAACACGCAAAAGACCGATGATACTGAAATAGCCAAGCATTTTGTATAAAGTACGTGAACCATATTCACCCGCAGCTTCACTATACGAATACAAATAATTATATAAAGTTCATATCGGAGACAAAACATTTGCGAGCGATCTATTCTACCCACATCATATCACCACCATGTTTGCTTACAAGCAATTGTTCAGTAATTCTAGATTTTGTGATGAGTGAATACAAGACATTTAACACGCTATAGCAACTCCAAACTTGAATATTGTCTCGTAATAAAGCGATTTCTTCCTCAGTCTTGTTCTTGAGACGACTGCGATAATTACAAAATGATTGAAACTGATAAATAAATTCATCAATAATGTCCCAAAGCCATTGATTAGGAAGTTCTAAACTAACAGGTCCCTCCGAATCTAAACCACAAAAAAAAATATTCAGTGAAATTCTTACAGATCTAAAGTGAATAATGTTTTTTACTCACTCAAAATAAAATTAAAAAGGTCACAATAATTCTCATATGAATGGAATCGATGTTCAATGGTAGGGGTAAGTTTTGAGTAAATATGTCGATAATATAGTTCACGATATAAAGTCAAAAACACCTGATCTACAAAGGTAATATAATTTTAATAATACGATCGTAAGTAATAGAAACAGATTAAGAATTATAACAGCAATTTACCATCGTTGACCAATGGTGCAATATAATCAGCTTCGGGCCAAGGCGTTTTCGCATAAAATTTTTCTGTTAACCGATTAAAAGAATTCTCGTATATACCGTGTAATTCGTAGACATTATTTTCAAGAATGTTACGATGAAAATAGATTATGAAATTTTTAACAACTTCGGGTATTTCCTGCGCATATTGTTGTTGAAGAATTAAAAGCTGCATTTGATCTTGAATATAATCAAAGAAAAATGGTTATTAATAATATATTAAGATAATTTTGTTTTTGACTTTGAATTACCATCTTCATCTAAGTCTTCGTCAACTCCAGCATAATCATCATTATTCGTCAATAAATCAATTTCTTCTACAAGATCAATTTCTTCTTCATAACCTTCGGGATATCCTTCCATTATGAAAAGTTGGCAACTTTTACTTGGATCATAAATCTTTAAAAATTACTCTTTATAATCTCAATTCGGATTGGTTGATTAAAAAATTGAATCACGTGCCATTGTTATATAAAGTTATTGGTTCAAAATCCTTTTTAACTCTTTTAACTCATAACTACTCAATAGTACTCATGTATTTATTTTTTGTATACCTGTATACTTACTATATACTCATATATATACACTATATAATTAATAATGAAATAAAAAATTAGAAATTTTAAATAACAAAATGGGTAATTATATAAGCTTATTTTTAGTACTTATTAAAGTTATGCTAATCATTATTATAAAATAATTAAAACACTAATTAAATAACCAATAAAAATCAAATCAAAAGTAATATTAATAATTATTTAGCACTTTATGCTAAATAATTGATATAAAATATAGTCAACCCTCTTATAGGTATCTTTCATATAAGAACTCTCCTCCTTAAGGCATACATTTTTTAGTTCAGATTTTTTTATATAAAAAATACCCATTTATTATTACTTTATTAGTTTATATAAGTATAATTACATCAAATATCAGTCCTATATTATAGTAAATATATGTAAAATTCCTCCTGTATATAAAGTATACAAATCACATAATTTATAAAATAACTGCATTTTATTTTATTATTTTGTTATTTTACCATGGGAAAAATTAAAGTTTTTTATTTTTTCAAAAATTTGTAAATAATTTGATATATAATAGGTACACCTTATTATAATTACACCATTGAATGGATTTTGAAAAATGTGATTATAGAGAAAACTGACTGTAATTAATTTTAAATTTCATAAAGTCTGAAGTTAGCTAATTAAATTTTAATTTAAATATTATAATTTACTTTTTAATTAATATTAATATTAATTATTTAGTTTAAATAGTTTAAAGTATTAAATAAATAATTTATTATAATTTATATATAATATACTTTGGGTTCTGTGATCATCAGACATTGAAGATAGGGCCTTTATGGCTAAGATGACCTGTTACTAAATGAAGTCTACCTACGGAGTCAAACGATCACTCGACAGTGCACACGTGAAGTACTACCAGTATAACGAGTGGTTTGTAGTTTAATTATATTAGAGTAGTTATTAGGAAATTTTACTTTGTATATATTTTTTTATTTTTTTTACTTTAATAAAACTGCAAATGCACTGCAGAAAAANAATATGCTTTTTTTTTTATTATTTTTAGTATTTTTCTTTTTAATATTAACTCTTTTTATTAAATAATATTTTAATTTTTTTTTTTTTTTTTAAAAAAAATTTATAGTTTATTAATTTTAACATTTGGAACTATACAATATAGAAATGAATTTTACTTTACGAAAATGGAGTAAATAGGTTAACTACCCCCATAGTGCAATGAGAATGCATAAATAAACCTGATGCAATTGTACCTTTGAACTATAAGAAAAAGGATATAGGAAAAAAAAATAAAAAAAGATAGTTTAAAAGAACCTCCCATGTACAAAAATAAAAACAAAAACAAATATGTAAAAATAAGGAAACAGTCAGTAACAAAGCCACCCTATTACAACTAAAACTAAGATTATCTGACCATTCCTTCAAACTTATATCAAGACGCTCCTAATTTTCTAAACATCAACCCTATTTCTGCTAATATAGTAAGCTTGTTAATACCACCTAAAGTCTTATCTATATTCTTAATTTCCTTAGCCACCTTTTGCTTTTTACTCAACTGAATGTTAGTTTTAGTTATTCGAACCTTAGAACTACCTTCTTGATTCACCTTCTAAGGGTTTCTCCTTCTTTGCTTCAAATTAAGGATAAAGTATCTCATCTAATCACCAGTAAATTCGTCTAAGCTAAATGGTTTACCAATGATTTTCTCCAAGTCAGCTTATAATTCGAAGTAAATTATTAGCTTGCGGTTGCCCTAGTCTTAAATTAATTTAAATGCTTTACATCCTAATGGTGTAAAAATAGTTTATTCAGATATAAAGTTGCTGTGGTTATTGAAACAGAAACTCCTTTAAGCACAGCCTGGAATCATTTCCATTCTTTTCTTTATTTGAGATCCCAGTTGGCCAGAAATTATCATACAGATAGACCTCCAAGTGGAGCAATCTATACTCCATCCTTCCAAAATTTTATAACCCCTTGATTGAGTTCAATTGAAACTGTAATAGTAACGTATTTCTGTTGAAATTTAAATTCAATCGCAACTACTTGATCTCAAGCTTTAAAATGATTAAACGTATCAAGTCGAGATCAGGTGAAGGGAATATCATAAACTGTAATTTCCCAAATAAGGTCCTTATTCTTGAATACATATCCAGTCATTACAGTACTAATTATTTTGAGCGAAATTGCAGCAGGTTATTTCTTGGTAGTTTTTGAATAACTTTGGCTATTATTAGCTTTTGAAATAGGTGCATTTTCTCTTTTTTTCCCCAAAAGGTGAAGGCGAGCTTGGTCTGCTGACATTATCTTTCAAATCCTGTTTAACCATATCAGCATACAAAACATGCTTTTGTTTACCTTTGGGCGTAAAAAGAGTGACTTTAACTGAAAGTATACTGATTGGATCCTCTTGTTATGCTACAACTTTTAATTGGTGTTTGGGCATTTTAGGCGTTTCTAAAATTTCTATTTTCATCAGTTGATCCTTTACAGATTCAGACGCATCTGGTATTTATTTTGGTGACATCATCTGTTATTGCACAAACTCTTTGTAAGTGCTTTTTATTTTTTTACTAACGCTGGTTTGGATAAAGTTAAAAGACTCAAAAAAAAAAGTGAAAGTAATATAAAGATTATAGATCACCAATACCGAAAGTTAAGAAAGTCTTATAATATTCCATAAGTAAATTAGTAAACTATTTGCTATCGCCTGCGTTAAGATTACTGGAGAAACTAGAGGTTTAGCAAGTTGGCGAAATGCTAAAATGGTAAAACTTTGCTAAAACTATATAAAAATCTTATTAAAAAGTTGGCGAAACTCTGGAGAAAAGTGAAACCTGTCAAAACTTATTATAAATGCCAAAACTGCTGAAACCTTGCTGAAACTATAATAAAACTATAGTAAAATTTTGGAGAAACTAATCATAGAATTTTGGAGAGGTTTAAGCAGGCAACCTTAGCCTATGCTTTATTTAACAGTTCGAGTAATATCTTCTTCAGTTAGACTAAAGAAGCTAAATTTTTTTAAGGCATCGCTAACCAGTTTAAAGTAAAAAGCCCTTTCTATAACTATTTCAAAATCATCGCCCTCTGATAGAACTTTAGAAATGTTTGGTATTGATGAGGAAGCCATAGTTTCAGAAAATTTTCCTTCAAAATTCCTATAAGAAAAAATGGTCCATGTGATCAAAAAAAAGAGTTTTCCAAATAATATTTTAATTAGTATATATATTTTTTAATTTTTTTTAATAAAAAATATTAAATTATTATTATTAGTATTTTCAAAAGTAATATAATATTTTAATTATATTTAAATCTAATATTTTAAAGATAGAATCAGCACAAAAAAAAATCTTGGAAAAATTTCAGAAAAATTCTGGTTAAATATAAAAATTCTGAAAATTTATTTTTTCAACTGGTAAAATAAGAAGTTTAATTATAATCATACATATACAATATGGAAAAACCAGAAAAGATGTATTGACTTTAAATAATCATATTGTAATAAACTACTGAAATAATAAATAATAAAATAAAGATAAAAAACTTTTTTGCAATGTAAATTTATTTAAATAAAATTTCTAGTATTTACAAAATATTCCAAAAATTTGCTACATCACGACCAAAACAATTTTGGGATTATAAGATTTTACCAGTTTTATCAGAAATTTACTGAAAAAACTGGTTAAATTATAATGGATAGGTAGAATTCATTTTTTATATAAATGATATAAAATTTATATGGCAAAATTTATATCAATTATTTATTAATATTACATACACTGGTAAAAAAATGATTTATCCTACACATATCTTACACATATTGGGTACTTAAAATGTAGAAAATCATACACAAATAATACACATATCATACACATATCGGGTACTAATATATATATCATACATATATCAGGTACCTGATAGGTATACTATATATATAAATACCCAATATGTGTATGATATGTGTATTATTTGTGTATGATTTTCTACATTTTGAGTACCCGATATATGTAAGATATGTGTAGGATATGTGTAGGATAGACCATTTTTTTACCAGTGATAATCATAAAATCAAGCAAAAATGTAAAGAAATTAAAAAAAATTAATACATATTAGCAGATTTGTTTTATCACATGTTATTTACTATAAAAAATTTATTATAGAAATGGAATAACCTAATTCTCTAATTAATTTATTATATTCAGCTGTCATGTGATAAAATAAATCTACCAATATAATCTCATTATTATATAAATAAATTTTCTTAAAATTATATTCAAAAAAAAGGTGAATAGCCATTTTACTATTTATTAAAAAAATTGAATTATTTATTAATCTTTCTAAAATAATAAATACAAAAAAACTAATTTATTTTATATATATTAAAAAATCAATATCTTATTGAATTTTTAACATATTACCATAATTTTTGGTTTATTATATTACTTTTTTTTCTTTTTCTATTTTATTATAAAGTTACAATAAGACAGATATTGCTTTCCAAAGTATTTAATATTTTTGTAACTTTATATTAAAATAAAAAATATATAAATATAAAGAAAAAATTAAATGATATTAAATAACAATTTTTACAATTTTTGGAATATAACTAATCCAGAAATTGTATTATTAGCTTGCAAAGTTTTGCAAGTTTAAATTTAATTTAAGGAACTTATATTTTTACTAAATATCATCACCAGTTTGCTAATTTTTAATCTAATAATCAGAAAATGATGAAATATAGCTCATTGAAATCATCTCAACAAGCTGAATCTAATGGTAATAAAATACATTTCTAGGATTAATATATGATGA